TAACTAGAACCTTCTGCTCTCTCGTATTCCTTGAAATGAACATTTTTCTGCCCCTTTTTTAAATATCCATTCCAAGCCCCCTAAAAAAAGAAAAAAAAAAGAAATGGTTTAAATTTTGCTGGCAAGCTTTGAACATATCCCTGCAACCAGAACACTTTACTGAAAAGGGTGACATATATCCATCCAGTCCCCCCCCCCCCAAAAAAAAAGAAAATTGGAAAAGAGGCTTTAAAACTACTGAGCCAATGATTATGAATTGGACCTTTCCCCCACATTTATGCACAACTAATTTCAACAGCTAATTACTGGGAAATTTACCTTCAACAGCCACTTTCTGACGCTGCTGGTCCCTGGCCTTTTGCCTGCAAAACCAAAAAGAAATTCAGTTTACATTATCAAGATAGATGTATGTCATTCGCTTTCAGCCTAGATAACTGCCAAGTTTGTTATAACTTAGTGTTTTTTTCTCTGTCCCTTTGTGACCGCCCCTCCCCTGTTCTTTGCTTGTTTTGCCCACGCAGTCAATCCCATATGTTATGACACACGAGTAGACTGCATCATGTGGGCCGCGGACGGACAGTGCGAGACTAATAAGGGTTACATGCGGTCTTTCTGCAGGAAAAGCTGCAACCGCTGTTAGTGCATGTGCCCTGCGAACGCTGTGTATAACGCTTCCCGCTTCTGACGTCAAGCTTTTTTTTATAATAAAAGAGCTCCTGAACTTCTACCACCAGAGGATAAGCCATTTGCCAAGACTGAAGAAAATTACCAGAGAGTTTGTTGATGTTCTTTGTTAGGCCGTGTCCGAAACGGGCTTGCAGAGCTACGGCTACGTCTATTGTCAGCGCGTCCCCGCGTATTTTCAATGGGCGCGGACCTAGACCTAGCTCTAGACAGTTGATTCGGATGCGGCCTTAATTAACAAATTCCAAAGTTGGACATTGAAATCTTTGGGAGCCATCATTGATTTGTCTTACTACATGTGCTTGTATAAATGCTATGCAAAATAAAGCAGGGCAATATTAGCAATGGATATCTTATACAGAAATATGTATAGAACTGAAAATGAGTTTATCAAATATTTCTTTTTGTTTACAAAAGTTTATTTTCAGTCAGTTGCCGGACATTTTGAGGTAGATTCTACAATGTATTTCACAGTATTTCTGTAGGATCATTGTGAATTTCCTCATTCAAATGTACACCCTATAAGATCCAAATTGCAAATACCAAAAGCAAAATCAACAAACGGCGTGTAAATAAAAATACAGCTATAAAATGCATATAAAAGCATACTTTGGTACAGGTCAATAATAAGATTTCAATAATTACCTATTTCTTTCTCCATTGTTGTTGTTGTAGTAGTAAGAGAACTTTTCAGGAAGAATGCAGAATTCTTTATCTTGCTGCAAAAAAATTATCGTAATTAATATTGTGCACAACGAAGAAGTATATTTCAGCTTCATTGCATGTGTAACTTAGAAAAGGAATGAAGGATAAAAATTAACGCAGGAGAATTATCAAAAAAAATAATTTTGACCAAATTTAAAACAATTACAGAAATCAATGTGGATTTCAGCATATTGTTGACATACTGCCATCAGTTCAACACATACATTACTCTATAAAAAATTGCACACTTTGGACAGAATCATTAAAAAAAGGCAATCTACAACTTGATTATTTTAATAAACACATTATTTATCAGCCAATTGTAATTAAGATTATTCACATATGCTAGCATCAAATGGCATTTGGTATTTGTGATCATTATTCTTTCAAACAGGTTTAAAAAAAAAATAAGAAACTCACCTCTTTGAGTTGGATTTTAAACTAGCCAACCTAAGCAACCTTCAAACTTTAGTGGGCAAGTTGTATAGGGAAAAAAGTTTGGTTAAGATGGAATAAAGGACTTTAAAAGGCATATATTTTGGGGATCATTTGCTTTTCATGCATTTTGTTCATTTCTGATTACACCACCACTCCAAATCCACAGAAGAATGTTCAAAACACAACCTGTTGAAGTTTCAGCTCAGTGGATATTACACTGTTTGTTCAATATCTGGATTAAACATCTTTATTTCCAAAAATCAGTCAATTGACTGATCGCTGGAAATCACCTACATTTCTTGATTTCTTCTCAATGACAGCAAGCCAGATGGAATAATTTCACAGGGTGTTTAGTACCAGAATGCTCTTTAATCCAAGTAAGCTGTTTGATAATTCAGTAAGTTACCTTTGGGATAAATGCAAATGATTATTTGTGCCTTTAAGTTGTTACAGTACAATGGGAACAATTTTGAAGCAAATTCAAACTAATCTAGGGTTTCATTCTGATTTCTGTATCTGTGCAGTGTTTACTATTTGAACAAACTCCAATACATGACAGGGCAAGTTACTGAATAATGGTCTCCCAATTCTTGAATATTTTTTTGATGTAGGTTTTTGGTTTATAATTAATTAATTGAAGTTGTAAGGGCCATTTCTTGGGACTAAAATCAAGCTGCAGTGAGAATGTTCATATTGACCATGGATCAGACAAGATATCATGTGAATATGTTTTTAAGCCAATGGGAAGATAATTGTTAATTTTGTCATTCATTTTTATCAGCACAAAATGTGTACCATTTATTTCAAAAGAGATAATTATCTTCTATTAAAATCTCTTTGATTAAATATAAGGCCAAAAAAAAAAAAATTAGTTTTGCTTCCGGTTTCCCTACCTACCCTATTCTGACAGCCCCACCCTAATTTTTTATTGGAAAAATGAGAAAAAAAACCACCCAAAACCATCACTTTATACCTTTTACCCTTGACTACACGCAGACGCCTCCATATGATTGTACACAACAAATAATGGTCAAAAAAAAAAATTCCCTACCTACCCTATTTTCGAATGCCATGTAATCGGAAGCAGAAGTATTTTTTTTGGGCCTGATCATTTCATTAAAATGAGTACATACATGTATTACATTAGTGAAAGGCAAAAACAAACAAAAACCAAATCCAGTGCTTTTCACTCAATATAAAAGACAATATCATTTATTGGTATATTTAAATAAAAAGTATCATTTTATAAATGAGTATATCAATAAATTTTCCACAATACTGATTTAAAAAATGCCGTCTTGGTACTGTCCTTTTTTCCTTATAATGACTTGGGTGGTTTCCAAAATTCAATCAGAAATGGTTAAAAATTTCTTAGACTTTACCGATACAAATCATATTTAAAAAACTTTCACAAGTACTTTAGAATGAGAAACATCATTTAAACTGAGTTTACTATATGATACATCATATATCACAATTAAATGTAGGAGTACTTGATTTCTTTACTAAAATATATAATACACGAGAGCGACATTTTCATTGTTTATAATATATACAAATCGTTGATTATTTCAGTGTGGATATTTGAGTTGCTTAAGCAAGTGCTGTTAAACCTTTGACAAATAATTACTTGCGAAAAAGCTGTAGACAAAAGAACACTAAAGCAATTTTGAGAATTTACAGACACGCAGAAAGCTAGGGACAAAAGCATGACATCACATCTCAAAACGAAGTAAAAAAACAAACCGATGGTTGCTTTCTATGAGGAACAGGAAATGAAGTAAAGAACATAATGTTTTGTTGGTATTTTTTCTCATAAGGAATGCTGGAAGTGGGAATGAAACAGTCAAAATGCTCTAAGTGAGCTAATTATTAATTTAATTATTGAGTTATCCTTCATCTACACATCATGATGCAACCCTTCTTATACGATCAATGGAGAGTTAAGGCCAGTTCATACTCAATGCAAAAGTGAACGTAAACGTGCATTTGTGATGTAATCTCAAGACTTCGCGCTGCGAATTCACAGTTAAACATATTTCTACTCCAGCGAATCTAGAAACACCTGTTTCGAGACGCAAAACTCACTTCGCCTTCACACTCGCATGAAGTATGGACCTACCTTTAGGTATTAACAAATTTCTCATTTAAGAATCTACATATTTTCATATTTATCAATTAAGAAAACTCAAGGATTTATTTGGCACAAGGAAGGAACATAAGAGCACATTGTCTCTTTTAGTACACAATGTACAGTAGAACATGGCTAAACCATAGAGCTATATTAAATTACTAGAGCGCTAACTTGACGTACAAAGTAATGCCTGATGGGCGCATCCATGATTGTGCACAAACCTATGAAAAGCTCAAACTTTTGTACGGCTATTTGCATATCTGCGTTTGTATTCCATACCGGTGCGTCATCGAAGCCGATACGCCCAAAACCGAAACGCACGATCAGCAAATGAGCGTACCATTTTGCTGTACGCAAACAGCGCAACGTGTGCGCGTCCCACCGCTGCAGATGCTTTTCGCCGTGAAGTTTTTTTAACCGTCATGATGCGCTTAAGTTGTTTGCGTATCTTCCACTTGCGCGTTGCATGTAGAGTACACTTTTAAAATTCAATCCATCTATTTTGATTGTGTTCTACAAACACGCACATGAATTCAAAATGTCTGCGCCCAAAGCGGCTTCAAAGTGTCTCCGCGCGCAAGAATGAAGAGTTAGCGCTCTAGTAATTTAATATAGCTCTGTGGGCTTAACACACACACACCGCCATACCACACATCTGGCTATATAATGACCATCTCTTTTAGATCCCAAATTTTATGTACATTATAACCAACAACCTTTTGTGGAACATACATTTGTTATACTGGCATTCTAATATAATTTGGGCGATTCACAATGCAGTGCGCCACCAAGAGTTTGCCATGGAGAGTCAATTTTTCAACTTAACGGTCAATAAAACACGGCCCATTTGAATGAGTTTCAGTAGAAATAACTTGAGCTCCTTTGTTAAAGATTGGGGCAGAGCATTCTGCCGCATACAAAAAAAAAATATTGATAAAAAGAAAAGAAAAGGGCAAACAGATCCTTGAATCATACACTTACGAAACTACTGACTGGAAAAAGTAACAATTTCAAATGTCCTGCGATACGAATTTGTCTACCATTACCCACAATGCACTGGGAAAAATGAACTCTCCATGGCAAACTCTTGGTGGCGCACTGCATTGTGAATCGCCGGAATTGTTAAAATTTGAATAATTACAGATACATTATCACCTTTAATTATTTTAAATACATAAAATATCTTAAATTTTCATACATTCTAGAATACACTTTGTATAGTACAATTCCTAATCTTCTAAAAGGTCGCAGTTTTGATCACGTAAACAGAAATCATGTTCCAATCTACTGGCTCTGGTATCAATGCTGATATACGAGTATTGTGGTACCTAGTTAAGCATACCAACGTAACATTCCCTGTATAGAATTTTTTTTACAGAAACTATACCATAATACTGTGAATTTAGTTGTGGACATGCTGCAGTACTCTTCGTGTTCCATACATTCATGTTTATATACATTTGGAAACTAACTCTTATTTCGGAAGTAATTGCTTTAATTAGAAGGCATTTTAAAAAATAGCTATGATATTTGAGTGGATATATCAGCTCGTTGTCTCTAAGAGGATTCAAGTTATATATCCGATATATCAGATCACCATACAAAAAGAGTTTATAGGCATGCAAATGGGAACTAACCAAAAAAGAGGAATTTCCAAGCTTTACAAGACTTATGTAACAGTGGTTTTTTTTCAATCTTTAACCGGCAAAAGTGTGAAATGAAAAATAAAGGAAGTCAGCTGATCTGAGGAAAAATTCCAATCCGAGTTTAAAGTTTGGGATTAAGCACAACTAGGCAGTACTTTCAGAGCCTGCAGAATGGAGTTCCTTCTCGCCCGTTCCCGATAAGATCGGATTGTCGTGTTCACCAGACAGACCCACCTGCTGCATAGGAAGATTGGCATTAGGCGGGCGTGGCTGGTACGGTGGGGCGGCATCATCTAGGACAATCAGTCCCGGGTCAACCGCATTCACAGAAGGCTCAGCCACTGAGGGAGATGCTTCCTGGTTGCTTCTTATCTGGTCTTGCCGCTTCATCACCTGGTATGCAAACAGATTTGTAATCACCACGTATGGACTTTAGAAAGCCCTCAATGCCTGGTGCTCATACTCAAATGCTTTGTGTGCATAACAATGAAACTTATGCAGTACCCGCTGCTATGTACATCAGATTCAAACCAGCCAGCCGATCCTGTAAGCTCCGTGGTCGAGTGGTAAGACGTCTGCACTAGAAAACAGGAGATTGTGGGTTCGAGTCCCACCCGAGTGATTTTTTCCAACTTTCACTTGGGAGGTAACACACTGAGTATACAGTGTTTATACGTCAGTGAAGGGCAAAATCCAATTTGATTTACATCACCCCGACTTTCAATTCCCTCTTATCAATACAATGAAACTTGGTTGTGCGTACATTGAGCCACACATGTGTGAACCAGCACGTCAAGCCAAGATGCTTCATGTTTAAGCACATGCTGATGAAAAACAAATAGTTGAGCATATATGTCGAGCCATAGGTGTGCCCGAGTCCAGACCTCTTGTGAGAGGTTATAAAATACCATCTACTGTTCTTGAACTGAGTCAACATTATTGATGGATGTTGTCTGGATCAGCCTTGACCCTTCCCACCCTGCTTGACATTCATGTGACATTAATAGGATAAATGAAGCAAAGAAGTACAAACTGCTGCACAGATGTCCTCACAGACATGAAAAATGTAATCGTCTGGGTTATGACTTTGTCATCATGATCAATGGTCATCTATTCCCCCCCCCCAAAAAAAACCCAACCATTTTGAAGAATGAGGCAATTGTTTTTCATTTTCAATATTGAGAACAGTTAAAGACACACACACTTACACTTCATGCACAGTTCAACTTTTGTGCGAAATACCCCATTGATAGATTTTGACTCATTGGTTGTATTGCACATACTTCAGTCGACAGATTTAAAACAGTGACAAGTCACATATTTGGGTAAGAGTCCATTTAGCTAAAAGAGACAAGATTTCATTGGAGTGTATAACGTAAAGCATCAGAAACAGGAACGGATCCCGGGAAACTTTGTGTGAAGTGGAGGAGGGGAATTCAGTCTTGTACCAAAAACAGTGATCACACTTCAGTTGTGAGACGTTACAAAACGTCTTCAGACTGTATTACACAGCTGTGCTACAATTGCAATGTACATCCTCTCTCTTTCCCTTCCAAACACCAACTGTTTCCAAAAAAATCTTTTAATAACAAAAACGAATTACTTTCCATAATGTTATTCTCGAATTACTTTAAAGCACGCACGCACACGTATGCACCTGTATAACGCAGCTGTTCATATGCGCACCTATTCACTTGCCTTGCATATATAATTACTTTTCACATCCACTACAGCAGTCCAAATTTCATGAGACACCATCACCACATCAAGACTGAATATAGCTGTAAATGAACAGCACTTACCTCCACGATGTGAGGCAGCAACTGATGCCCTCCGTTCCCTTTCCCGGCGTTGACAAACTTGGCCTGCCCATCTGGGGATATCACCACCTCCTGCTCGGGCAAGATGGCTGAGTGCTTCCGCAGCTGGATCAGGGAGGGATTGTTGATCAGCGTGTAGGCCAGGTGCCAACGGAAGTACCTCAAGAGATTGGGTCGTTCTGAGATAGAATTGACAGAACATGAGCGGGGGTAACTATAGAATACAGGATTACGAGTTGGAGACGATGTCACAAGCGATGTTAGAGAAAGAAGAGTCACAAATTTTCAACCAAAGTAGAATGTAAAATTGAGGCCTGGATGCACGGTCACTGAGAGCAATGACTGAACAATTGACAGTAAGAGGTAAGGAAAAGTAAGGAAGAGGAACATTTCGAAATAAATTTCTAATAACCGGAACGCCACTTCTGCGGCGCACCTAGAGCATAACAGAGACACTATGGGCTTAGTGCTCATGCACGTACTGGTTCGCGCACGTAGTTCGAAGTATGCACAGCACAGAGTACAAGTACGAGTACATATTTTATTCCGAATGTAAACAATCATAGCCAAAGCGTATGAGCGTGAGGGCCAGATTGTCTCGCCCAGTGGTCCCTCCCAACTCTCTCATTGTAACCATCGAGTGGGTACTTGTGCACGTCCATACCTTTCTCTGTCGCAGTGCTCTCCAAATCCGTGTAGCTGGGTTCCTGGCTGTTGACCAGTCCTTCTCTGGCCGTCAGGCTGTGATGATGGGCCAGTTTCAGTCGCTGCCGCTTTGGTTTCAGGACATCGTAGACCATCAGGTGACAGAACATGACCAGAATGGGGTTGCTGTGAGCGTTCTCGGTGTACAGGTTGCCCGCGTACATTACGTAGACTTCAGAGGGACAAGTTTACAAATTTGAAGTAAGTTAAGTTACAACCTAGAAATGGTGAAATTATTTCACTTCGAAAAAACGAACAAAAAACAAAAAAACAACGGCAACTATAAGGAAATGTCATCTACTCAATAATAAGCTGCATCTGAATGATGACTAGTGACTACGGCTTGTGGTTCCACATGCAACAATGGAAGTAGCTGATGAAGCCGATCCCCATAGACACGTTTGTTACTACAAGCCACTGCCAAGCAATTTTGGTGCCTGCCTGGTTACATATTGTTAAAGGTAGAGTACATGTAGATCATTTGCAGCTATCCAAAAAGTAAGTGAAAAAATTAGTGTTGAAAAAACTTACTTTGTTTAAAGATGGGAATGGCAATAAACTCCCTGTGAAATTATTCCTTCTGGCATGCATGCTGCCACTTTGAAGAAAACAGTAAAAAAAGGCTGTTTCCAAAGATGCATCAAGTGACGCATTTTTGGAAATTTCTGTTAGTTGAATTGAAATTAAGATCCTGGAATAATGTTTTCTCAGGATTTACAACAGTCACAGAACTAAAACTTCATCAGGTGAGTTGTTAAGCCCCCGACTTTAGGTTTTTAGTACTTTTGTTGCTTCAAATGGAAAAAATGTACAAATGTCAAATGATCTACCGTACCTTTAAAACTAAGACCTGTCTTCCCTGAATTGCAAACAAAGTTTAGACATTGATTGGAAAACAACTTGTCAAAAACTTATTAGTCCTACCTAAGTCTTTGTCACCCACGCCCGGTGCCCAGATGGGCCGGTCAATGCGTGGCAGGAGAATCACAGAAATGATCGTCCCAATCACGATGCGGAGTACCGCAAAGACCAGCCCGTACAACATATTCAGGAACAAAGTCACATAGGAGTACAGTAGAAACCACACTCTGTATATTAAAAAAAAAATACCCATCACAGTTCAATGAGAATTGACAAAAATACTTGGAGAAACCCAATTTTGTTTTGGGTTAGTTTAACCAGATCATATTATATATTGGAAGTTTAAGACAGAAAACTAGAGTTATTTTTGCATGTGCATGAAATGTAGACGTTATTATGGGTCTCTTTTCTGCATGGTCAAAAAGTGACCATTTACATGGACCTTAATATCGGTAAATAATGGTTTTAAAATACAGTAGTTCTGTTGAGTATAAAGATGCTGTATGTGGCTCAAAACAAGGTTACTAAAGGTTACCAGCTAAAATGTCATACAATGTATAATGCCTGTAACTGGTTGTTGGCTGTAGTCCAATGGTTACGGTGTTCGACTCGTGTGTCGTGGTACATGGGTTAAAATCCCGACCATGGGAACATGGTGCTTGTGCTCTTGAGCAAGGCACTTTACCATGATTGCTTCGTCCTTTGGACGGGACATATAGACATAACTTCCAGCACCTTGAGTACCTAATTGTTGGTAGATACGTGCGCTATATAAGACTCTGGTATTATTATTATTATTTTGTTGCTTACCGCTTAAAATTTGCTTACCTGTGTTTCAGTGCGAGGGGTACATCAGCATCACCTGGGTCGAGCTTGGCCTGAGTGAAGCAATGCTTGACAATGATATTCTGACTGTACATCACCAACACACTAATGATAGTTGAGGGCCTGCGTTGGGACAAATTGGAACATTTCAGATATCTAGTCACAAAACATCACAACTAACAAAATTAATTCTTGTTTCGTTTTTAGCTGAATTGTTTGTTTTTGATGTTGTTGTTGTTGACAGTTACCGAGACTTGTGATTGAATCAGTTTTAAGTTCAATTAAAGGTCCCTTAAAATTTTTTGTGTGAGACAAGTCACTAATTCTTGTTGTTTTGTTAAAATTTCAATATCTTTTATTCAACCGCCAGTTCACGAGAAGTTTGAATAATTGAAATCATTAATGGAAACTGAAAAAAATTTAACCTAAAAAATATAAAGTGATCGAAGTCACACTCTAAAAACCAAGTTGCATAGAGCACTTTATTGAATGATATTGTAATTCTTGACATGCATGGTGCCAATACGAACAATAAAAAAAAGCCTGAATTCTTTTTAAAATGTACAGTGGAACACTGCTATACCGAACACCGCTATACTGAACATTCGGCTACACCGAACATCGTCTTTGGCTCCCAATTTTTGTGTACAAAACGTACCAAAAATTGTTGTGGAAAATGTCAACAGAAAAGTGACAAGTGGCTATTATTTCCTCAAGGAATAGAAGGGGAAAGCCACCCATTGCTGTAGGTAGTACTCCAAAATTGTGTAATTACATAATTCAATAGTCGGCACATGTTCAAAGTTGTCTTTCAGGGCGTGCAGGGTGAAATTCTGAAGGGCGCGGAGTACCGGCAGCTTAAAATCGCCATACCGAACGATCGCTACTGTGAACATTTTCTGTCAGAAGCCCGACAAGAATTTGGCTTGGGAGGGGGGCCCCTAAAACTTAAAAAAAAATGTTGCCCAAAATATTTGGCTGCAGAAAAAGATTGGAGTTTTTGTCAGGGGCGGACTATTTTGACGTTGGTGGTGCTACTTACACCCTTATTGTACTAATCGAAATAGGCCACGTATATATCACCAAGGTCAAATCGTGGGAAAAAAAAATTACCCCCCCCCCCCAAAAAAATGGACAACCTCTTGGGGGGGGGGGGGGGGGCTCAAGCCCCCCGAGGGCCCCCCTCCCCTTGGGTGTACCACTGAATTCTGTGGATCCTGCTGTGTTCGTTATAGCAGCGCTCCACTGTAATCCTTCCGTTTCTGTTTTCCATTGTTTTGCGGCATTTAATTAATTTTTTTTTGGGGGGGGAGAGAGGGTAAGGGAGGCCTAGGTCCGCATTCCATTCTGCCACGGCAACTCAAAGAGGAAAGCAATATTTTAATGCACAACGTTGGAAAAGCGCAAACAAGATATAATGCAAAACAACTTACACAATAACATCCACTACAAAGGAAATGAAAAATGTCTGGAAGTACCACATGCTGGCTAGCACAATAAACGTAATGCCTGCCACAAGTACGAAGATGAATCCTTGCACAACCATGTAACCTGTCAATGAAAAATGAGTCAGTTATATTGGGGTATTAGGAATAAGTATTTTGGTGACGGGGGGGGGGGGGGGGGGGGGGGGGGGGGGGGGGGGGGGGAAAGGGTTCAGGGTCTCTCGCAGTCTAGTGTAGAAGCACTTGTATTCGTACTCATGGAAACGTACTCAAATACTTGCATTTTGCATTATGGCCCCAAATCGCCTTGTGCTAATACTGTCACCGTTCTCAAGAAGAGCCACATATGTCAAAAATCGATTTTGATTTTTTTTCAATATTTTGCATTAAAACAATGTACTTAACCATTTTGACATGTTTCTGTTAGCAAAACATCACTAATTTCCAAGTTACATTAATGTTGCAAGGGGCAGAAATCTCGATAAATGCATTTTGCGTTTTCACGAAGAGCCACATACATTTTGGCCCTTTGAACGCGTACAAAACCCACTGCACGGAAATATGTAAAAGTAGGTAAAATGAGATTTCTGTTTTCACGAAGAGCCACATATCTTTGTTATATTTTCAGCTGCGCACGCGTGCTCACGTGCGCCTAAGGAAATACACGTTGAACAGAAAGGGCCAATATGTCAGAAACCTGAATTTGTGTTTTCACAAAGAGCCACATATCTTTACTAATTAATTTTCACCAATTAACTGCTGTATTAAGTCTTATTACCGGTTTCATGTAAAAATTCAGCTCTCGTAGAATCGTGTGATGGTTTCCTTGCTGCACAAAGCTGTTGCAAAGTAGTATTTCTTGCAGTTTTAAAATATGAGAAACTTCTTTTGCGATTATCTTGAAAACACTTTTCTTCAAAATCAACATAATATATATAGTATGTGGCTGTTCGTGAAAACGGTGACAATACTTGCACTTATTCAAGCAAAGGTGCTTGTATTCGCACTTTAGCACTGTCTGACCTACTCGTGAGGATTGTAGACCGATAAATAAACTGGCATAGACCTCATCAATGATAATTACACCCACTTCAAACAAATTATGGAAAAACACTCACAACTCTCCAAGGTGTTTGAGACACACATCAAATTAAAGCTTATTTCATCTTTTATTTTCTGTGCAATTTTTGGGGCTAATAACTGTAACTCCCTAGGGGGTGTACAAAATGGTATCAAAATTTGAGGATTCAAGACTGTTAGGGATCCAATGAGTTTTGGGAGAAAATTCCATCCAAAGATGACCACCCCTAAAAGTAGTCCTGAAGCCCATCGCCATTTTGAAAAAGGATGCCTGCGCTCCATTCAAATTTCGCAGAAAGACGAGTTTGCAGTCGTCCGCCCTTCTTTTTTACAAACGTTAAGTTCATGGCCCACAAAATGCTCTAATATCGGAGAATTAGAGGGCATGCAAATTGTGGTTGGGCCGGCGTAGGCAATTTCAGGCCTATTTATTTGGAAAAATCCTGAACTTATTCTAAGGTTGAAAATTCAAAAAGTGGTGTGGTGGTGGTGGTGGTGGTGGTGGGGGTGAGGGCTGGCCAACTTAGACACCGGGTGGTGCTATTGTAAATATGGTAACTGTAACTGTACCTGTGAGGAAAACAGCCACTTGAAATCCGATGTACTTCAAACTGCCAACCTGTAAGACCAGCGACAAAATCATTATCAGAAGTGAACACTACAAAAACATCAGTGGCTACAAAACAATTGTGATTTTTTTCTGTTGCAAGTTACACCCTCCCTCCCCCCCCCCACTCCCTGGTTCCGTCGTCTATGCCATGGAAAATACAGCGTATAGGTCTTCCCGATAATCAGAATTGCTCATTTGATCCTGTTATTTCCAGAGTGTACAGTAGACTAGAGACCTTTTTTCTAATGTTTACCCAGATATAGGGCCTATGGGCTCTGTGCGCCGACATAAGAGGGCTCCCTTTTACCTAGTAACGACGCCCCATGGGCGGGACATTTCGCTGGTTGACGCGCACTGGTTGACGCACTTACACCAGGGGATTTGTACTATGTACACGCAGTGGCCCCGCCTTGCGGCAATGAATTGCAGTCAGGCAAGATGGCGTCGGTCGGTCACCCCCAACTGTACTTGCTTTGCCGGTGAGGGGGGTACTTGTGAACGGAGTGGATAATAAACTATTTTGGGATCTGCCAAGACTGGGGAAGGGGGATGGTGTCATTAAGCTGCCGATGAAGAACTAATGTTCCATGTTTATATGATGCAATGGAATTCCCTTATTTCATTATATTTCTTTCTCGGACAATGCCTCCGTATTCAGTATTCACATAATTATTTGTTACAATGAATTCCATTATGTGACTGAAAGCTATGACCCATAGAACACTAGTTAATTCCTGATTGTTTTGACGTTACTTACAATAGAATCAGCAGACTTCAGTGTCACAGCTGTTTGCAACTTGTGTTTCCCTGCCCACATGCTCATCAAGTGTTTCCTAAAAATAAAAATAGAGTCATGAACACACCATTACAACTCATGTTTGCTCTCAAATAGAATTTTTTTTTGTTTTTATTCCCGTAGTTGTTTTCATCCTGAAATTCACTTTAATTTGATGGCAAGTTACATTAGGCCAAAAAAAAAAGTCTCCGGTTTCTGGTATGTGCACGCGTCGCCGTAGCAATGCGGGTCAGCAAAATTAAAAAGGTTTTTTTTCAATGTAAGATGATGTCTTAAACTGCTAAACTCACTGGTTTGACTGGAATCCTGCTGCTGCACAATTTTAACATGTTTTTAGATGGGGTTACGATCGAGTATAAGCTTTATGTGGCCTCTCTGGGCTCCCATACATTTTGCACTAAATTTAGTCGGGCACCATTTGCAGTCATCAGCCGACATTTGACGGGAAAAAAAGTAAAAAAAAAAAAAATTTCAAAAAAAAAAGATTTACCTGTAATTCTTCAAGATGTGTGGAGTGTAGAGAAGGGCAACAATGATTGACAGAATGCTAGCAATCCACCAGCTGACTGCGAATGCAAAAGAAAAAAAAAATTACAGTGCCAACGTCGGTAAATTTTGATACCTTTATTATATGAGAGGGCCTTTCGGTGGCCCAAAGAGGGGTGTGCCCCCCCCCCCCAAAAAAAAATCTGACAGTGGTAGTGTACCAAGATTTTGTTTTTGGTATGTTCTCTCTAATTTGTTTTTGCTTATCACAGAAATTTCTTTTCGCAATATTTCCTGCTAACGGAGGATTATTCCGAGGTTTTGGAGGATTTTATAGGATTGATGAAACTAGAGCAACTGGCCCATCATACTTCACATGCGAATTGATGCACCATGAAATGCAATCAGATACAAAGAGGGTGCAATTGCTTTCTTCGGCAGGGGAGACTTTAGCTCCCCTCTATTTCTAACCCCAACTATCTTTCAAGTTTCTTGAAAACCCATTACATGATTTTGAAGGATTTTGCAGATTGGAGGCAGGTAGATCTCAGTCACTGGTACTTTACACGGCACTTGACTTCCCTCTTAAAAGCTCAAGTACGAAGAGTGTATTACTGTGGCATAAATACGGGTAGGAAGAGCAACAGTTCCCCGCCCCTCCACGAGGTATATGTGTTTCCGTGGTGTTCCCCGCTCAACATTTAGGGAGGGCAACAACGACTTTTAATTGCAAAACACAAATTGAGTATGCCTCAGAAAGTGAGTAACCCTTAAGAAAATGAGGCAGCGCATGATGCCCTCCAGCCAATTATACTGGATGGAGGATACGGAAGCGAGCAGAGACAGCGGAAGTGGGAGGCTACATGGGCAACCATGCAACCCCCACTCCACAGGTTCATGGACTCCCAATCGGTAAACCCTCCTGGACTCCTCCTCAATAGAACAGAGTCAGTTCGCATGAACCGCCTGATGACAGGAGTCGGCCATTTGCATCCTGTAAACATCAGTGGCAGTTGGCACCCTCCCCCCTATGTGAATGCGGTGGCACCCTCCCCCCTATATGAATGCAGAGAGACACAGACGGCCGACCACATAATTGACGACTGCCCCTGTACTCTCCTCCAACAAATGGTTGCCCTTATATCGTCACCGTTTTGATGAAGTGACGCATCTGTGCACACAGATGCAAAACCGAGTTTTGAGAAAATTGCATTTGAAGTTGGTGGATTTTTCAATTTGCATTTTTGTGTACATTTCTCCACCAGAATTGAAAAATATATAACTGAGACAATAGCCCAGGAGTTAAATAGCCCAAAACAATTCTCTCTGTTCAATTAGGAGATATTAATTACTAAAGATATCCGTCACTTCATCAAAACGGAAAATCTACTTCTTCACAAAAATGAGGCATATGTTTGTACACAGCGCGTGCGCGTATATAAAACGTATACATTTTAGAATGCAGATGCGTCACTTCGTCAAATGCAAATGCAAATCGTGGAGGCTTCATATTTCTAAATATAGCACACATGTAAAATCAATGAGACTAAGTGACACATAGAGATTCGTCACTTCGTCAAAACGGAAAACTGAGTGTGTAGCACTTTCAACACTTCGTGCAATTAGCGTAATTAACGAACGATGGAATGTTGTGTCTCAGAATTTGGTAATCATGTAGAGGACATCATAAAATGTTCAATATCCAAAAATCTCAGATTTCAGAAAATCTCGGTTTTGGACGGATGCATCACTTCGTCAAAACGGTGACGACATGTGAGCAACAACACGAAAGAAAGAAGAAGGCACCCTAAGTTCCCCCTTGCAAATTGGACCCAGATACCCAACTGATGTGCCATTGGCTTCTTGCACCATGTGCAGGACCAAGGGTAATATCGAACATAGATAGCATCAGCAAGCATCACTAACCTCTGAGTCCGGTGTGCGCCTGGTTCACTTGGGCGGTGATATTAGCCAACGTCTCAGTGTCGTTGAGGAGATTATAATGCTGGGCGGCCAAGCCCATCAGTGTACCATAGGCAAGGTTTATTAGGTTGAGTCCCAGGGGTATGAACCAAAATGCAACCTGCAAAAAAAAAAAAAAAAAGGCAAAACGATTAAATTCATAAATACACACCCAATGGTAGGATTTGGGTTTTTTTGGGGGGCAGGAAAATTTCACGAAGCTGATCACATAAACTTGCCAAGCACAACAACTACATGTTTGAAAACAAGGTACCAGAAGAGGCCGGGACAATGGGAATGCATTTGTTATGGGCCAAAACTAAAATCCAGAACTGCGCCGGTCTCAACTCAACTCCACCTCCTGTCACCGTCCTTGGTCAGTCTGTTGAAACCACGGAGGAATTCAGGTATCTCGTTTTTGACATCGACTCCACAGGCTTTCTTATCCTGACATCCTCTGAGGAATAGGACTTGCCTCCTCAACCTTCAGTCAACCTCTTGGCCCTTCACATCATGGAGAATAGCACCCTATTACATTAAGTTGACTCCTTTACCACAGGTCAATCGTCCAATGACACACTGGAGTGTCATGGCCTAGCGGTTAAGGGAGTGTCATGGACTAGCTTTTAAGGAGCGTCATGGCCTAGCGGTTAAGAGCACCGGACTCATGCTCTGGTGTTTCAGAGGCAACAGTGGCGCATGGGTTCGAGCCCGGGCCCGGACACTTGTGCTCTTAAGCAAGGCACTTAACCACTATTGCTTCGTCCTTCGGATGGGACGTCAAGCCATAGGTCCCGTGTGTTGTGTAATGCATGTTAAAGAACCCAGTAACACTTGTCACTAAGAGAAGGGGTTAGCCCCGGTGTCCTGGCAGTGGCCGCAGCACCTTGTAAACCCTTATAAGGTGCTTCATAATGGGTCTCATATTTCTCATGTATTTCATTCATCTAATAATAGACATAACTCCCAGTGCCTTGAGTACCTAAACTCCGTTGCGATAATGCCTGAATAGGTTTCTGCAATGTAACCATACAGATACAGATACAGACTAGCCGTTATTAGACTCTATAACTGCTGTTGGAGATTTTGAGGCCGTATTCTGAATTGGAACAAGCAACTACTAGTACCGGAATTGAACCTACCTGGTAAATACTGATTATGCAGACAAAACATGGCATGAGCACCCGGGTTGGGTAGATGAAGCCTGGGTGAGGCTTGTAGAACTTCACAAATCTAGCACGCCAGCCTGTGTACACTCTGTAACAATAAATTTGGATTTGATACAACAACAAATACACATAAACAAGTACTCCCTGGTTGGTAACGAAGAGAGATATATTGCCCATTCCAACGCATTGACACTACAGTTTTGTGTACATTCTGATAAAATTTAGTTGTGCGCTTACTCTGTAAAATACAAAAAAAAATTGGCATAGAAAAAAAAAACTTTTTAACTGTTTGAAACTATTGACAAAATCAATTGAGTGCTCCCTTCGACACACATTTGACCCAAGTTGGGCAAAAGTGCTAAACCAGTACAGATAATCTTGCGATGTGTCATCGAATGACACATTCTACGGTGCTTATATAAAGTAGGCCAAACATGCGTCTTGTTTGGACTTTGTGGAAACTTACACTTCAGCAGGCTTGTTGAGGAGATTTCTGACGTAGATCGCCTGATGAGTCTTGTACAGCCTCTCCTGACTCTGTAAAATATGAAACAATCTGTTATAAAGTGTTAGGAACAGTAAACAAATAAACCAATAAACAAATAAATCCAGTAGATAAATAAAGATACAGTACATACATCAAATAAAAGCACATAAAATAATATGATGATATGCCATTGATTCAGTGTGTCTTGGACTCACAAGAAGAAGACGTTATTGAGCATGAAAGTTCGTTTCGAAAGACGTTATTGGTTTGTGCACATTTAGACTAAAATTATGTGAACGGCACAATAGTGAAAACAGCCAATACCGTGTGACGCTCTCAGCCAATCAGGAGACAGCATAATAAAACTGCATTTGAATATTCATACCGTGAGTGTGATTCCCTTGTGGCGCTGGATGAGAATGGAGATAAACATGCCGAGGAAGTAAATAGTGAGCAGGAAGATGCAGATCAGCACAGGGATCTGTGGTACCAGGACTGGATACGGCTCCTGAGAAAAACCCCCTCAAATAATCAGTCAATTTGAACAACACTTGTCACTATAACAGGCACCATTAGCATTTGGGTGTGATCCCTGGCTACATGGCATATACGGGTTCATGGCTTCTGACTAGCGCCCCTTGAAAGAAGACATTGACAAATTGGGGAACCGCCAACATTGGGCTGGATAGCTCAGTTGGTAGAGCACTGGAACGGCAATCTGGAGGTCGCAGGTTTAAACCCCACGCCAGTGAATTTCTTTATACAATGTTTACACTGCTTACTTAGTACTTTTTTGACTAAAGTTAGTGGGGGGGGGGGGGGAAGTAGGGGGGGGGGAAGTAGGAGACTTACAATTGATGTTGGATGGAAATTTGTTAATCTTACAACCAAATGTTTTGTGAATGTTGCAACAAGCACAACAAACCTGCCCCCCCCAAAAAAAAAAATGCCAAAAAAAACAAAAAAACAAAGCCAAATGTTTTGATTCTTGGTAAAAAAAAAGCCCAGACGAGGAGCTTGGCCTTAACAATGTAGGACCACAAAAGTTTGCCAGATATGTAAACTTAAAACACCAGCATTGGATGCATGCATTCCACACACCTTGTTTTCATGGCCACGGCTTTCACAGCCGACACTGATCAAGATCAGCATGATAAACCTGCAGGTAGTTCAAAAAAACAAACAGATTAACAAATAAAATAACAAACAAGCATATCATTTCTTGACGCGCACTTCCTTGTGGGCAACTGGGTTCAAAGAGTCAAAGTTCAGCTTTATATTTACATAACAATAAGGTGATGAGTACCGCACATCAGACTTTTATGGTTTTGATGGTTATCGATAGACAAATTATCTGGATGAAATATACACACACAGTGTTCAAGGGTTCTTGTGTACATGTATAATCTGTTGATTCTGTGGAAATTGTGTTTTACGCACGGTGTCATCCAGCCATAAATTTATACTTAACAAACCCATGCTAGTATACGTTCATCAGACCCTGTACAACATTTTCACATCAGCACATTATGTTGAAAACAAAAAAAAAGGAATTTTGGGGCAAAACAAAACATGTTAATGTTGCCAAAAGGGCCGAACAACTTATTGGGATTTTTGTCACCCATGAAACTACTGTACGAACTGTCGATAACAAGTTAAAGTATAGAAACATTAGACAAACGCTGGGTCCCAATTCATGAGATGTCACAGCAAAAATTTTACTCGGCAAATATATGCAAGGCAACCTGGAAAAATGAGACAGGACAAAATAAGGGTTTCCTGGTATAAGGTAAAAAAAAAACAGAAGAAAATTCTCTTACAATAGTGTTTGTTGCACTTCAATAGAACATTCAGTTGACAAATTATCGATGTTTAAAGTTAGCATTTCTCAACATGTCAAAAAAGTAAAATACTGAGTAAAAGGCCTTTAAAGTTTCGAGTCTGGCAGTCGTGAAAACGAAAGATGCCGATTTTTTTTTTTCTTTAAAATTTTTTAGTCCATGCACTTCAAATTATTTCTTTAAAATATGTGAAGTAGACATATCGAAGATCAATAAATCTGGGAAAAAAAAGAAAAAAAGAAAAAACAGCTGGAAACCACACCCCAGCAGCAAGGCTTTCTGCTTTTTTATATCGTACGCATACGTACATGGTTAGCATATATTTGTGCTCAGCACCTCTGTTAAAGGGAAGATACAACATTTGCTAACATCAAAAAATAAAACGATCACATTATCACAAAATACCTTACTGAATTGTTAGGGACTGACAGTCTAAAGCATCCTTTAAAATCGTGGCTCCTGGTGTGCTGACATTTTCAAGAAAAACTGTATTATTCCAACGCTGGTCAGCCAACCAGCGTTGGAGAAAACTGGCTTTTTTCAAAAACTGTTCCTAATTTTTCATATTTAGTTATTCTGACTTCTCTTTGCAATTGATTACACACATGTGAAGGGGTACAAGCCTGCTAGACTGATTATCTGACCTTACAATTCCCCAAGTGTATTAATTGCTCCATTTCATCTTAAAGGGAATATACATCATTTGCTTTTGCTGTAATTTGCAGAAATGGATGGAATTGGGGGGTTGGAAATATATAGCAAATATAGTTACACTGACTTTTTTGAGGTTTTGGGTTCGAAAATGCTATAAAAACCAAGAAAACAATCATTTTCCTGTAGTCTGGTTCCCTGACTCCATATAAGAAGAAACAGAGCAGTTTACATACATTGGGGAATTGTAAGGTCAGGGAACCAGTCTAGCTGGCTTGTACCCGTTCATAGGTGTGTAATCGATTGCAAACAAGTGCGATGGTCAATTGGGGCCAGTATTTGAAAAAAAGCCAGTTTTTTCCAACGCTGATCGGCCGATCAGCGTTGGAAATTGATACAAAAATAGCACTTTTCTTGAAAATGACAGTATACCAGGTGCCATGATTTTACAGGATGCTTTACACTGTCATTCACTAACAGTCCAGCAAGGTATTTCAAAATGATTTGGTAGTTTTATTTTTTGATGTTTGCAAATGTTGTATTTTCCTTTAAGTGGGGTCAGGGAACCAGACTACAAGAACATGATAGGTTTTCTTGGTTTTTCCAGCATCTACAAACCCAAAACGTGAAACAAGTCAGTTTAACGATATTTGCTACAACATACTTATCCTCCTAATCGATTTATTTCTGAAAATTGCAGCAAAAGCAAATGTTGTACTTTCCCTTTAAAACAGCCCTGTTTTGTTGATAAATTTTTACTATGCAATTGTGTTTGAGCACTAGACATGTGAAGTGATACCTACCAGCCAGCCAGATACAGAAATCCCATGCCATTGGCTATGAGCCGAGACTTGCAGGTGATGCAAGCAAAGAAGGGGAAACAGTCCACGGCGATTTCTATGGTCACGATGGTGCCAAACAATACTAAAAGAAAAGAAATCAGAAAAAGTTTCCTTTTTATTTCTGGTTACTTTTGTTTATGTTGAGAGGCAGTGATGCTGACAAAACTAAAAACAAAACTGCCACACAAGCTATAATTTAAGCCTTACGTTTCATCTCACAATGCAATATGAAATGAGTGAAATACACTCATACAGAAATACAGAGACTGATCACTGCACAGTTTTGATTTTGTTTTTGTATATATGAACATTTGTGATGTCTTGTTGACGTTTGACACCAATTTCTAAAACGTGCTCATACAAATTGTCATATTTTTGACGCAGGGTAGTGTACTCAAATAACCTTATTTCCATTGACCATATATGGAAAAATAAACTCATTCACTGGTGGAACGGTGGAATATTATTTGTTATAATTATAAAACACTTTCTCCAATTGATCCCAATCTTTACATACATACTAAGCAGGAATGCTTCTATTAGCATACCAAATTTCACAAAAATCTGCAAACTGCATTTTTGAAATTATAAGGGGCAAATCTGCTCACCTCATTTGGCCTAAAATGACCTGAAACCCAGCTCTTTTAGGGTAAAAAAAAAGGTCAAGTTATAATACTCACTCTTGGACCATCCAGGCATGACCCAACCGAAGAAATAGGACTGGTAGTCACCGAAGATGAGGTCAAGAACCATGGAGGATGCAGCACCGAAGGCCAGGCAGTGCGGCAGACGGTCATGGTTGTCAAACAAGTCTATGGGACTAAAATGTGAAAACACCACAAAAAAATTGAGAGCATCAAGTCAAACGGGCATTTATGAAATGATTCATGTGGATATGACCCCACAAAATATATTGAAAGATGTTAGGTTTCATGAGTGTTGCTGGGGGGGGGGGGGAGTTGCCCATTAATCATTGACAAATTTTAACGCCAAAATAATTGTCCTATCAGCAAATATGCTGTCTATTGCCCGATTTTAACTCTTTCAGTGCCAAACTCGTACATGTACGAGGTAATGTTCGTGTTTAAAAACGCCAAACCTCGTACATGTACGAGGTAGAATAACATGTTATCAAAAGGGGGCGCTCTCGCTCTTTCTAATGGTACCAATTATATGCATGTACGACCTGTATTTATTTTTATATTCGAGTTCTTGTGAGAGGGCGTCACACTGAGTTTCGATTTGTTGACAAAATGGCGGCGCCCATAAACCGAGCTCGCGTGTTATCTCCAGAGAAAATCAGTGTATTTTTTTCGCCGATTTGGACAGGGTAAGGGATTACTTTTCTGATTCAGAATAATCCATGGATACTTCAGAACTGGATGGTGGGTCAGAAGACGAACATTGGGATACCGATACAAATGATAATGATGGTGCTAAAAGTGACAATCATGGCAATATTTATGAAAATGAACAGAGTTTGTATGAGGAGGGGTATCAGACGCGACTCGCGTATATTCTGCAAAAGTGCGGAATTCCCCTGTGTTCAGGAGAGTGTTTCAGGGTTTATTACTAAGTGCATGACTAATATTGACTTTTGAAGATAACAAGAATATACCAGAGAGCAAGATACAACAAGTTTGGTGATTACAACATATTTACTTTTTTTTTTATAGAATTTTGAATAATTAACAAAAAAGCTCGAAGTTGGGTGCTTTAGGGTTAAACTTTTGAAATGTCGCGGGCACTGAAAGAGTTAACAGTGTCCCCCAGAATTCATTTGGGATGGCCGAGCTACCAAAAACAATTCCAGGCGACCTTTGAGTACGGATGGCCTGTCGGCATATTGTCACACACTCCCAGTCCGGCGAAGCCCCTGCTAAGTTTTTTTTTCACAAAAAGATGGTGGATTTATTTGTTTTGGAGGAAGGGGGGGGGGAGGGAGGGGGGGGGGGGAAGAGGGAGGCACACAGGCGGGACTGTTATGAAGTCAGTCAAACATTGTCAAAAGTCAACCAATAATTACATCCAAACTAAAAAAATTATATCAAGATTGACAGAACTTAACAACTAAAAGAATATCCTGTCCTCTATGACTGCTTACTAGATCAGAGAGAAGAGATCACGCAGAGGATTTTGCAGAGCCCCTGGCTGTCTCTCCTTCTTGGTCCGTTGTATGAAGCTGAGAATCAAGATGATACACACCTGAAGCAAATCAAATTACTTCACATAAGCTTTTTGTTTCGCAAGAAGTTAAAGTGAAATGAAGGCATTGTTACCTTTTCCCCCCACAGAAAAACCCAAACAACCACAGAAAAACAAAAACAACCAAACAAATAACAAAAACCTAAATGTGTACACACACTATGCAAACCATACAAACAAACAACCAAACAGCTTGACAGCCCACTAGCAGACAAACAGACAAACTTGATGAGAAATATACCAAAATAAAACTCCAAAATTTCTTCCACACACTTAATTACTAATAGGCCTATAGTTGATTAACATTGTTGAACTTTTCATTTCTTTTCAACTTCCAAATGAAATTGTATAATAGCATTTTTCAATGTTTTTCCACAGCCTGTTAAAGGGAATGTACATCATTGGCTTTTGCTGTAATTTTCAGAAATGGAGTATTTGAGGGGTTAGTATAATATATAAAATATTGTAACACTGACATGTTTGAAGTTTTATGTTCGAAAATGCTGGAAAAACCAAGAAAAAAAAATGGTTCAAGTAGTCTGGTTCCCTGACTCCACTAAAGATGAAATGGATCAATTTATAGTTGCCAGAAAATTGTAAGGTAAGGGAACCAGTCTAGCTGGCCTGCACCCGTTCATGAACATGTTACCAATACCAAACAAAATTTGGACTGAAAAAAGGTAAATTTGGAGCAGTAGTTGAAATATAGTTGAATATTCGATAATCGATTGAATATTCAAGTATTCAGCACAGCTCTAACTCACTTGCAATTTCAACATATTTGTTTCATACTCTCGTGACTGTTTGCAGTAAGTTTTATTATATTCATAAACATTCAGTGTTCACATTACATTTAACTTGAGCAAATACATGTATTTCCTAGTCTCGGTTGTACTTTAAGCTCCAACGTTTATTGAATGACATTTTACCATATGAACATATTGTATATATATCCTCAAACATCCTTTACATATTTGATACTCATTTGAGGTTAGTTCCTAAACCATCCTTCCTCTATAACCAAGTGCACTAGTTTGTAATTTTCAACCTTTAACCCCAAAGTCTCACCACTCCATTTAACCTGTAGCATACCAGACCTGATTGTTTTTTAATTTTAAAGGGACACTAGGTCCTGGAACAGCCCAATTGGGCTACAAAACGCGCTTTGAACGAGATGATGTTAATCGGAAATAACATTTAAAATAGGATATAAACATGCACACAACTATCCTTTCAAAAATGGGTGTTTTTGTGTTATTCCTGTATTGTGCGTGCGAGAACGAATTTCGGGGTCCACTTTTGCGACCCCATAAATATGAGCTGTTTTGATGCTAGTTGTGATAGTTGTAAAGCGTTCGCCTTTTGCGGACGTTGAAGAAAACGTTATTTTTTCCTTTGGTGATTGGTCACCGCTGTTCCCGAGACGCACAACGTGTATATCGTACACTGAGAACGACACGAAAAACGTATTCGTACTCCGTCATGTCTGATGTAAACAAGCGGGTTTTGCTTTTGTTTTTCTCGGGAACGGTCACGACATTAGGTTGGTTTCCTTTCAACCAGATGTTTGAAATGGGCTAAGTAAACAATCCAAAACATATAATTTTCGGGGATTTCAGGACCTAGTGCCCCGTTAAGGTCATTTGACTTTTGATTCAAAAGAGGAAGTTTTAGCTCATCTGTCCAATGGTTTGGGTTATTAGGCCAAGTAAAAAAATAAACCAGTTTCTCGTCCCTGCCAGTTCCCTTTTTACCCGGCCCCTTCCTTTTATTATTATTATTTTTTTTTTTAATCAATAACTTGCAATATATTTAGTTTTTCATGTCCTTCCAGCAAAATTATAGGTATGTATGCAAGTTTAGAATCTGTTTTAAGAAGTAATGGCTCAATGGACACCAAATTAATGTTAGCCTTGGTCTTCAACCTTTTCAATCGCCCAATTCTGGTGACATATTTATATTCCCTTAAAAAAAACAAAAACAAACAAAGCTAAAAACTAACACCAAACCAACACAAAACAAAACAAAACAAAACAAAACTAAACAAAACAAAGGAAACTAATAATCTGTTTAATGCCCAGCTGCGATCTACTTTGTAAAAAAAAAGCCTCTTTAGTTTTAGGTTCAAGAGAATTAAAGTTTTAGTTTTGTTGATTTATATAATTTGCTTATGTGTACTAGCCTTATCCCATGCAAAACCTGAAAACTAAAGCTTACATGTATCTGATAAGTTTGTGTAATTCTTTTGAATTATCTAATCTTGTCAAGTATCTGTTGAAATTCTGCATGTAGACAATTAATTATTAACTTATTCAGACACACTATAACATGACTAATTGATAAGTGCTGAAAAAGACTGAGTTTGAAGCTGCAACAATTTCAAACAAATTTGCCCAACGCACATGTAACACCCTTGATAGTTATGACTGGTTCTGTACCCTCTTCCTCCATGCTTATAATTATTTGAAAGAGTTCCATACCTGGACATCACTTGACACCCTGTGCACAAACCCTATGAGACTGGTCTGAACAATTCTCAGTAAACACTTCTGTACTTTTCCCTGCTAAATTTGACTTTTTAGGACATGTTATCGCTTTCTGATGGCTGATAGGTCACTGCAGGGGAAAATTAGTAATGTCCATGAATGGAAAATTTTCTTTCCCTTATATCACTATGAACAAACCACAAAGGAAATCTGACAAGTTCTACTTTACATCAATTTCCCCATTGAAAGGCTAGAATGAAAATACAGAAAGTCACAAGATATCTGGTTAAATGAATAGTACTTACAGCGAAGGGGAAGGAGCCATGAACAAGAAAACCTCTGTATGTGGCAATGATACAAGTCTGGTTTGCCCTAAAATATGAAAAGAAAAAAAAAGAAAAGTGGTTAATGGTCTTCCTTTGGCGATTGTGGACTTCTCAATCTTTTTGATTCTTAACCACTTCATGTACTGATGACATGTTTAAACAATATGGCTGATGCCGTTTCTATACATAGGCACGGCAGACAGGCTAAAACGTCAAGCGTGCCTCGCCTCGCCTCTGGATGACGTCTAAACATGCTAATCCCCCATTGTTTTGTACACACACACACAAAGCCCAAGAAGTCTGTGGAGGTGGACCGTGTGTTGTACTTGAACTTGGCCATTGTGTATGGCCTGTTGTGGTACAATTTACGCTCCCTGGGAATACCCTGGGGTGTTGAACCTGGGAACACCCTGGGATGTTGAAAAATATTGGGTTGCGGTATGAAACATCGTACAAATACTGTTGAAATGACTCTTGCGAATCAGTATTTGTGGCATTTGGCTGTACAATGTATATCAAAAGTTGGTTGCTAAATCTTGCCTTTTTCGAAAATCGAACTTTTTGGCAAAAATAATTCCGGTGTGAACTATGGTTAAAAGGATTTATTCGCTCCAAGATGACATTTGCAACCTTTGGTAATTTCTTCTTAATTATATTGACCCTATTTTTTGGGATTATGAACAGTATATTTTGGGAGAAAATGCAATTTTCTTACCTGATATTCCAGTAGCAACCTTGCGAATCTACACACTTTAACAGGTGTCGCCATGTTTGTTTTCAGTGTGCGCATTTTGTCGCTGCAAAGTCGCGTCATCGTTTTACCCCATAATTTCACTCAAAAATCAAAAGTCTGCCCTCTTTACACACAATTAATCCCTTCTCTTAGGTGAGGCGAGTTTTCCTTCTCTTATAGTATAGGGACGGGGTCCTAAACTCCCCAACCGCCATTAACCAGTCCTGTAATTGGCGGTTTTTTCTGCTGTTGGATGTGGATAATAAATAAATAAATAAATAAATAAATAAAGAGGGCCAATATTTTCCCCAAAAAATGGTTTCTTTATCTAGATTTTCAAAAGCGTACAAAGAGTATCATTATGTAGGTACATTTGTATGTAGTGAACATATGATCCAACACTCAAGTTATAAACTTTGGGAACACTACATTTTTGAATGAATTATCATCAAGGAAAGAATACATGTAGTATCCTGACATCATTCTGGTGTTGTGTATAAAGTCTATATGGAGTCATGAAAAATTTCTAGTTATGTTTGTTTTAGAAACTTTGACAAACTTTTGATTTCTACTGTATTTGACTTAAATTGGGTTTGGCTTGGCTTGGACTCCCATTTTGTGTTTTCCGTTTTCCATTTAGAGTTTTCCGAACTGAAAGAGAGAGGCTGAGAGAGAGAAGGGGGGGGGGGGGGGAGCATTTGGCGCTCGGGTACAGGATCATTGGGGAGACGCCAAGTTTTTTTTTTGCCGTGGGAATTTTGTTGCCGTGTCCAGCCGCGGGTGGTGGGTACGGGTTGGGGGTAGCCTGCTTGGCTCGGTCGGATATTATTTTAGTTTGGGTAATTGATGGTGCTATCCCATTCATTGGCACTTGGGATGGGCAGACACCGGACATAAGAGATCGGGTAGGATTCGGATAATGAAATGTGATTGTGTTGTCTCAACTGTTGAGTGGTGCTGAGTCGAGTTGAGTTGTCTCAACGGTCGAGCTGTCTCAACGGTCCAGCTGTCCCGAGTCACTTGTCTCAATGGTCGAGTTGTTTAGACATTCATTTTGATTCTCGATCTCTACTGGATCCTAAGGTGGCCTTGCAAAGTTTTGACATAACTGAGACGGACATAGGTCCGTGGTTTCAAGATCTCCCTTTGGAAGAAACAAGCTGCGTCAAGCCTCAACTGGTTCACGACACTGCAACTAATAATCCCACAGTTGGGGGTTCAAATCCAACAGGGGTTTTCAAGTTTTGGACCAATTTGTAACGGATGACTTCGATGACTTTGATGACGCAAGTAGATTTCGTCCAAGCAAATTGATGAAGAATTGCGCCAACCGTAAGTGCAGTTTCGTGCAGCAAAAAATGACACTCTCCTCGGCCATTTTAGTCAGTATACTATCAGTAGGTTGGTTTGCACGCTGTGTGACGAAGGATACAGCGCAGCAATAACGTTGCCACACTAGTGGGGCCATTTGTATACACAAACATGAAACAATTTACATAATACATGTAACTAATACAATCCTGTAATTTCACATTGAACAGTTTTGGACTCGCACCGATTATATTGTAATTAGGCCTAATTAATTAGCGACCTTGACACACACATGCATGCTTGAAAAAAATGGGATTGGGATGTAATTTTCATAGCATTGCAGGCGTACAGTCTTTAGTCACTATTTTCATATAGCCCTTTTCCATAAGAACAGAGGACTTACACTGAAATATTCTGATCCATGGTCGGGTCGCGTCACGTGGCGTTCGAGGAGTTCAGAAGTTAGAAACCCGGGCAAAATATCCACCGTATTATGATGATTCCAGCCTTTTTCAGGAGGAAACAACCTTCACATTTTCCTCACATCGGGTGCTAAGTCTGTGCTACTTCACCTCTCTCTCGGTAATTACGGCTCGTTGTGCTAGATCTAATGACAAATGTACACACGCATTTACAGAACATCCCTTACGATTCGAACTTTGTACCGCATTTTGTGGTGCGGTGGGGCTGCCGCGCATATCATTTACACACGTGATCCACCACGTGCATCTGATGCTGGTTGTTTATAAAAGAGCGCCCTCTGTTGACGACTATTATGAGTTTTTCAGATACCGAGAAATTGGAAGTGAAATGAAAAGTACACGTCTCAAAATTTCAATAGTATTGTTGCGTTCCCGCAAATTGCGTAGTTTACTTCTTTCCTAACCAATCCATTCCACTCCGTGCACAGTGTAATGCTTGCAGCGATCCTGTGTGCCCTCACACAGCGCGAAGCTTTACCACGAAGTCTTAGACACACGTTTAAGTGTGCAGCACATTGTACAGTACGCTATTGTATAGCGCGCAATGCATGTAGCACTCACTGCTATTGAACATGTACCGCCATGGGACATGTACTTAGGACTTAGCCATTTTCCCTCCACCTTTCCCCGGAGTCGATGCGAATTCCCCTCACACACCTTACCTCGCATCCGACCCACATTGACCCCAAGCATTTAGCGAATGTGGCTCGCTAAAACCTACCCGTGTATTCACCCCTTAGTGACCCCGTACACCCCAGCGAGTGTGTCCCGCTAACCCACTGGCCGAGACCTACGGTAGCTAGAGGTCAGGTTACGTCCTTCATCTCATAGTTTTACTCCATAGCATTAGTGTGTAGATTCTTACCTAGTCTAGAGACTAAGTCTTGTACACAAACCTATGTACCGAGAAGTTATTCCCTTTCCCTTTTCCTTGAGGATCAGTTCCCCGTAACGCACCCACGAGTGATCCTACTTCGCCCGCTAACCACTGCTCTCGGACTTTCTTCCACTAGAATGTCTAAGTCAGCGTGTACAAATCTCCCATAGAGAACTTTCCCCATGCCTTTGTACACGTATGCATTATTCATAACCACCAGAATCCAATGCTCCCATTGGCTAAGACGCGCCCCCAAAAGTCTATATAAAGCGCGCAGAAATGGCAGTTCTGGTCATTGTTGATCTGGGCTCTGACCCCGACAGAGTCCCTGACATGTACACGTAGATTATCGAGCTGCCCGCTCACTGGCCATAGACCCTACGTCTCAACCTCGTCCCCAGTGCTTACTTTATTTCCAACCGCGTTTCCAATAGTAAACCCTGGATAGGAAACTTTCTTCTTGTATCCTGATTGGATACCCCAATTGGCTAGTAATGGATTTATATCGTGTATTTGGTGCTATTATTCTTACAACGTGCAGTCCGTGTTTCGCGATCATTCGTCCACGCCTTCTCGAAAATACTAATTTCCTTTCCAATTTGCTCATATTAATATGAAATAATTATACTGCATGTTGTCTCGATAAGATCGTTACAGTTTGATTTCAAAAATCGTGTTTTCGTAACTCACGCCGTGCTCGCGCTGCTACGAATTGACTCTGTTTTTACCCCAGACACCGCATACAAAAACAAACGCTAATGTGTAACGCATATCCAGGCACCAGACTGTTCCTCATTTGCATACGTGTTCAAAAATCTTGCACATGCAAATGATCCAATACCAGGGTGAGAGAGCAGGTAGTGGTGGGCGCGTTCTGCTCGACACCCTGGGGACGAGGTTGCCTACGTCTGTACACAGATAAACATGTACGCCGTAACTTTACATTGTATATAGTGCGCCCTCTATTGACCTGAGATGTAAATAATCCCGAATAAAGTACTAGTGTGTGTGTAAGATTTTTGTATCTGACTCTTTATTTGATAATGTCTCTCACCCCAGAGAGACGTTACAGTATGAAACACAAGTTGAAATCATGTTAACATAGTGTGTGCAATGACGATTCCAGTTTGTTGTAAAGTAATATTTGATATAGACATCTGATAAGCTGGAGACACATTTCAAGATTAAAAAGTGTGATATGAAGAATTTGCTTTTTGTGGAGTGGGAGCCGAGGGGATAAGTAACACAACAAATCCAACTCTCTTTATCGATAAATGACATTTAATGTCTTACACATAGCCCGATGGGATTTTAAGAATTCATTTGACAGCAATCTGCCTCAGGGTTCCCTACAATGCTACATGTATTTCATTTCTCTTGAAAATAAAGGATTTCGGGATTAACACCACAATCAGTACATGCAAAAAGCAACCAATGTTCAACCATACAATTTACCTTTGGACAAGTAGTACACAATCGCATAATATAGTAGGGCCCGATTGAGATGCAAATTTCTAAGAGATGCAAATTTCTAAGAGATTTTTGTCTGCTCAATAGATGAGTAGAAGCTTGGAGATGATCAGTGTTTAAAATGAATACATCTATGACATCAGGCAGATCGCAGAGCTGCCAACATTTGCATCTTGCAATCAGGAAGATTTTGTACAACAATCAGGGACATATTTAGAATTACATTCAATATACATGTAATAGGGAAAAAGTTTCCTTAATCAGGGAGATTTTCAAATTTGTTCATCAGAACATGGAAAGATCAGTTTATTTTCAGGGAACTTTCTGCAGAATCAGGGAGAGTTGGCAGCTCTGAGATCGTGTTGTTTGCCTTGAATAGTGACAGGAACAATATTTCAAATTGAATGGCAAATTAGGAGCAATCCTGATAAATATTAGAACCACCATTTGCAGCAAATGGAGAGGAAAGCTTTGCTGCTGTATGTGAAAGCATCAGGGAGAGTTCGGTGAAAGCTTGAATAGTTCCTTTTGAGATTGTCAATTCTATGAATTAAATTAAATTCTTGTTGAGAAAAAGGATCACTCTGAGATGAGACGCAAAATCATTAAACTCATTTGAGCTCTACCGCCCCAAACTGCCCTAAGCGCCCCAAACTGCCCATGCACTGTATTATCTGTATGTATTCACCAGGGAATCAATACAATGTAATACAATGTAGTACAATGTAGTACATAGATGAATAATTATGTTAAAGGTACATCGGATCATTTGCTTTTTAAGAACGGTACATATTTAACTAACTTGTTGAGGTTTCATCTCAGTGGATACTGACATTTTGATAAAACAGAGAAAATGTATGCACAATCTTTAGGGTCTCGTAACTGGATTCCGTTGCTAACGCAGGTAAAAAAAAATAAGCCCACGGACACACTTTCTTAAACCACCTGCAATGATTGGTTTCTTCTCAATAATACCATCTCAGGCAGAATAATCTCACAGGGTTTTTGGTACCAGTCCTATCTTCACTTTAAGCAAGGAGTTTCTATCAGTAGGTACGTTTCCGGGTAATTGCAAATGTTCCCACGTGCCTTTAAAGAGGGTACAGTCTTTAAGTTGCCAAGAAATCAACGCAATCTGTTTGTACGAGATGAAGTCTCTGCAACCATAGAATATTCCTCAGGTTTTTCCGAATGCAATCTTCCTGTCATCACACTTCTCGTCCACAGTCCACCACCAGCGTCCCATATTCACACAATGTTCTCATTTGTCATTGTAAACTGCCGTTCTTTGGTTTAGCGGATTGTCCGGGGATCGGGCCCAGTCCTTCTTGAGCATCTGCTTGAGTTGCGACATTCGGAGGTTGGGGTTTTCGGCTTTTAGTCGTGGGAGGTTGAGATCCTCGAAGGCCTTGTAGGCGGCCTTGACTCGCTTCTCGGGATGTTTGTCCAAGGCGGGATCATTAACACTGGAAGCGAGAATGAAATAAGGTGTAGTTACAATTTGTGATAAGATCTCACAAACTGAGTCTTACAGGGTTTTTTTCAATTGGGGAGTCATTCACTGTATCTGGGATAAGTTGTGCACAACTCTATCCTCAATATGTCGATTGTATTAGGGATGTTATCTGAACTGGGCACCAAGTACCCGACTGATGATGTCAGGAACTGGTTCCAGATTATGGGATCGGGTGCTCGTAACCAATTTTACAAATCACTTAGTAACTTCTCGGACAATAAAAAAAGGAAGGTTTTTAATGCCATTTGTGTTGAAATTTGAAAATGAAAACCAAGCTACAGATTTCACGTTTATGGACATTTTGAAATGGCAAATCCTTCAGCCTGCACTGTACACCCTTGTATCTTGCTGCATTGACGCATGATGTAAAGTATTATTGTGTGCACTTTTATGAACAATTTGAACAGCAACTTCCGATATTTGAATTTTGGGGTTGGTCTCTTTAACAGGTACCCGGCAATCTCGTCCACGTGGCTTATTTTGTTTTCAATCTCGCTTGTTTCCAATAGTAAATCCTGGGATATGGGAACTTGCTTCCTGTGTCCTGATTCGATAGCGCAATTAGCAGGTAATGTATTTATATTGTGTACTTGGTGTTTTTATTTCCAACGTGCATTACGAGTTTCCACGTTCACTGTAATTATTACGTCCACACCTTCCCAAAAATAATCCTTTCCTTTCCAATTTGCTCATATCAATATGAAATGTGATACTGCATATTGGCCACAGTAACCATAAGACCAACTTTGTTCTCTTCTCCACTGACCTGAGTGCACTGATGGCCTCTTCCACATTCCTGCCAACAGTAACGCCAGCTGCTGCTTGCTCAGCCAACACCAGATTAGGGTTCTCCTCCAGCGGAGTGTCTAGGTGGGTGGTGGGCTCTTGCTTCATTCTCTCTGCGGCTGAAAAAAGTACAAAGTGATTTTGTTTTTGGTGGAACCACCTGGATTTTAGTACTTAAGTTTCACAGGTGTGCAGATGATGAATAATTTAGCATCAATGAATCATGAGTGTTACTGTTGAAAGAAATTCTAATTCAATTTAAGAAATTAGGAATATTGAAGCATTTAGGCCCCCAAAAAAACACTTCTGCTTCCGGTTACCGTACCTACCCTAATTTGACAGCCCCCATCCTAATTTGTTTTTAGAAAAATGAGGGAAAAAACCCCTAAACCTTCAATTACTACCTTTTACCCTTTACTACACAAAAAAAAATGGCCAAATAATAATTCCCGACCTACCTACCCTATTTTCAAATGCCACGTAATCAGGAGCAGAACTTTTTTTTTTGGCCTCATTGAACAAGTTATTCTTCCATTCTAGTCAATTTTGTGGAGCTGGTCAATTTGCTTGGCTTAAATGTCTTGATCGAGGCATTAACCGTCACTTCTTCTTCCTCCAGAAAACAACCACCTAGCCCTTCCCCTTTCCCTCCCCAGTGCACAAGCCTGTACTGGTGCTACCTTCTCTCTTCTCTCTCTTGGTCAGCGTGTATCTGAGCTCTGGTCAGCTTGCTGAGCTTGACTACCTTATTGGAGGCTTTGACCATAGCATCTTCCTCCAGCAAGGCAACCCCTTCCCCATCTCCCTTCCCCCACTCTCCCCAGCGCACAGTTCTGCCCTGGTCCTACCTTCAGCAGCTGCTACTCTCTCTTGGTCAGCCTGTATCTGAGCTCTGGTCAGCTTGCTGAGCTTGACTACCTTATTGGAGGCTTTGACCATAGCTTCTTCCTCCAGGAAGGCAACCCCTTCCCCATCTCCCTTCCCCCACACTCCCCAGCGCACAGTTCTGCCCTGGTCCTACCTTCAGCTGCTGCTACTTTCTCTCTCTTGGTCAGCCTGAATCCAGGCTCTGGTCAGCTTGCTGAGCTCGACCATCTGGGTAGAGGCTTTGGCCTCTGATTCTTCCTCCCCAGGAAGCAAACCTCTTCCCCCTTAACCCCCTCCCAGCATACAGGCCTGCCTTGGTCCTACCAGGGTGGCTACTCTCTCCTTGTCAGCCTGTACCTGGTTTTGTCAGCTTGATGGCTTGAACATTTTGGTGAACGTTTTGGTGAAAGGTTTGGTCAGCTTGCTAGACTTTGTGGAGGGTTTAACGACTGCTTGTTTCTCCAAGAAATCAACCCTCTCCCCCATCTCCCTCCCCAGCCCTCCCAAGCACGAAGGCTTTCCCTGGTCCTACCTTCTGCAGCAGCTACTATTTCCCGGTCAGCCTGTATCTGGGCTCTGGTCAGCTTGCTGGGCTTGACCGTCTTGGCGGAGGCTTTGATCATCTCTTCTTCTTCCTCCAGGAGACGACGAGCTTCCTGCTTCCTGGAGGTCTGCTCCTCGTGCTTCTTTTCTTTGTTTTCCTACGACAGACATTTTTGGGAATCAATGATAAGTTTCGTGATAAAACAAGTACAGGGTATCTGGGTTTGACAAAGTGCGACAATTCCCTTGTAACCGAGGCCACATTTTCTTTGTGCTATGCTATCATTGGACAGATTCTGTTTACCTTGTGACCAGGGTCAACACAACACATTTCCAAAAAGTTTGTGAAATTAAAAGTGTTCAATAAGCCCCATTTTTTTTTTTTTTTTCTCACAGTGCTTGTGACTGAGTTTGACCGAGATATTACGGACACATGATCAAAAATCTTGATCTAATTGGTAAATGCGCACTGCTTGATTGACAAGCAGGAAGGGTCAGCTGTCCAGTATCCTCCTCCAAAGCAAATCAGAAACTGGAGCCAGAACTGTAATCGCCGTTGTACCTTCCTTTGCTGTTTCTTCTTGACATGTTTGTCGTCATCCTCCCAGTAGCTGTCTTCTTCAGCCTTCTGCCTAGCGGCCTGTTTCTCATGTTCAACGGCTGCCTTGCGGGCTTTGGCGACAGCCGCCTTGGAGTTCTCTCCTTGGAACTTCTTAGGCATCCTTGCTGCTGGCTGCTGTCAATTCACATGGGTAGGAACAGGGTGAAAGGACAGGAAACAAATAAAAATGTGGGAAACTAACGGACAAGCATCATGGTTGAATGTCTGGCAGTGTTATTAGTCGAGTCATGGTCGAGTCCATCACAAGTCAATCACAAGTCCATCACAGTCCTGTCACAAGTAAATTACAAGTCCATTCACAAGTGACAGGTCCTAAACAATAACAAATAAATCCTTTTTTTGTCACGGTTCAATTTCTTCAACACTGCTGCTGGGCTGTGCGGTGTGCTCTTGATGACAAATTTTGCCCTTTCGAGCTACATGCAATTTAGTAGCCTGTGGATAAACAACATATAGTTTATGGTGGGGAGGGGGGGGGGGGGGGGGGAGTTGGGGAAGGAAGAGGGGTATAGCTTTGTATCTAATCAAAGCGCTGAACGCACTGTCTACACACAGCCCACCGGTGCACTGTATGCGAACAGTGGTTTAACTTTAAACCATAATATCATGGCAATCTGGTAAATTAAAATTTCAGGGGAAAATGCCGACTGTCTTACTTTAAAGTTTAAATAAACGCTAGTTTGCCAGTCGAATCAAAGACAACCGGCAAACTAAAGTTCACTGAAAGAAAGCTGTTATCTGAGCCAATCAGAGACAGTTTCCGTGAAAATAATGTTCACTAAACGGAAACCGGCGCTGGCCAAATATCCATCATGTCCATTGCACTGGGCACTGCCATGACTGCCCAACAAAATAACAAGTCAAGGACTCCGTCCGAATTGAACATGAAAACAAAAAATAAAGTCTTAAGCAAAACAATTGATAAGAAACAGTCGTGTCACAGCACGTTGTAATGATTACTGAGAATAACCTTACCAGTAATAAAGTCATAAACACATAATGTTCCTTACACTTTACAGGGAATTTCTACATTATCTATCAGTACGGACAGTAAGCTAGCCACTTTGAGAGAAAATTTTACCGGTCTTTTGATATAGCGCCCTCAATTGTTCGCAAATAAATAACAGTTTCACAAGATTGATGAAACGCGCATGAAACAACACAAAATTCTTTTGTCCAGGTGGTATTAAGAATAATAAGAGGGTAGGCCAGGACAAACGCTGTGATTCATACGAAGTGAACTTTGTTCAGCAACAGTAATGTCTGGAACCGGCTCGGCACAAAGCAACGAGCCAGTGAACAATAATGATCAAAAGCGAGCTGATCCAGGCAGGCGGGTGGTTTATGTGAGCCGGGCCGAGTCGTTCAGTGCGTGCCACAGGTTGCACAGGTGAGTCGAGTTTACGGAATGTGGCAGGTGCAGTGTAATTTACTACCAGTTGGCCTATGGAATTTAAAAAGTCATAGTGGATTAGGCCGAACTAAAATTTCGCTTAGCACATCAACTTCATTTTCAGCAGGCTGCCAATCATAGTTTTAAGTTGTTTATTGATTATTAATTACCTGTTAAACTGCATTGTTATTGACTGAGTATTATGTGTTTTCAATTGTTTTACTAATGAACGTTTTTGTGTTTCATTTATTGCTTTATAGTGGTCTAAGTATGCTTTTAGCACCTGCCATTGACAAGCTTAGGCTTATTATGGCTAGAATTAATTGCTTTGTCATTTACAATTTTACTTATTTGTTTTTCCAAGACACAATTTATATTTATTTTCCTTTATTGTACATGCTATATGAATTGTATTTTGTTTATGGTTGGATATAAATAAATGTTATATTAAATTGAATTGAATTAGTTAGATTCAGGGGTGTGAAATCTCAGCTTTAAAGCTGATTTCAGCTTCTTCTTTTTTTGGATTTCAGCCTTTTTTAATTTCCCTCACTTGCTGTGTACAAAAGTAAAGGAGATTTCCAAAGTTCAGTTTTTTTTTTTTTACACCTTTTCCAGCTATTTTCAGCTATTTTTATAAGTGTTCACTCACACCCCTGTAGATTTTTAGAGGAAAAACAGTTAGTTTGAATATGGACATGATCATGATGGAGGAAGGAATGTGTTTGAATTAATAGCTTGAAATATCCATGGAACCTTGGAGGTAGGTTTCCTACCTCCATGAATTACACTTACACTTACACTTAAGATTTGATGGGATTATCAATTATAGGCTTAAGCCTTTTAAGACCCCATATCCAGATTCTTTCAAGTAACTGTCAAAGGTATTCTTGAACTGACGTAGGCTGGGAGGTTGTTCCAGTTGTTTATTACCCGTTGGGAGAAGAAGTGTTTCCTCAATTGGAGACCTATTTTATGCATTCTCTTCTTAAACAACTTCAACCTGTGACCTCGGGTACTCGTATCGTACTTGACTTGGAAAAGAAGCTTTCTGAATCCATATCGTCGAAGCCATGCAGGATCTTATATGTCTCAATAAGGTCACCCCTTACTCTCCGCACTTCAAGTGGGAATAGGTGCAACTGTTCCATCCTTTCACTGTATGGTTTTCTTCTCAATTCTGGTACTAGCTTTGTCACCCTCCTCTGAACTTTCTCTAGAACTGTGATGTCTATCTTTAGGTAGGGGCTCCATGACTGAAAATTGTTCCTTGTTGAATTCCAAGATTTGTTCGGGGAGGGGGGGGGGGGGATGGATGATGCATTGCATGCATTGCAGTCAATTTATGCATTAAAAGCCCAAAGGCCTGACGCAATATGAATCAAAATTTGCGATTTTGCATTATGACAGGGAACTTGAAGAAATTTGGGATCTTTTTTCCATTTATAATTAACAGGTTTTTTATTTTATTTATTTATTAATTTTTTTTGGGTGGGGGGGGGGGGGGTGAATTGTGAGCCAACCCCCGGGATCCATTCTTGAAAAGTAGGCCTATTGAAAAGTGTCCAGAAACCATAAAGATGTGGATTGCATTATTACTACTGACATGGTGTACTTTTTGACAGAAACAACACCTATCATGATTAACAGTTAATTGAAATACAAATAAGTTAGTCCAAATACAAAGACGTCAGTTTGCAATTTTCAGAGAACCTGGGGTTAAGCCGATAAAAATGCAGCAGGTGGGTGTTTTTTCTCTTCCTTTTTTTTGTAACAAGATGGCGGATTTTCCAAGATGGCGGATGAATTCTTCAATTTTCTCTACTTATTTGATACAAATCTTGTCCAAAGGAGCCAGTAACCCTTTCTACATAGCTACAATTTTGTTGGAAACAAACAAAGAGACAATATATTGACAATGTGCAAAATATATTGCAAACATATGAATAAAAAATTGTTAAAAAGAGGTGGCCGGGGAAAAAAGAAGCAGGCGGGGGACGAGAAAATGTTTTTTTTTTACATGGCCTTATAGGGTAGGCTGGGATTAGGGCAGGCTATTTGCTTTTTAGTGAATTTTTTTTGGTATAAGGCCCCCCCAAAAAAGTCTCCGGTTTCTGGTATGCGTGCGCGTCGCCGTAGCCATGCGCGTCGGCAAAATGAAAAAGTTTTTTTTTTAATGAAAGATGATGTCTCAAAACCGCCAAACTCACTGGTTTGACTGGAATTCTGCTGCTGCGCAATTTCAACGTGTTTTTAGATGGGGTTATGATCGAGAATAAGCTTTATGTGGCCTCTCTGGACTCCCATATATTTGCACTAAGTTTAGTCGGGCACCATTTGCAGTCATCAGCCGACATTTGAAGCAAAAAAGTCGGGTAAAAAAAAAAAAAAGCCGCGTCGCCGCACCACTTTTTGGACAAGCTCCATACCAGAAACCGGAGACTTTTTTTTTTTTGCCTAAAGTAACAATTTTTTTTTGCATTTTGGTTTTTTTTTTACACAGTCCTTCTCTTAGTGATGCTGAGAACAAGACTCTGTTTGGAAAGTGCAATAACCCCAATGGTCATGGCCATAACTACAGAGGTCAGTTCAAACAAACAACCCTTTTAAGAAGGCCAAGTAAAAAAAAACAAAATTGTTTAGCATCCTGCCTTTTTGAAAAAAAAGGAAGGAGGAGGCCTTTTTTTTTTTCCCTCCAAAATGGCTGCCCGACCCATTTTCCAAAACGACTGGCCGGGCTATTTTTCAAGATGGCCGCCAGCTTTTTTTTTAAATGGCCGCCAATTGGACTCAGGAAATGACATACCAGCTTTTAGAGTCTAAAAGTATGTCTTTTTTTTTCTTTTTTTTTCGAAAAAGATCATTAAATTTATCATTTTTTTTTCATTTTTTTTTCAATTTAAAAAAAGAAAAGAAAAAAAGGAGGCAGCCTCCAAAAAGGAAGCAGGCTAAACATGTTTTTTTTTTCATTTGGCCTAACTCACGGTTTTCCAAATGATTGCCCAGCCTAATTGAAAATTATCACTTGAGTGATTCTGCACAGTAGCTACAAGCACTGTTGAAAGGCAAAAATAGAGGCAAGATTGCCTGTGCTTTTATCTTTGGCCATTATACAAAATCACCCAAGCGGTATCATATGGACATATTTAATAAACTGTACAATGTTTGGATGCCTCCATGGAGATGTAAAATAATCTAATATCTCTTTTTATTTACATACAAATACCAAAATTAATTTTAACAGTTTGTATATGTACACCAGGCTGATTTAATTTACAAAATTTCTGCCAAGAAAAAGTTCGTAAATGTCCGCTCAAAATTCTTCCATGTAAATTTCAATATAAAACAAAGGCTCTGTTAATTTGAAGTTATCTTGTAAGATATCTGTGTTGTCTTCAGAAATTCTTTCATTAAAATGTATTGGATTTTCTGTCACAATATTCCCAAGTCGTGGTTCCTTCTTAATTCCGTTCTTGATGCTATATAATTTTTAAAAATCTTTCTTTTCTTTTCATCTCTTCGACAGTTGAAATCATTCTGAAAGGCGAGGTAAGATTTCCTATTTTTCCATGTTTTTTTTTAACCCCTAAATAATATTTGTTTCAGTGAATGTAATTATGTCAGATTCAGGGTTGTCAGTGTATTGACCCTGACAATGCAAGGTTCGCTTAAAAATCCAACATCTTATTTTTACATGATTTTAAAGAACTTGGCACTGTACAGCCCAAACACTGTTACTATATTTCATGGCCCATCGGTTACATTCAAACTTGTGAATTTTGGAGCATTGGGGATGTTTTCCTCTTTTGTTTTATACCAGAGGGGTGGGAAGGGGTTGGGGGTGAGGGGGGGGGGGGGACTGTGCATCCATTCCTGACCCACCAAAAGTAGAAGGAACATATTTTGACTATTTTCTGTGTCCTAAATGTTTCAGGTTGACCCAGTAACAGGCATGGTGCTGAATTTGACAGACTTGAAGCAATATATGAAGGTAAGTGTGTAAATAAATAGTTTTGAGATGGTATAAAATACATAGTATACAAATCCAAAGAGCATGGGACAATGCAGAGGTTGTTTAAATTTTGATGAGTGCTGGTAGCTGTAATATCACATTCGCTTGTCTAGTTGTCAGAAGTTGCATTATGCCATGATGGGGAAGATAACACCCCTACTTCACCCACTCATGTTGTCACCTCCCCCCCCCCTGCCTAGCCCACCTCCACCCCACCCTCTCATGTTGTCACCCCACCCCCTCCCTTGCCCCTCCCCCAGTTTCCACACCAATCCCTCCCCACTCACAAAAAAAGGCGCAAAACAAATTTATATATTCATGTGTTGCACAAAGATGGTCAAATTGTATGCCTTTTCCGAAACTTTCTATTTGAGAACGTGTCTGTTGTAAAACTGTCCTAAAACTTTGTTAAGGAAGTGCTATAGGAAGTGGTGGGTAGGCTGGTCATATCTGTTTCCATTTAGTACGGTACTTTATCATGCATTCTAATGTCTCTTGGTAAAACAGCTCAAACTACTATTCTTCAGTGCCACTACAACATTGTTGTTGGGCTCGAGTCAAGGACTCGGACTCAAGTCTGCCTCGAGTCACAATTTCAGTGACTCGGACTCAATCAAGTCACAGTTGACTTGCAAGCATGAAGCTATATTAAATTACAAGAGTGCTGACTCCTCATTTTTGCACTCGGAGATGCTTTGAAGCCATCCTGGGCGCAGACATTTTGAATTCATGTGCGTGTTTTTAGAACATAATGAAATTAGATGGATTGAATTTTGAAAGTGTACTCTACATGCAACGCCCAAGTAGAACATACCTGTTATGACAGTTAAAAAAAAGTCACGGCAAAAAGCATCTACAGCGAATACGCGCACGCGTTGCGCTGTTTGCGTAGAGCAAAATGACACGCTCATTTGCTGATCGTGCATTTCGGTTTTGGGCGTATCGCCTTCGATAACGCACCGGTATGGAATACAAACGCAGATATGCAAATAGCCGTACAAAATTTCTAGCTCTCCATAGGTTTGTGCACAAACATGGATGCGCCCATCAGGCGTTACTTTGTACATCGAGTTAGCACTCTAGTAATTTAATATAGCTCTATGCTTGCATGTAACAATTTCTTTTTTGCCCAAAAAGTTTTAATAAAAACCCACAAAGTCCGATGTGACTTTGATCTGGACTTGAATCAAATGACTTGAGACTCAGACTCCACCCAAGTGACTCCAAACTACAACACTGCACTTCAGCTAAAAAGTAGCAAGAGCCATGCGGGATGTGTTTCTTTGCTCGTACCCAGTGCCCTATCCCGGGGTACCAGTGACAGCTAAATTGTTCACACAAAATGGAGCTATGATAAATGCTTTTATACGGTCTTATATTATATTTACACTTCTTGATTGAATGTGTTCATCTTCACAGAAGGCAATCATGGATCCCCTGGACCACAAAAACATTGACAAGGACGTGCCTTACTTCCAGAACGTCGTCAGCACCGCCGAAAACATTGCCGTGTTCATCTGGGACCAAGTCCGAAAGGAGCTTCCAAACCCAGGCCTTCTCTACGAGGTGAAACTCCACGAAACGAACAACAACATTGTGTACTACAGGGGGGATTGGTCCGATTAGGAGAGTTATCAACAATCAGGAAATTGATGAGGTTCACTTTAGTATTCAGTTGAACAAAGAATGTTGACTGGCCGTGCAAGGTGACTGTAAAGCTGTTAAAATAATGATGGTTGGAAGCCGTGAAGGCATTGGCTTATGATCACTTTAATTTAGGAGTCACAATGCTAGAGATAATTTAGAAGTCACAATGCTAGAGACATTACATTTAGCAGTGCAGCAAATCTGGGAAAGAGAGTTGAGGATCACCCACAGAAGATACAGCTTTTTGTTCCAAAATGTTAATGTTATGTCAACAAATATTTTGAGCACATAATGAGCAAAGACATTGATAAATTGGGATTGTGCCAATAGAGCACTGGATAGCTCAGTTGGAAGAGTGCCAAATACAATATTCCAAAAGTTGCATTTGGCTTTTATGAAAGTAATCAAAAAGCGCCATCTTTTGTTCATGTATGGCGTCAATTGGTTCAACCGATAAAAGTTAGTTTCGAAATGTTAACATTACTTGCCTTGTTAGTCTGGTGAGGGTTTGAGGGTGATAGTTATAGACTGTGTAAGTGTTATGTGAAGAGAGGTTTCAAGACCTGAATTATGTCTTCTTTGAACAGGGTTGTGTGCATATGGATTGCCAAACTGACACTCCCTGTGTTTGTATTATATAGATCTTTATCTTTATTATTTATTCATAAATACTTCAGACAGTTTAGCCATTCCTATTGGTCAAGAGCCCGTCATGTGGCTGGTCTTAAACGGATGATAAAGACATGGCTAGCTGGTCTTAAACACTTTTCCAGTGTCACATAAAATGTGGACTCCTAAAAATCCTGTGCCTCTTGCCGTTTTATTGGTTGAACGTTCACAGTCCTCACGTAGGCATGCGCAACACTACCAGTGAGTCAGAATTTTAAAGTTCTAAATTCAAAACGCAACGCCCCAGGTGCGTTCTGCGCGACATCGCACAGAACGTGCCATGCATGCGTCAATCTCCATAAAAGGGTTGTTTACATCTTAATCGCTAGCTGAACAATCCATTATTAAGCTAGAGGGATGTTTCAAAAAGCATGAAGTGAACTTGTTGAACAAAATCGGGATTTTTTGACCGAAATATTATATTTTTTTGACCGAAAAGGTATTTATGAATGGGAATAAATGTGTGCTCGGTCGGTATTAATCACTCTGTTTAAGACCGCTTAGAGTTTGGGTGCTGATAATTACCCTCGCCTCCGGCTCGGGTAATTAACAGCAAACAGACTCTAAGCGGTCTTAAACAGAGTGATTAAAACCTCTTGAGCACACATTTATTTATTCCCTTACTCATCGTGTAATATGTATGGCGTGGATTTGTCCTGTCTTGCTGTTTTATGTACACAGGGTTTATTTAGAAGCATGCGTCCAAAAGATATATACATGTATTTATTTATATTTTATCACATTACTTCTTTACTTAGAACATGGTTGTTTTTATTTTACTTTATGTGTGCTTTTATTAGGTAGGAGATAATAATTTGCAGTCTCACAGATATGAATTTTTTCCGAAGAGAAATTTTCCCCTTTATATATACTGCACATTTATTTTGTTCATGTCGGAGAACCAAAATACTTTCTTTGTTTTGTGTATTTTAAGATGTTGCAATTTTAAGCTGGGTCATCGAATTGGATCCAGCCAGTTTATACGAATTTAAGCTTAGGAATGGGTACATGATTCAGGATTAAATCTTCATTTTCATTAAATCAGCAACAAAAGTGTTGGTACTATTTTTTAAAATTTGGGGTAGTTTTGCCTAGTGGTTGGGTGGTTAAAGGAAAAAGGATCTACTGATTTAATGACAGAAATATTGCTAAAAGTGAAGATAGGACTGGTATCAAAAAATACTTGAAATCATTCCGTCTGCAATGGTATCGTTTTGAAGAAAAAAATTATAACATTGAAGGTGGTTTCAAAATAGGGTTCCCATGGCACTACTTTTTTGATCAGTTTTCTGTTGAATAACGTTATCAAATAAGACTGGTGCAAACAAATAAGCCACATATTTTTTTTATAATTCTATTTATTTTATCTCTGTATTTCAGACCTTTGTCCACTAATTACATTATTTACAACACTTACTAATCAATACATTGTACAAGACAGATAAAAAGCGCACAATTATCACATTGAATTTCTGATGAGAAATTTACAAGTTTCTTTATCAGGAAATGCACATTTATCCTTGCCAGAGCTGTGATGTGTCAGTTTATTTTTAATTCACTTCAAAAGTATGGATGGTTTTGCATGTTACTTAAAACCTTATTTGATTCGTTCATGCCATGATGGCAGCTGCACAAGTGAAGCAACATTCCTTGGCCATATTTTCTGGTAGTATTTACCATGATTTCAGCAGTAAACATACATGAACTGGCACCACATCTGCTACTCCATCATTTGTGTACCACACACAGTAAAGCAGCTAACAAGATTACCAATAAAAACATGGGACAATTTCTAGAATACATGCAGTAGCAGCTGCTGCAAAGTACAGAAGGCTATACCTTTGCACATGCTGTAGAACACGAATATGTTAATACTCCTGTACCTTGTGAGCATGTATTTTGTGTAGATGAGCATACATGTGGACCCAAGCAAACATACTTGTAATAACAAGACAATCTGCCAACTCCTGTTATTCTGCTGTTTCTTTTCTCAAATTTCAGATTGTAATTGCAATTGTCATTCCAAAAAACGAACTCCAAAGCTTTTCTATTAAAAAAAAGTTGTATTATAATTGCATGCCCGTTTGGTATTTGAGGTCAGTTTTACAAGCTGATTGATATCCTCTGTACAATTTTTTTTTAAATTTTATTTTGGGATCTTCTTTTTCTCAGCAGTATTACTGGTAATATTGTGGCTAGCTTTGGTAATGGCAGTCACAACTGAGTCCAGTTTCATGAGCTATTGAACCAAAATAATATTACTCTGCGAGAAGATCAGCAGAGTACCGGTGACAAGCTAGAGCCATTACATGGCATTTTAGCTGGTAACCTGAATTGGTGATTAGCAAAATACATGCACTTCTGCACTTCATCTCCATGAAATAGTCTCCTGGTACGACTCAACATGCATACATAATTATGTACTATATGTTGAGTCATACCAGGCGACTATTTCATGCTGTACAACTTTGTGTAATATTATTGACATAAACAACATTTACACATGTTCTGAAATATTAAACAATGTCTAGAACTTGCATTCATATACAAATTTTGCTTTTCCAAATTTTTACAAATAAGTCTGTAACTTATTACAAGTATTTTTGCATGATTGGTTGTCATTTGCAAATGTACATTTATCTCAGTGCAATTTTGTTTGGTTTATTCATTCTTAGGACTTAAAAAAAACAAACCCACCTTGCAATATTCAGGGCCAGAGAATCTTTGTTTAAGACTTTTATAAAAACAAACGTTGAGATTTTGGTACGCTTGGTTCTTTTGGGTTGTTTTGGGAATGAGTTTTAAGTTACACGTTGGCACAAATTACATTTTAAAAAGAATAACTTTTTAAGTGCATTCTTTAAAATTATGCCATAAAAGGATAAAAAAAAAGGCATTAATGTTTATTGAACATTTATCTAATCTCTGGCATTTATGTAAGTGATACATCCAATCAAATTCTTTAAATTGTTTTTATTAATTTAACAATTGTAAGCATAGCTTTCTTTTGTACATAAGAGCAAATTTAGAAAAGAAGCACGCATTCTTTGGCGTTTCTACGCTAAGGCACTCGGGGCAGTTCGGAGTAGAAAAAGAGGCACTTTTTGCTCAATATACATTTATACACATACATTTATACACAATCTTTGTTTCTTCTTTTTTTTTTGAAAAAAAAAATGCATATTAAGATTTCCTTCTGCAATAAAATTCAATTGAACTTTTAAGAATTTGTTCTTTGATGTTGCATTAAAGATCTGCATAAAACACATCAATTACAAAAAAAGAATTCCTTTCTAAAAAATAGAATTCCTTGTTGGTAGAACACCTAAAGAAATTCCTTAAAAAGAATTCAAGTTGATTGCTTTCTGATTGAACTACATGTATTTAAAAGGGAAAAAATATTTACATTTGTATTACATGTACATGTATTAACTTAATCAAAGCTGCAGCTGTTTCATGTAATTTGAGTAGTGCTCACAAATATTCAGTTTTAATTGTCAACAATCAAGAACTCTGAATTGAGTTCCTACTATTGGCAAGTACCAATCAGCACAGACTAGGATACCCTGTCATTATTGAAGTATTACATTTGTAATATTGCATCTATTACAATTCATTCTATTTTGGTACAAACTAGATTATTTTGGCGTTCAAAATCAGATCTCACAAAAAGCGCTACTTTGCATAATGCTGTGGCGTACAGTGTATATTTAAATGTATGCATAATATACTTACATGACTGATAGAAAGAAATTGGGCCTTGAGTAAATACTAATTCTCGATCTTGAAATCTTAGATTTACATTGAACTCCCTTTACAGCACGATTGCTGGGTCTAATTAGAATACAAGAATGATTAAACAGCTTTCATTAAAGAATATCAGAGACAATCAGAATTATGAGAGTATTTTTCAGTTAATATGGTTAAACCATATGGGGTATTTGGTTTTATTTAATTCATCCATGGTTATAGCCGGCTTCTTTATACTGAGTTGAATGTAATACGTAAATGCTGGCTTATTTTTTATCAATACCTCACTGCTGCCTTGCCCTGTATGTAAATACTGCATAGTTGATCAAGAGTATATCCTATTAAATATATGAATCTGGTTCACTTAACTTTATATTATTCCAAAAAAATGGGGGGGGGGGGGGGGGTAGGGGAATATATCAGCATTTACTAATAAAGTCTACATATACACATGTAGGTCATATGAAAATCTTGTTTATCCAGCTGAGTTCAAATTTCATACATTATGTTACACATTTGTATGTTGATGCTAGCCTGCTAACGGCATCATGTTTTCAACAATGGAACAATGAAAAACGCCTGCAGGCTTCAAGCCGACATGTCAAGGATCATATTATCATCAGTGTATTGGTTGCCAAGCAACGTCAGGCACAGGCCAAAACAAAATTGTTGCTATATTTAACGTGTAGAATGATGAAAAGGTTGATTAAACTGGAGTAAACAAAATGTATCCTGATACTTGCTCAATTTGTTTGGCCTTTCAGACCCTTACAAAAGAAAGGTTCTTTTACGTACATTTATAGGCCGTAAGACAATCCACGCACCTGTAAACAAGCAGGCCAGATGGTTGTTGGGGTAACTGTAATGCATCCAACATGAGTGCAAAAAGCGTTTTTTTTTGTAGAAATTGATGTGTGACTGTTGAACTGTCACAGTGTTTGGTTGCGGGCAGCAATACTGAACTGAACTGATATAAATTTTGATTCATCATCAAAACACTTAACATTGATTTACATTCATCATTCAACATGGGTTAAATTAATTTAACAAAACTCAACACTTAACTTGTAGAATTTAATTTTTTGTTAACTCATTGGTCAAAAGTTCTTGAACAGGAAAGGAAAAATTGATAATTTTAAAATATTGCACTCTACTTTTGTTATACTGAACAAGGTCACAAGTGCCTCGTAATTGTCATAAAAAAAATAATAGATTGACTTGACATAACTGTTTTTTTTCGCAAAATTCTTTCGGATTCCACCCTATTTTTCAATTAAAAACTTTCCCCAACTTTCTCGGCAGCTTGTGACAATGTATACGAGATATCCTTACAAGTTATTTTTTTGCAGCTGTTTTACCTTTCATGGTTTCATGGACTTCTACTGAAGATCTTGCAAGCAACCTTCTTCAGGCTTAAATATAATCTGTGATGGATCTTATTTCCCTGACCATACCATGTAAGTTGTGATGATCTCATGCGTAGGTTGCCTGTTCAAGACTGATTTGCTGTTGTGGTGTCTTGATGACCCGCTCGGTCTCCCCGTTCCATGCGTTCTTCACCCAGACCTCGTGCCCCCTCTGGTCTCTCTGAGTGTACATGTACCCGCTAGCAGGCAGATTGATGGCAGGGCAAGGTGTCATCTCCTTTGCTGTGAAGTCCAGTTTGTAGAAAGTGCGGTCGTCAAATGGATCGCTGCTCTGTCGTGCGGTGCGATCGGGGCCCATGCTTCTTGCTGGCGTGGTGTGCTTTGGCACATAGTGGGCACGATAGTTGGTGGAACCTTCGAATGGGACTTCTGGTCGCTCGTACGGGCGCTGAGATGGGTCGCCTCGTCGCTCGGGCATGCTGTTCCACTTGCGGAAATCTGAATTGTAGTTGGTGCGGTCGTCGAACGGGACATCTGCTTTTCGCCCCTGTGAGACTGGACGCCGTGCTGAGGCCGGGCGAATCTTGTGCGGTTGGTAGGCCAACTTGTTGGTCGTGTACAGATCCATATCGCCAGCAGGTTTCTGGTACGTCTCGGGGACGTGGGCCTGGATGGGCCCGCAGTCCCACTTCTTGTAGTCTGACTTGAAGGTCGTGTTGTCTTCGAAAGGCAGGTCTGACTTCAGTGGGGTGGCGTCGGGTTTGAAGTTGTCCGAGCGGTACCCGTCCTTGTTGGTGAAATCGCGCTGGAATGTCGTCAGGCCGTCAAACTTGTGCGGGCTCTTCTGGTAGGTATCCAGCGGCCGTACGTGCCTGGCCTGTGGGGCGTGGGGGATGTACGAGACCTTGTGGCTGGTCTGGTCCTCAAAAGGCGCCTCTGATCGTTGCGTGTTTTCGGCTGGCCGTAGGCTCTGACGGGGATCAACCTTCTTGGGCTGGTAATCACGAGCGAATGTAGACAGGCCGTCAAAGGCTGCCGACGGGGGAACATAGCTGTGGTAGCCCTTGCCTTGGTCTTTAGTAGGCAAACTCCACCTGCGATAGTCATCTGCAGAAAGGGAAAAATCACACCTTGGTTTTTAGCACATTTTCCACTGCAATGTTCAAATTCCTACCCTATGTCATCCCTTAAAAATTGCTGTAGTTTGGGATTTCTACATGAGGCACTGAATTGCCTTAATTTAACTTACAGATCATCAAAACCGAAAAGGAAATCTTGAAGTTCACAAATAGTGTATCCTCACATGACATTTTCTTGTATGTTTTCAGCAGCTGACCTATCGCTGTTTGCAAGTTAGCCACGCCTCTTAGACAACCCTATATACGTTAAGTTTTGTTTGTCTCAGATTTTGCGCATTCTGCGTCCATTTGTACATCATGCAATTGAACAATATTTCACAAGCTGACGTTGACATGATTCTACCGCGATAGTTCAATTAAACCAAATTTTTAAATATTAAAAAAAAAAATTAAACTTCCAAACAAAACCCTTCGAAGATCAAACAAACACGGAATGGTTTCATACTTTTATTTTTCAAAGCTGCATGAGCTGGTAGTAACCAGTTTAGTTTGAAGTTAAATTTAGCATTTGAAATAAAATTTTAGATCACATCAACAGATGGTGAAATGACAGTCGAGCTACTAACCATTTACAACAGTCGACTGGATTTTGCACTGTAAGTGCATAACACTAGCTCAAAATTAATTGTGTACGGTTTGAGCAGGTTTTTTTACAAGTAATTTTGACCAATGCATACTGAGAACAAAATTTCAAATCCTCATTTTGTATAAATTTTTTTTAATTCTTCATACCTTAGGTCAAGAATTTTCTTAAAAACATGTACACTAAATATCTAATAATATAAACCCTAAGTCTGTTTGTATACGTTATGTCTAATTTTATCCTCTGCACCAACAAAAATGTCAACTTTGCATTTTGTATTTAAAAAAACTCCTTATAATGCCTTTAGATTTTAATCAACGAGATTTGTACTTTTGTAACGTCTTAACAACTCACCTGTGTATGTTGGGTTCCCCGGAATTGTCCCGTCGGCACGTGACGGGTGTGGTCGCCACGGAAACTCTTGACGGGCTCCGACTTGCGACCCGGGTAGTCCTTGGTGTAGGAGGTCAGATGGTCGACATCACCGCTGGGTCTGCGGTAGGGTTCCGGCTGATGGATCGGGGGACGGTTCGTCTCACGGGGGACAAAGTCCACTCTGAAAATATCCGGAAAAAAGAGAAAAGTTTGCGACTGTCCATATTCACAAGAAACTTTGGCAAACCAGGGTTCGACTTGAACTTTTTGTTCACTAGCCAGCCGGGCTACTGAAACAGACTCTTAACCAGCCTGCAGGCATTTTCACTAGACCGCATGTTCTTCTTTTATAGAGTGTCTCATTTATAAACAACAAAGAGCATACATCTTAAACATGTATCCTGAGGCAATCTTGTCACTGTTTTTAAGAAACAGATCTAATAATTTATCCCTAAACAGTTAATAAAATTAGACACAAATTGATACAGGTCTGCTTTTTGAATTTAATGATATATTTCTTCCTGTCCTTTCATCTTTGCCCAAGCCCAATAATTTCTGACTCGCCAGCCGGGCTACTCGAGGAATAGTTTGACTAGCCTGCTGCTGTTTTGACTAGCATTTGGCTAGCGGGCTACCGCTAAAGTCGAACCCTGGGTAAACCCTTTCCCAACTTGTGGAAAGTAAATCTAATATAAAAACATGGATAAACACAAATGATTGGCCGGAGCATGAATTGAACTTGCAACCTTTGGCTACACAACTTGGAAACATGTGAGAACCTAAATTTTGGCACCTCTTTATCACAACGACGTCTACTTTGAGCTTCCCCTCAAAAAGCTATCTTGCACCCCCAAAAAGTGGAAACTTTGAAGTTTTCTGAAAATTCATTCATCAACAAATATTCTTTTGGATTGGTTGTGCGAACACAGCTGTTGCTGGGATATATTTACAACAGTGGAGAACAGTTTTGTTTTATAAAGGGGTAACCGGGCATGCTGCAAAACTGACCAAGTGCTCGACTCAAAAGTCATTTTGAAAAAAATAAAAAATAAAACTTGGGACTTATATCCAATCAATATCCTAAAAATAATGGCAAAGAGAAATACATGTAAAATGGGCCTACTGAATTAAGACACTGTCTGTTAAACTGTCCATTTGAAAATTACTATTATTGCAGCAACAATAGTTACAAATTAAACTCTTCCTAGTATTGTTCTTCATAGTAACTGAATCTATTTCCAACCTCTCGCATTAGGGAGAGAATTTCGGGAGACAAGGGGTAGAACTAGAATCAGACAAGCCACAAGTTGACAAGGCTTTTACCTGTGGGTGGTGGCATCGGACATGGAGCCTGTCCCCTGGATCATCTGCTCCTGGGGCTTGAAACTGTCCCGCATCAGGTTGCCTGGATACGGCTTGTACTTGTTGGTGTACTCGGAGAGTACGCACGGCCCTTTGCTGACTGGGGCCTGAGGCCTGTGCGGGCATCGATGACGCCTGCGAAAAAAAAGACAAGGAAATAAAGTAAAGGAATTTTTTTATGAAGGTACATTTGCGAAGTTATTATACAAGTTTATTATTTTCAGATACTGTGCGCCTTACAAATGCTTTATTATAATTAAGTTTAAAAATTTGCTATTAAAACCATGAGACCAGCTCCTGTGGTTTTCAAAATTGTTGTCAGGTCAGTACTGTACAGTATAGCCCAACCACTGTGAAATTAGATGATGCTTGCTTGATAAACTGAACTACGAAGCTCAAATGTGTACATGTACAAAAAAATGTACATTTGTACACTGGATTGTTTTAATATTATAACTATTCTGTACAATGGAATTTGGTTAATTGTTGGATGAATAAACATACTGTGACAAGAAATTCTATATTGTTTTGGAATGTTTCCTTTTTCATGGTTTTTTGGCCGGTTTGGGCTGGGAAAGGGGTGATGTAAAATGTAATTGCAATTTAAATCAATTTGCAATATGGGTACATGTTTACACAGAAAAACACACCCTTAAAATTAGTATTTCTTAATTTTTACTCCTTTTTCAGTAACTTCACTTTTAAAATGCAGCCAGTTCACTTCACCCACTGCATCAACAAAACGGTTGCCAAGGCAACGCCACTATGGTTCATTATTGATACGCCATTGTAAAAAATTCATCCCTCCATGGTCAGGCGTTGCCGAGGGCAACAGTGGTGCCAGCTGATGAATGTGAGCCAGCAGACGGCAATTTCCTCGATATTGATTGTGGATGAGAACGACCTACCGAGCCTAATGAGCTGCGGCAATGAGAAATGAAAGGACCCACTCCAATAGATCAATTATCCAATTTAAATATCAAATTCTTTGTTCACGGAAGTATGATTTCTGAGAATTAATATTGGTTTTACATGTACGTTAGTTCCATATGAAACCTTGAGATCCGTATTATAAGATTAAACAATCTTTAAGAGTACTTTTATTGGTAAAAGAAAAATAGCACACATCATCTTCAATCTTGGGTCTATAGCCATGGTGTAGTTGATTTAACAGTTTTAACTAGCTTTTAAACAAACATTCACATTCTTATCATTTGTTAACTGCATAACTACACACAGCAGCACACATCTGAGGCTTAATCAAATAAAATAAAAAAATTAAAAAGAAAAAAAAATACAAATATTTGAATCATTAGCAACGGTGCTAATTCTATGAGCCCATTAATGGCAATTATTTGTTCGGCTGACAAGGTTGGCCAATACCTTTTGCCGCGGCGTTACCCCTGTGCAAACACTATATGACAATCAAGTGGTACTTTTACATTATGCAAAGCTGTATTCAAGCCCACAAAGGCAATCATGGTGACAGTTGCGACTGAGAGAGTGGATTTTTTTTTAACCATCAGGAAAGGGGTACAGAAGGCATACAATTGTACATTCACTTTTGTCACCAGAAGGGCTTGACATTTTTGTTCAAAGTAGCCAGAATCTGTCTAAAAAACAAAAATCTGACATAAACATCAGGCCAAAAAAAAAAAAAAAAAATGGGTTTCTGGTCAGACCGAAGTTCCGGAATTGATGCGGCAACGCGTTTTTTGGGTGTTTTTTTTTTTTCAAGCTTGTATTGTACAGACAAGGTGGGTACTATTTTGCTTTTTTTGTGTCCTCATTATACATTGGTGTCCTCCATAATTTGCCTTGGTGCCCTTTATCATTTGCCTTGGTGCAATTTCCCCATTCCTTGGTGCTCCTTGGTACAAAAATTTGAGGAGGGGCGGCAATAGAGGGCGCTGTTGTAGCTTCCGTGTTAATTTGAAAAAAAGAAAAGAAGGTTGACGCGCATGATTAAAATCGATGCGCGCGCTGACCAGAGACACGAGTATATTTTTTTTTTTGCCTAAGGAAATCTATTTCTCTTCTTTTGGAGAGGTCGTTCATAAGAGGAAAATATCTCATGACATATCTTAAGTCATTCCACTTTCATCACAAATTTTTCTCACAACAAATAGGTGTGAATCCAACATTGAGAAATTCCAACAGTCTTTCTGACCGTGTCTTTTCTTTTCAATAGCCACATTATTTTCTTCAATCATTGACTCTAAAGTGGATGAGTTTATTTGAGTTAAAAGGCGGCATATGTGCTGCTCTTTGAACTATTAAGTAGTAAGATCAAGCACTGTGATAGCAACCTTTGGCATGGGTGTACTGTTCTGTGTTCATGTCAGCCAGACAAAACAGCAATTTATTTTGCAACAGTGACCCTTGCACTCTGGAAGTATGAGAAATTGGCGTAACTAGCCTCACACGACAGGTGTGTTTTAGCTTCAAATGAAAAACTGTGCTCAGCATAAAACACCAGCAGAATTGATGTAGTTTTACATGGCATTTGCCCAAAATGCATTGTTCTGTCCACAATCACCATGATCACTGCTTCATTTCCATTAACTTATTTACATACGCTGGGAAAAATAGAATTAGCATAAATAGAATTATAGCCTACAAATAACATTTCGATTAATAGTTTGAGAAAATCTAGGAAATCTTTGGACAAAACGTCTGACATGTCCAAGACTAATCCAAGTTCAAGACAACGCAACCCAATTCCAAAGTTTTCTATAAATTCTGTTATGATTTTCATTTTGATAGAACGACAAATTACACGTAAAATCCAAACTTGTGAAAGCAATAAAACACATTTGTGTTTTGGATTGTTGAGTGTTGACGAATCGTTTGTATGTTGGTCGATAACTTACAAGAAAGCAAAAGCTTGCCAACCATTTAATTCAATCATTGAGGAAGGAACACAAATGTCCAAGTTATAAATGTTTGATTATCAAATCAATTTTTAATGACCTTTTTCCCCGTCAGTCGTGCAGTTTTTCTTAGAAACCATAGCATAAGAACAAGCTACGATGGGTCTTATAATATTTGTTTTAACAATTCATCAACAACATAATCAGCTTAGCAACAATATAAAACAATTCAAAGGCAAGTCAAGTCAAAGAAGTAGGTCCAACGGAATTCTTAACATTTTTATATCCTTCAGAACACATCAATGATCAAGACTTCAAGTTAAGGAAATACATGTAGTGAGTGAATCATTATCATATGCTTACCCGCAAGTGCAAATCTGGCAAATGCATTGTTTCGTCATCTTGGTCCCGTTTAGAAAGGACCAATTTCTCTTTCCTCCCTCGGGAAAATGTGAAAAACTTCTTCAAAAATCCTCCAAATTCACGTAGTACGAGCATGTACGAGTTGCCTTCGTGCAACAAAATCAGTCTTGACCGAAGTATCGCTGGCATGCCATGTGTTGTTTAGCCGACGACGCGAACAACGCGAAAAGCAAAGAGAGCAAGAGAGTGAAATCAACACCGGCTGGTCGTCAAGCCAACGACAAAATAAATTATTAACTACGAAGGCGGAGCTATCGGGTCAAACCTATGACACCATTCATTGATTAGCATGCAACTGTGCACGGTGGGCGGGATTTGATATTTATTTCCTACTTATTTGCATATAAAATTGATTGATTGATGTGTCTATGGTAGGTTCCATTATACCAAAGGGGGTTGTACGCGCAAAGTAGATTTTGCGGTTTCGCCAGAACGACTAAATTAAACAAATTGTAACTTGGCATAACTACATTTAAGCAATTATTTAATGTTTTCAGTTTCAATTAGTTCATTGTACCTGTTGGTGATTTTTATTTGGGTTATTTTTATGTACAGCGGCACCTATCCATTATTGGAACAATCAAGCAAAAGGCGCCCTCGAGTATTATTGTTTGTCACTGTGTTAGACTTGATTCCAGTCTTTTTTTCTTTGAAAGTTCTATGCGGCGGCTTCGCCCTTACCAACCTAACCACCGCGTCATTCGACAAACGTATGTTCATATAAAACGTAGAAAGAATATTGATTTTGTTTAAAGGGGCATTACGGCCTGGAATGCACCCAATTGGGCTACAAAACACGTTTTAAACGAAATGATATTAAATAGAATGAACATTTAAAAGTAGAATATAAATATCCACAAAACCATCCTTTAAAAACAGGGCGTTTTTGTGTTATTCTTGAGAGCACCATGCAAGAACGAATTTTGGGGGTCACAATTTTGTCCCCCAAAAATCAAGCTGTTCAGTGCTAGTTGTGATCTAGCCGCACAGAGATTCGATCGCACTATGCGGACATGTAAGAAACAACATTGGTAGGCTGCATCGAATAGACAACTTAAAATACGTATGGGTATGCCACAAAATGTCCATCGCGTCCGATGTAAACAACCAGGTTTTGTTCGTCTTTTCTCAGGAACGGTAAGACATTAGGTTTGAACTTTTGTTTCCTTTCAACCAGATCTCTGAAATTGTATAAGTAAACAATCCAAAACATAAAATTTCGGGAATTTTAGGACGTAATACCCCTTTAAATCAGTTATAAATACCCATAAACTGTGAAGTCACATGTGTGCTCATTTTTGTACACACAAAAATTGGTAGTCAATACTGAGGTAATGGGTTTATATATTATGTACTTGAAGTCCATGTACAATATGGGCCAAAAATTCATTTATCAAAGGTTGTATCCATGGCAACCCATGAATGTTAGAGGACAAATGACTAGGTTTTGACATTTATCCATGTCACATACAAAATTTTCAAAGCAAGCACTTTGTTCCCTGACAAACCAAAATGTACATTCAAACTACCAAATGAAAACAACGCATTCATGCAAAATGCTATTAAATTCTAGACGTAAAGGGGTGTATTTTATATTTTCATTTCAAAAACAAAAAGTGACTATCCTCAATACAGAAAGAATAACAGTATTTTTAAAATTACACATTGTAGCTTTTTGTAGTTACAATGAAAAACTCCATTTATTACCATGTAATGACACATTTGAAAGTTCTGCACATTTATGGAATTCAGACTCACTCTAAAGAAAAATGAGCAGAAAATACAGAAATACAAAAAATAATGTGAACAAAACTGACTTATTCTGGCTACTTCTCTATTTTCAATGCACTACACATGTAGGTGTTTTCTTTGCAAAATGACATTTTTGACAAAAAGAAATAAAAAATATTCAAACAGAGGCAATATCGGAGTAAGACAAACGACAAATATCTGGATTACCGTGAAAGCATTAACCCTAACCTCCAAGATTCTTCAAAATGGATCTGGAATTTTTTGGGGTTTTGTAGGAATAAGGAAGATAGAACCAAGCCCTACTTCTTCCAACTTGAACGTTAAAGTTCACCAGTCCACACTGATCAAATTTGGAGAATCAGGGAAGATTTCTCTAAAAATGCCTAGGGAGTTAGGGTAAGTTAAGTGTCTTGTCCTGTTTTCATAAAACATGACATACATGAAGGCTGTAATGCAATGCTTGCCAGCAATGCTTCAAAATGTCACAGGCAGTCCGTAGTGTTGAATATTTTGTGGACTAATAATAAAAGTAACTTTATGAGAACAGAAGGCAATTAACAGTCACAGATCACAGAATGAACATCGGTTGTTTTTATGATGAGGAGGATTTGTCTTTCTCCTTCTTCTTCTCTGCTTCAATCTTCGCCTCAGCTTCTTCGTACTGTTTGATGGCTGCCTGCAGCTCACTCAGCGGTAGGATTTGGATCTTCGTCTTGTTGTCCTCCCGTGTTAGCGTGGCTATTTCGACTGAAACAAAACAAAGAATAATGAAAGTAATATTGCACTTGTATTAAGCAAATTGTACTAAGCTTGAAAAAAAAATATCAACCGATACGTCACATCTACAAAAAACAGTCGAGGGACTTTTTCATCACAATTACTTTTCTCTGGTGTGATCTTGGTCATGTCCAGTGTTTTGCTGAGAGTCTTCAGAGCCAGTTGCAGTCCTGCCTTCAAATCCACCCCTTCTTGTTTATATTCCTGTTTCAGTAAGGATACTGCTGCCTATATTCAAAAAGGAAAATATAAATAGTAACAAGATGAAAAGCAATGAAATAGGAATGACTCTTTTTTATGACTCATTTTGGAAGAAAAAAAAGCTAGTCACAATCAGTCATATCTCATTTCTTGTAAGCACTGCGACTAGTCAATTTCAATCAGCGTGAAATAATGCAACCATTACTCAACAGCTGGCAACAGTAACAGCCAGTCAATCCTGCTTTATGTAGGTGCAGAGCTCGTAACTGTTAAAAAGAGTGACTTGATTGAGCGAAGAGAGCTTTGTTCAACTTGTCAGTAAGACTAGCAGGTTTAAGTTAATTGCAGGCATTGGGTTCCGTAGGATTCGGCAGCCACCACCCCTCTCCTGTTGTTGGAATTTGTTGGGTTAAGTAGGTTGCCTGACAAAAATATTAAGGGGGTTAGGTCACAGGTTATAACTTGAACTTACTGCACTGTTGTTTCCGATACACGTCGCCTTCCAGCCGCCGTAGTTGCCGCTCGGGTCGCTCTGGTAGAGCTGGAAACCGTAGTGCTTGTCCCATCCCATGTACAGGATGGATACACCAAACGGCCTCTTGCCTGCAATATGTCACAGAGGAGTTGTACTGAATTAGTCTCCTCTTATTGTAATGGCTATTCACATTAAAACTCGCGACATCTTTACAGTTAATAAGGCAACAGTGCAGTTTGCAGACAACGTTAATTACGAGATCACCCTTGTTATATGAATTAACCCCAACCCTCCAGGGTATGTTTCCTAGAACCCTGCCAAACATAGCAACATGCAACACTTGACTATAAAGTGACAAGCCTGCCAAATGTAGCAAGATCCATCAGGGGAAAAGTCTCAAGGCCACACTGCCTCAGAGTCTGTGGTCACCGCACGCAGCAGGATACAACTGTGGCATTGTTCAATGGGACTAGCTCTCATTGTTTCAGAGCTGGCCATTCATGCACTGGTGTTGGTAGCTGAATGCATCTAAGTGCACCAGTTCTTTTCCACCTGATGCACTGTGTTGCATCTGGCAAGGTTAGGGTTAACAAACGAAAAGAGCAAATATACTTATTCTTGACCTAAGGGTAAAAAAAGTTACTTATACGAGCTGACTTTGAAGCAAAGCGATTGATACGGCTTCCCTTTGAAAATTATTTGTAATTTTGTATACTTCTACTATTGTTTTTAACAGTCAATTCAAAGCATATGGGTCTACAGACGTCCTGTCAATAGAGTTGTAATAAAATCCTGTCAATAGAGTTGTAATAAAATCTTGTCAACTGTAAGTCAATCACAACTTGAACCACAAGTCAGATAACGAAGGATGAATTATAACAAAGGAAAGCCTTTGCCACAGTTTATTGGAATAGCTTGCCATGCAAGACTGGATGACTTATGCTTGGCTTATGACCGACTTGTGATTGACTCATGAGGACTCGACTACAACTCATTCAATATAGGGAGGCATTAGACTTGTTCCTTACCTCCGGCCTGTGTGTAGAACTGTTTGATGTCACATAACGTGCTGACCAGCTGCTCACATGGCATGGACTCTTGGTACTGGAGTAAGTATCTAAGAGGAAAACAAACAGCAAGAGGTGAGTATGGGGTTAGCCAGCAAGCATGAGCTTTTAACTACACATTGGACATTTGGAAATTGTGCAGTTATACAAATGTTTCAAAGATGAAACCAATAATTTGATTAAAGTCAATATATCTTACCTTTGTGCTATGAGTCGGAGTTCATTTGTGAGGACATTTGCATCTGAGGTGATCCCTGATACACTGCAGGCCATATTACTGAAGAAAACATTTTTATCAAATGATATATTTTAGTTTATTTTACAAACGAAATACAAAGGAACTTTAAAAACAGTCAAGCAGAAGAGCTTAGTCCTAAACTTCTTCCCATCCAAAAAAAATCCACATTGCAGTTTCTTTGGAGGATTAAGATTGTATCTATATTGAAATTTCCATTGATTTTTCGTTTCCTTTAATTGATTTATTTCATCAATCTTTTGCATGTAAAATGCCAAATTGTAGTTTAACTTACAAGAATTCATCGCATTGAAAAGTTACTTTAACCCTAACCTTCCCAAATCCTCCAAAATGCTCTTTGCAAAATGGAGGATTTTGCAGGTTTTTGTTGCCGTATGGCAAAAATGTGTGGCTGATTTTGGAGGATGCGCTGTGTCAGGGTCTTAGGCCAGACCTTGTGTTGTTATGCTCAGCCGTGCATAAATTTAGGCCTAGATTATACTTGAAATCCTCCCCACTGCTCCAGGATGTCACTGGCTCTGCCTCAACATATTGACAGTGATTGCTGGAGGATTTTGCAGGATTGAGGCAGTGGTCACCTCTCCAAGGACCACATTCAAGAAATAATAGATTATTTTGGAGGATTGAGGTTGTATGCAACTTTTACATTAAGGCAGTTTGAGGATTTTGCAGGATTGAGGTTGCATCCTTGCAAAAATGTCTAGGGAGTCGCGTTTAAACAAACTACTGAGAAAAAAAATACACTAAAATTACTTAGCAGATTGATTCATTTAAAGAAAAGGACTGAAAATAACCAAATAAGAATAGGATCAACCTATGCAGGCATGCAACTTGGAAGAAACAAAAAACGAGGAAACTCCAATCTTTACAAGACTTTGTACAGTGTTTTATAATGTTTAATGGCATAAGTGTGAAGTTAAAAACGAGGAAATCAGCTGATCCGAGGAAAAGTTGCATGCCTGCCTATGCAATTAAACTCCAAAACCTCCAATGACTGGTAAAAGGAATAGTTATTAACTGTTAAAATGGGAGGCTAAAACCCCTTAAAACTTTTTGAAAACCAGGCTTAACCCTTACCCTACTAGACCCTCCAACGCATGCCAATATGTGCCTCAAGAAAATCTCCTATGTTTTTTGCATGGCCCTCCAATATCTGCCATGTCATTTCAAGGGTAACTGGACAGGCACTCCAATACATGCCACAGAGAACAATGAGAGTCCTCTGATAACAAAGTGAGTGCCCCCAGCTGGTCAGTATCAGGTACCCTCCAGGGCCTCCAACTCCTGCCAATTGGAGCCTTCACTGTTAAGACAAACTATCTGCCAATAAACTGCAGCTGGAGGGCATTGGCATAACCAACTGACATGCAGTAAACTACCCTCAGAGAGTAAGGGTTAATAGTGCAATATGTACATGTACATGTATGCCAGTATCGGAAAACCCTGTATGCCTTCACTGCTCAAGGCAGGGAATATGCAGGAATGGCATACATATTGCACTATTGAATGCATCCCAGATGATATAAGGATTGCTTACTCATAGAGTTTGTAGATCTTGTCGGAGAAGACAACCTCGTCCAGCAGCTTGTGTGTGTTCCGTCTCTCTGCGGCCAGCAACACGCCGTCTGATGCTAGGATACCCAGGGAGGTTCCCGCGTGGCCAATGGCCTCCATCGCATACTCCACCTGATACAATCGCCCTGGCAACGATAAAACAAATCACATGAGTATGTGAGATTTCGAAAATCTATGTTGTGGTTTCAAACTCACACTGCTTATGGGGTGAAGTTTCAAAGTTTTACATATAATGGTGTTAATTGTCTGAACTAATTAAGGTAATAATTTTTGTTTGTGAAAAACTAACTTTTGCAATATTTCTATTGAACATTATCACAACAGTTTCAGTTTATCCACTTTTGCTCAAAGTATTATTTCAAATCGATGTGTGTCTATTTCATGCTCTGACTTTTAAGACTTCCTCCTCCGTTTTCCTCTGAATGTGCATTTTCTAGCAGGCTACCTGTAAATAATGCCAAAAAAAAAAATTGTTCTGCTTCCGGTTACCCTACCCTAAATTTTGTGGGGGAAAAATGAGGAAGAAAAACCCGAAAACCATCTATTACTGCCCTTTTCCCTTGACTACACGTAGACACCTTCATATGATCGTACACAAAAAAAAATCGCCAAAATAATTTTTTTTACCTACCTACCTACCCTATTTTCAAATGCCATGTAATCAGAAGCAGAAGTTTTTTTTTTTTTTTTTTTTTTTTTGGCTGTAGCGGTCTACAAAAATGGATATTATTTCTGAGCAATACTCATTTACCAGGTAATGCTACCATCCCTGGACATACTGACAAGAAAATCGTTGTAATATATTTTACCTTCTGGCGAAAAGATGGTCGTCCTGGAATCATATCTGCGAGACTGTTGACAGGAGAAAGTAATGGAAAAGGTATATCACATATAAAAAAAAAGACGCACAGTTGTAGTTCTTTACACGTCACACATGACGTCATGAGTGACATATAGCAGGCTACGCTTTATAAAACAATACAGTAATTGAAATGGGGGGGGGGGGAGGCGGAGACTTGTAGTGTAAGAAATAAAACAAACATCAAACCCACATTCCCCCAACAACAAAAAAGGAAAAGAACAAAGGAGAGAAAGAGAAAAAAAGTAAACAAAAAAATTCAAAACCACAACAAAACCATAAGACTGGTGTCACTTTATGTAAATCACACACTAATTTTTTAGTAACTGATATCTAGATCCTCTTCAGACCTCACAGTCATTCTAAAGATTCGATATTTACCAAATGTAAAAACAAAGAAGAATTTTAAGAAAAACAAGTCAGGTGTGTTTACAAACACAAATGCCCCGCAACCGTGACAGTTCCCATGACATAACACCACTCTTTTAACATCAAATTACATGTACCTTGGTCACATGGAACATTCATTGACAGCATTAGTGTCTTCTGTAGGTTTTATATGAATTAATCCCTAATCCCTATGATCTCAGAATAAATACATGATTTCTATTGTTTTAGCCACTGTGAACTTGACCATTGACCTTTTGGCCCCAAATTCAATAGGCTTGTTAGGATTACCAAGAACAATCCACAAACCAAATTTGAAGTTCATATGTTAAGTATTTCTCAAGTTATCGCGCTGACAAGATTTCTATTGTTTTAGCCACTGTGAACTTGACCCTTGACCTTTTGGCCCCAAATGCAATAGGCTTCTTAGGATTGCCAAGAGCAATCCACAAACCAAATTTGAAGTTCACATGTAAAGTATTTCTCAAGTTATCACGCTGACAAGATTTCTATTGTTTTAGCCACTGTGAACTTGACCTTTGGCCTTTTGGCCCCAAATGCAAAAGGCTTCTTAGGATTGCCAAAAACAATCCACAAACCAAATTTGAAGTTCACATGTAAAGTATTTCTCAAGTTATCGCGCTGACAAGATTTCTATTGTTTTAGCCACTGTGAACTTGACCTTTGGCCTTTTGGCCCCAAATGCAAAAGGCTTCTTAGGATTACCAAGAACAATCCACAAACCAAATTTGAAGTTCATATGTTAATTATTTCTCAAGTTATCGCGCTGACAAGATTTCTATTGTTTTAGCCACTGTGAACTTGACCTTTGGCCTTTTGGCCCCAAATGCAAAAGGCTTCCTAGGATTACCAAGAACAATCCACAAACCAAATTTGAAGTTCATATGTTAACTATTTCTCAAGTTATCGCGCTGACAAGATTTATCCGGACACACACACACACCCACACAGTCGTTTTTTGCTATGCTTCCGAGGATTGGCTTTGTGTTTTCCTTTGTCCCTGTAATAAACACTCTCCCATAGACTAAGCACACAAACCTGCGTTCAAGGACAATAGGCACCTTCCTTCGAGGATCAATGGCCCCTTTGTGCTCCTTTTGTTGTCTGTCCTCAGGCGTAATGCCATGCAGGAACACCCACCCACACACCCACCCACACACCCACCCACGGAAGGACAAGGCGGAAACAGTATGCCCCTTCGGCTTCGCCGCGGGGCATAAAAACAAAGCGGAAACAGTATGCCCCTTCGGCTCGGGGCATAACAAAACGGGTGTCGGACGCTTCGCCCCATTTCCACGTCGCCCCACGCCACTTCGCCCCTAACCACTTCGCCCCATCTCCGCTTCGCCCCATGCCCACTTCGCCCCATCCCCGCTTCACCCCATCCCCACTTTGCCCCATCCCCACTTTGCCCCATGTAGAATGGTTCCTCCAAGAGTGAAATTAGGATGTCAAAGGTATTGTCGTTCTCAGATAAGTGGGAGACGGGTTGGTATAGCCGGGTTGGGAACAAAGTTGGATCTTTTACTTCACTGAGCTTTTTTTCTCGGTAGGGGAGAGTGATAGCTTGAGAGGTTGGTTATGAATTGTTCATTTGGTGGGCTAATTCTTTCCGTTGGTTAGCAATTAGTGAATCTGTTGGACTTGTTTTTAAGCCAATAAAATAGATGAGATTTTTGTTTACATGTAACGGCTGGGGCGAAGTGGGGATGGGGCGAAGTGGGGATGGGGCGAAGTGGTTAGGGGCGAAGTGACATGGGGCGACGTGGAAATGGGGTGAAGTGTCTGACATTCAACAAAACAATTTACATGATCATGACGATAAAACAATTAACAAATTAATTAATCAAATTTAATAATAATATTTTCAGGGCTACTTTTATTAGTTGTATTTGTATTCACAGAATGTATAAATCTTAAGTGAAACAAACCAAAGTATTATGTTTTCAGTCTCAGACTAGACCTGCACAATGTCATATGCACAACTCCAGCTTGTGCTATGACAATGCAAAATTTCAATGTTAAAACTTTCTAACACGCGTGATTCAATTTTAGCTATTTCTTTTCAAACAACAGCCTTCTTACAACCCCATCCAATGTTCTTTACACCAAGTAAGAACTCAGTTTTTAACCCGTCTTTTCTGTTTTGCAAATAATATCACGTTCATGGTAAAAATCAGATTTTTCCTCCCGTGCCACTTACCATTTTCTGCCGGTTCTTGATTTTACCTACAATGCATCTCTTTCGTATGTTTGCTGTACCAGTCAATTTCTCTACTCCACTCAGCAAAAAGTGCGATTGTATAGCCCAATTGGGCTTGATCAGCGTGTTAATCTGACACATTTTAACAACGTCTTCAACGAATTGTTGGGCGATTTATTGGGCTACCAATGGTTAAGAGTCTGACAATGATCGGGGTTGGTTTCCTGCCCGTAATTTCGTAAAATGATGAGAAATTAATGTAAAATGGCTCACAGGGACATTCTAGATGGTAAAGGCGAACGTGTTGTGAGGCCCAAGGCTCCAACGTCTGGGCCGCACGAGATGGTGGTGACAGAAATGGAGAATTCAAGTGCCCCAAAACAGGATCAAACGGGTGCGTAAAAAAAGGTTTTGCGTCGCGTTGCGGCATTGATTTTGCCATTGACATTGCAGGGTGCATTGGCCCCGCCCCTATTTTCAAGTCATGATTCGTTGTGCATGTGTAGAATCTTAGCTTGTGAGAAAAATCTTCAGATTCAAATGGTAAATTTACAATATAATATAACTTTAACATAAGTGTATCAATTTAAGTTTCATGTCTGACATGTCTGATGTTCACATATTAATGCTGGGGGGCGGGGCAATTTTCTCCCCTGTAAATTCGGTGGTGGGGGTGGGGGGGGGGGGGAGGGAGGGTCGGGGGAAGGGATGTTGCGATACTGTAGCCTATTTATCCATGACTAACTAAAGTTTTGTGAGTGATAATTTGCAGTAATGTTGAAATTAAGATGGCAGCAATGATTGATATTAAAATGATGTTTTATGATATATCGTCAGACCCCCTAAAACGATGTGGTCCTATTTTGACGCAGTCGCATTCAATTTAAGTTGGACAACGCAAGCGCTTTGCAAGTGTTACCAACACCGTTATGGTGACTCGAGGATACATCATCATGATCATACAGTCTAACTGTTCCTTGCTCTATGATAGTTGAAGGCCGCCTAAAACATGATTTATTTTACATTCAACTTCTAAAGTGTTTTAAATTCACTTTACTTTATTTTCTATTTTAATAGAAATCTTGCAAAGATTTGCAGGCCTGGGTCTGGGCATCGCCACCTTACTCACCGAGAACGTCTTGTCGCATCCCTTCATTGTCTTCAGACGACAGTGTCAAGTACGTTCCCTTGCCTCTTCTCCTTTAACTCTTTGAGAAGTCTAGAAGTTGATTTCCAGGAATTACTTGCACATTGTTCAACAAGTAAAGCAATATTTCGTCACTGTTCCTATGTGTCTAGTGCAGATGCATATGCACTGCATACCTGTCACTCAATGCAAGCTGTTTTCCAGACTTGAACTTGAGACAAATCAAAATCACACAGTAAATCAAACTACATTTTGTATTACATGTAAAGTCAAGTATTTTTCTTATTACAGGTAAACCATCATGCTTATCGATATCACCTTCAGCCCTTCTCTGTGGTGCAGGTCATCGTAAACCTCCAAAGACATCAGGTATGCATTGTTACTTTTGGTGAGAATGCCATCCAGTGTCTGTTTGTTTTGTTGCAAGAATGTCATTGGCCCAAGTGTGTTAAACCTGGGGAAGTTGTAGTTAAGTCTGTCACAAACCAATCTAGCCCATCAGGCTGGGGTTTATCTCTGGTTTCAGTGGCATAAAACAACTGAGAATACTTCTATTCCCCCAGGATGGGATGCCAGTCCATTGCAGGTTACTCCCCAGCTAATGCCAGTACTGGTACCCACTCATACTTCAAGCATGCAACTGGGAATTTAGAAAAAAACCAGGAAACTTCAAACCACACAAGACTTTGTACAGTCTTTTTCAATTTGTAATGGCATTCATGAGAAGTACAAAACGAGGAAATCAGCGGATCCAAGGAAAAGTTGCACGCCTGATACTCGTGGGTGAGAGAGGCAAACTGGGTGAAGTGGCTTGCCCAAGGACACAACATATGATTATGAGTCATGAACCCTAACCACTGGGCCCATGGGGAAGTAATGACAGGGTGAACGTACAGGGTGTCGGACATTGGATATTTTCTGCCCATGTACCATATTTTTGTGAACAAACAAAATATGTGGTCAGCAATATTTTGCACTGTATGTGCATTCTTTGTTAAGAATATTGCAGTCTTGACATGATAGCTCAAAATATATCGTGCTTGTTGATTTTGTCCAAGCAGTTTTTGTGTCTGATTTCACCCACAAATGAAAAACAATTAATGAAGATCTTGCAACTCTGTTTTTATTCTTCTACAGGGTATAGCTACCATGTGGAAGGGGCTTGGAAGTGCCTTTGTAGTCCAGGGTATCGGTCTGGGCAGTGAGACTGTCATCAGTGAGCTCACACCCTTGGCAAAGTACAGTGTCTATTCCTTATGAGGCTGTGACCGATAGTTGTGGCTGCGGCTGCAAATAACACATGCGCCTATGGAAGCCACTGGCTTGTGGCTACAGCCAATTCCCATAGACGTGTGTGTTACTCCCAGCCGCAGCCAGTTGATTCGGACACAGCCTAAGACCGTGTCCGACTGACTTGGCTCATTCAGCAGTAACACACAGGTCAATGGGATGTGGCTTTGACCATTTCCATAGACGCGTGTGTAATGTGTAAGCCGTTGCCAAGTAATTCGGATCCGGCCTTATACTAACTCATATTTTTCAAAGAATCTTAACTCTGCCATTGGAAAGAACAAGGAGTATACATGTAGATGAATTTTCAATTAGCTACCAAGACGAGATTGTCAGTAGTAAGCCATTGCATGACACTGGGGACCTTTTCTTTTAGAATTTTTACCACAAGAGAGAGCACTCAGGCCTTTGTTTTCAGTGCTAATATTAAATTTGTCTTTTGAATAGAAAACAATGTTGAATCCAAAAGCACCTGCACAACAATTTATTACGTTGTATTTATTCCCTGAAGAATTAATAAAACCGTACAGTGCAGGGGTGATTTCAGGCGGTACAGAGAGTAATAGGCAGGGCGGTACAGGGACTCGTGTGTTAAATAATGAAAGGTTTGCGGAAACACCATGTGCGAATAATTTCTCAACTAAGAGAATGGTTCTGAAAAGAACCAGAGGTATAAACTCTGAGTTTATACCTCTGGTTCTTTTCAGAACCATTCTCTTAGTTGAGAAATTATTCGCACATGGTGTTTCCGCAAACCTTTCATTATTTAGTATCTCCACCATGCAAAGCCTCAAATCTTACTTACTTGACTTGTGTGTTAATATCTACAGAGCCAACAGTTTAAAAGCCTGTTAGTATGATGTTATGATACCGACTATTCGGTACCACCTTCAAATCCTTGAAATTACTGATAGATCATCTACTGCCTCCCAAAAAGAAGAAAAAAAACCCATGTTTTTAAGTCTAGAACTAAGTGTGGCATATTGTATGCTTTTTTTTTTTACTGCTTTACTATGGAAAAAGTCAAAATGATGTGTTAAAGAACATAATGGCCGTTCCCCAATCTGTTCCAATGTTAACACTGTGCCATAATTCACTGTAATGCTGATTTGATTCTGATTGTTTGTATTATGTTTTAATTATGATTTGCAGGGAAATCCATGTTTACAGTACCATCAAGCAGCTGTGTGGGCATCTAGCTTTGAAAGCCATCGGTGCTGCCATCACCATGCCGTTTGTCTCAGCTAGTCTGGTAGAGGTTGTACAGGTAAAAGAGTGACGATAAAATGTTTTAATATTAACATACAGAGGTCCATAAATATTAACACACAAAGGTTCCCTCACAGATTGATGTATTGCCTTGTATCTTTGGCTGCAAATAAGACTCTTGATTAAACTAACCCTGCTGTAGCCTTCAAAATTATTCTGGAATATATTTGGCAGGATTTAGTGTTCTAGAGCTCAGTTGCTACTGTTTTACATTGGGACCTTGAAAGGTTCACTTCAAAAAATGTGTCACTGGTTTCCTGCACAATGGAACATTTTTGTTTTAAATTGAGGATGGTTCCTGGCCAGCAACACCAATGGAACAAGGGTAGAGTTGTGAAATAAATGCCTTAACTTTTCCATAGATTTCCAAATATCATTCCTTTTTATTGATTGAGCTATTAATCTCAGGCATGAATAATATGGTGCTTTGCGACCACTTGTTAGAGTTCCGTGGGAGGAATACTGTACATTGCGTGCACACGCTCGTTTGTACATGTTTGATGTAAAGAACGCATGATTGATTCTATTCTGAATGTGAACTCACTCGTTTCATCTTTGCATGAGTGCCAAGATTACAGTGGTAATGTACTCAGGTCTTTCCTAACACTTTCTTTGTAATAGAGTGAGGGGTACAATCACGAACACTTGGCTAAGTCACAGAGTTTGGTCCTTCAAGTTATCGTAAGACCTTTTGCCAATATTAATGCAACAATTGTGTTTGTTCTTGCAGAGTGACATCGCCAGCGAGCGGCCAGGGGTCTTTGACTGCATCAAGGAAGGCCTGTACCGTCTGCTGGGCTGGGGCATCCCTCAGACAGCCAACCTGCTGCCCATGTACAGCCTACTACTCCCCACGGTGCTTCATTCCCTACTCAAGTACATCCTATCCTCTGTTGTACAGTTTGTCCTGCTGCAGATCATGAGGCGCATCCGTGAGAGCCGTGATAGCAGCACGGATGGACACTCCGAAACCCTACCTGCTCCAAAAAGCGTCATGGAGGAATACTTTCCCCAACTCCTTGCCGCGTTCGCCGGTAACTTTGTCACCGATGCATTGCTGTATCCGCTCGAGACCGTAACCCTGAGATTGCATCTCCAGGGTACCAGGACGATAATCGACAACACGGACCATGGCTACGGGGTGATCCCGATAAGCACGCGCTACGGGGGATTCTTTGAATGTTGGGCGACCATCGTGGCCGACGAGGGGACGGCGGGACTGTACAAAGGGTTTGGCGCCCTCTTACTGCAGTACGCGCTCCACGCCGCAATTTTGAAAGTCATACAAGTGATCTTCACGAAGCTGGCTGAGGATTTCAGTATCGGAGTGAAGAAAGAGTCTGCATCGCAATAACACACTGTGCACGTAGGCATCAATTGTTCCGCTTGAGATGAATTTTTAGTAAAGTTAGAAGGTTCATACATTGCAGAGAAAATATTTCAATAAAAACCAGTGGAAATTGATGTACATGTACAAGTAATTTCCAGTAAATCTGAAGTTGAATTCGCTCGGTCTTCATTGGAACATGAGCATTTGGACCCTTGAAGATACATATGTTAATATTATGAGCAACTCTCAAACATAAGGGTTCTTGATAGTTAGCAACTACGTAATACACTGCATCTGTTTTTGGTTTGTTTTATGCCTATCATCCTTTGTATTTCCATTTCAATATTTCCCGAGGACCAATCGACTATTAAGGATTTAGTCATAAGCCACACCCACCTTTGGTTTGTGTACATTTCTCCCATTACTATCGTAGTCACCTGACCAAAAGTCTTCATCTAATTGGTCAATGCACACTTTTTGATTGACAGGCAGGAATGACCCATATGTCTATTCTATCATTTTATTAGTCAAAAACTATCGCATGCCAAGTTTGTAATTAGTATCTGTGATTTAACAATTGTTGACTGCTGTGATGTGGGATATGACATTTTTAACACCTGAGGGGCGCATAGAACCCGAGGTGAAGCCTAGGGTGCTATGTACCCCGAGGGAATATAAACGGCATATCCCACATCACAGCAGTCAACAATTGTTTTGTTATATCGTGCCAATAACTCAAAAAGATACATGGTTGTAAACTCTGTGAGAAATAAACTAAATCTCTGCGATGTAACCTTTGATAACTGAAGGTTTTGATGTCCTGCCGGACATCAGACTGAGCGTTTGACGTTGCAGTTCTAATTGCGCAAAGATATTAGCGCGCCGGCAGGTTCCATTGTGGGCAATGAAAGCAGTGCGATATCACCCTCAGTGTGTGACATGCCTTTTTATTGTCCAGACACTTGGCCATCCTTAACCAATGAAATTACAGTATCGAAGCACACGATATAACAATTTTGTTTGATGCATTTTCCACTGGAAGAAAAAAAATAACGTATTTTATGTTGTCTGTCATGCTTTTAGTTCTGAATTTTATTTCAAATGTTTAGGTGCAGCCGCAAAGTGCAAAATGCCAATTTCAGAGTCACACCAATAAAATGTCTATTTTCAGTGATTTTATTCGTTGAACATCCAATATATTGAATGTCCAATATTGAATATGTTATATTAGTGCTTTAAACTTCATTTTATGGATTGATTTAATTGTTGACTTGCAATTTTGCTTGCATTTCTTTACACATACTTCCATTTTCCCATCAGAATTTTGGAATCATGTTGTCCAACATTCACAATGTGTTTGAACTTGCCCTTCGTTGTAACTATATACCAATGACGAATAAATTTCAAGAATATGTAATAATGAACGTGGCTTTGTGATTTTTTTGAAAGAGCATTCAATTTAACGTGTTCTTAAAAGAATTATCCGTGCTATTTTGCTAAAATATTTTTTAACCCCAGCAATGCAAAAGGTATTCTCTGTTGAATGTGATATTGACTGGGGGAAAAAACCGGCCCACGCTTGGTAAATGGAATAATAACTGTGCAAATTTAAAATTATTTGCAGCCCAACATTGATTCAGTTCTCGCTTGGCAGACTGGTTCCTGCTACCCTAAAGCAGTCTATTCGCAGTACAGGGTAAATCTGTGCGCAAAGCAAAAAAAAAAAAAATGTTTGGAAGGTTGCAGATATTGTTGTTTTGGTTAAAACACAAGTCAAAATTTAATATGCGGTTCAATTGAATACATTGAAGAGTACCGACGTTACTTATTTCGTATACCAATATTTTGGTAAAGTCAACCCGGTTTGCATGTAGGGGCATTGTACGGAAGTGACCCAATGATGTTTTTACAATATCTTTTGCATCATACTTGCATTTTGGCCACAGAATTTAATGTGATGAACATAAACTTGGCAGTAGTATTGCAAAACAAACTGATCATCTTTGTGCACACATTAGTAACCAGGCTGAATACTGGTTCATTTTATCAAGATTTTATTACAATGAATAGTGTCTGACTTTACTACATGTACTTACATTACCAGATTTGTTGGTCATTTGAAGCCAGGGGATGGGGGGGGGGGGGGGGGAGTCTGCTCAGACAGAAGTAGTTGATGTCAAAGTGGGGCTGTCAAATCTCAAAGTTAAAAGACAATGCAAAGTTACTTCCAACACCAAATCAACACAAATGTCAATGTAAAAGTTAATCGTTTCTTTTATTAATATACGATTCTGATTTTTATTTATACATTATAAGAGGCTGCGTAAGTATACAACAAAATTACACCTTATGCCTGCAGATGTCTAGAAAAGTAAACATACAATAGTTAATATACCTCTCGGTGTTTGATGAAGACCTTCAAACAAATGGACCATTTTTTATGTTAACGCAAAGCCCCCCCCCCCCCCCCCCCCCCCCGGACTTGTGAACGGATTTGTGAGAGACTTGGGAATTGCAGTGCTTGTGGTGGAGTTTGACCAAGCAACTGTGGTCACATGATCACAAATTGAGATCCAACTGGTCAATTGGGGCCATTACTTGTTTTCTTCAATTACTTGTTTTCTTTGTTATGTCATGAATATTCAAGATATGGTAATGATATGCTGGCACTGTAATGTGTTCAATACTCCACTGCCCTTTTTTTTTTTTAAATGAGACTAGCAATTTTCTCCCATCGTTGGCAGTTTTGTACATACAGAAGCAGAGTTATGCTTGGTTGCTTGTACTGAGGAGTTAGGCGTGAAAATATGCCCCCAATAAAAAATAATAATACTCAAATGATGCAGTGAACCACAGGTTTTTTTTAGTCACTTACCCACATACATTGCCAGCCTTCCCGCAAGTAAAAAATCCTATCACATCTCACATCTCACTTAAGTCTATCCAAAGAATTCTATGCAAACATAGTTAACATGAAGAATTGTCTTTATCTCGTACAATCCCACATTGGCTTAACTACGGGTGGGGCATGGCACGGCATGACATGTACCCCCCCCCTCCCACCAGCAAATGTCTATGCCCCACCCCCACCCCTTGAAATCTTGAACAGGAAAATAACTACTGCAATCACATCTCTTGTAAAAAGAAAGAACACACATTTTGAGAAGTGGTTGTGGACCGACAAGTTAACGTCTGTATAGACTTGATGAAAAGTCACTAGACAGTCATGTTTTGTCCGTCGGCACATTAACATCTACTAGCACGGCGCAATGTATAATGTTTATTATATATTGGGTTCAAGATGGAGTCGAAGTAACTCCATATCAGGATCGAGGATGCACGAACCATCCCCCATGTAAGTGCCATACCGCAGTCTACATGTATTTTGCCTATGACGGTATGTGTGTATCCGTCCATATTGCAGTGCGGTGCACGAACAAAACCGGCAACTAATTCCTGACTTGGATTTCAAGTCTGACATAAAGTTGACGGTATAGTAGTAAAGAAATGAATATGAGCCACAACTATTCCCATTTTTACATGTACAAGAAGGCTTGGAATCCAGTGAGCTTTTTGAAAGCATCAACTACAGTCCCTACAAACTATTTTCAGTAATGGGAAACAATACAATTGTACATGTAAACAAGGTCATTCAAGAAATTTCTATCATTCCAACACCGACAACTTTCAAGACTAACTTCTGGCCAAATAATTACAAGTGTTTGTCCTCTTCCCAGACAACAAGTATATGTTCTGCAGCAGTGTTGTCTGGTTATCTAGATTGCGGTCACAATACGTACCATAAACATGCTAATACTGTGGTGTTTTAGAGAAACGAATAGCAACATTAGAAACCATGGGACACTGGAAGTCAGTCTTTCAAAATGTATCTGACCCACAAGGAAAAAGTTATACAGTTTGAGATTTCAACAGAAACAAATAACAAAAGTATGGATATTAAGGTCAACTATCGGTTCCCCATAATTCCTGTTCTGCCTGTGTCTACCATACATGTAAATAACACGTCACTTCACTAAATTTCTACAATGAGAGAAAGCCAATATGTCCAACACAAAAAGTTATATACATCTCATATTTTTTGCATTTTTTTCCCGTCCTTTTTTTTGGTTTGATTTAGAAAAGATATTAGCATAAATCTACAAAACGAAAACAATTTTCCTGGATGCAATTTTTGTGTGAATATATCTATGTTTATATATATATATACACACACATATATATTTTGTATGTTTCACATATCTACTGCTAAGGCAAAAGTCTGAAGATTATCAACAGTGATGAATATGTATATGCTTTATGAATATGTAAAATTTGAAATCGTCCAATCTACAGCCCCCAATTCACCCCCCTTGAATATTTAATGATTATGTTTGGATGCAACAACATTCAAAACTGAATTGGTTTTTTTGTGTGTACTTTGTCACATGTCATTTAATCTGACCATATGTCGATTTGACCGAAACTATTACAAATTTAATCAATAAAAAGAGAAAAAAATTAAGAATCCGCTGACATTGTATATACAAATTAACACTTTTTATAGTAAACTGTGTATGTTTGTTTTTAATTTTAACAAATAAACACAATCTTGTAAAGGTCTGACTATTACAGTGGTACTGATATTTGAACGAGATAAGTTGAAGGTCCAAAAACTAGGAGATTATTTTAAAGACACTTTCACAATACTCAATGCCCAATTAAATCAATTTCCTGAACAAAAACAAAAAAACAAAAAAACTACTACTATGCACAATTTCAGAATAAAGTAGAAGTTGAATTTACTCAAAATAAAACAGGACATTTCTTAGGACAAGCACTTGCTACATTTGATTTCTACTTTTTAGTCATTGTGTGCTGACTATCATTCAGTAGCATACTCTTTGTATGGGTTTTTTTTTTTTTTTAAACAACGACTAAATCGTAATTAAAACGCTGGTTTTATGACGCCTCAAATGCCGCCAGTGCCCCCCCCCCCCACCACTGGATACGCCACTGCTATCATTGATTAATCAATCAAGACATTTTGTCTCGACTGACAAATGTGTATCACTGACAGACCCAACTTATGTTTTACTTTTTTTTATTAAAGCTTTTCATATTTAAACAACGACTAAATCGTAATTAAAACGCTGGTTTTATGACGCCTCAAATGCCGCCAGTGCCCCCCCCCCCACCACTGGATACGCCACTGCTATCATTGATTAATCAATCAAGACATTTTGTCTCGACTGACAAATGTGTATCACTGACAGACCCAACTTATGTTTTACTTTTTTTTATTAAAGGTTTTCATATTAAAAACTAATACTATAAGACTCAGAAGTTGTGCCATTACTTCTATTTGAATCCCTTTTAAGTTTATTCACAGAAGTGGTGAAATAACTAACTACAATGATGTCTATGGTTAATACGCTTTTTTAACCTATACAATGTTTCACTAAAGCACAGTTGATAGAGAGAGCAGCTTTTTGATTGGACAAGATGTCAGCATGACTCATCAATATTCATAACTTATGCTGATTTATGTAAATCAAGGTAATCAAGGCAAGCAAAATTTAATCCCAAAATCCATGGCGAATGATGACAGACCAAAAAGTATTCGTTTTCACTTAAAGACACATAGGATCATTTGCTTTTTGTTTGTTTCCCATAATAACACCACTCAACATCCAATGACGAATTTTCAAAAGCTAATCTGTTGAAGTTTCAGCTCAGTGGATATTACACATTTTGAGAAAACAGTGAAAAACCACGCACAACCTTTTGATCACGCAACAAGATTTCGTCAATAGAATTCTTCATTCCAAAAATCAGTCAACCGACTGATCGTTGGAAATCACCTACACTGCTTGATTTTTAATCTAAATAACAGCAAGCTTGACAAAATAATATCATGGGGTGTTTAGTAGGTTACTATTGGGATAAATGCAAATGTCCTATATGCCTTTATTCAAAGTAATTGTATAAGTCTCGCGCAAATAACGTCACTTCCTGCAGATTGCCACGTGCATCAGCATTTTGGGCGTCAAATGTGCGTGACGTGCATTGGCTGCGCCGTATTTCGAAGAAACTTCTAACAACACGTGCGCGTGTTTAGAACATTTTGCACACGCACCTGCTGGCATTGAAGACGCAGCTGTAATTCTCCTGTGAAGATGGCGTCCTATGAGAGAGATGTATAGGACTACTAGATTGCCAACACACATATATCTTTCTATGTTGCCCAATGGTGAAAATAGGAAAAACAAGCAATGTCTAAACTTGCAAAAGGTTAGTGAACCACAACCGAAAATCTAGAGGTCATTTCCAACTTTCAAACCATTTGTTTCCTTTTCCAATGTTTATATTACATCATACAGCCCAAAAAAATTGTGAATGTTTAAATTATTCAAATTAATTTTTTTTTTTTTTAAATCAAACTGCCCTCCCTCAAAGGTGCCAAGATTACACAGAGAACTAAAAAAAATGCAGCAAAAGATATATAGTGACATACAACCTAAAAATGGGACTTTATTACATGTATTATGCGGTCATAAAAAGCACCAATACTGAAAGCTTTCTGGATTTTTGTATTCTCAATTTCAAAGAAGTTTTGACTTTTTAATTGGACACATTATAATGCAAGTAGCTAATCCGGTTAGCAAATGCTTGGACACACAAGCCTTTAGACTGGATACCAGCACACTAACATTCAGAAACAACAAGTATTATTGCATCTCACCCACAGATTCTGTATCTTGATTGGTCGAGAGCGAGTCACATGGCATTCGGTACTTTTACTAGCTGTGCACAGCCATAAAGATTATATAATGGCTGCCTCGATCTGAAAAAGTACTATATGCATAGAAACCAACATAGCAACCAGGGGTCTTTATGCAAACGGGTTCCCACGCACTACAGAATCGGGTTCAAACATTTCATGGTAAGTTTGGAAAAGTGCAAGTTAATTTTCAACTAATTTCAAATTGAAACAGAAGTACATTGTAATTGGATTTTGGTTAATCTAATCAGTTATCTCTTAAAAGCAAGCAGAATCTATGGGTGAGATGCTATACAACAAATATTGACTGCTTTAACTCATGGTGTAGCCTCCGGTCTCTTGATGATCCATTCGGCGTTCCATTGCTCTCAGCTATGCCTCAGGAAAGCAGATCGCTCCGTGGATCACCATGGAAGGCTAGTTTTACCACACTACTCCAAGTACTCAATAGTTGTATACTATACACTGACAAAGAATGTTGGGTTGACTTGCTCAAGCTTGGATATAAATGTAACATGTAACTTTCTTCTGATAATCTACATATGTATTGGTTGAAGACATTTTTGAAGTAACAATTACAAAAAATAATTAGGGTGCATATTTTCTCCTCTGTTCTGACACTTTTCCTCATTTTGGTTTTCAAATTTCTTCAGAATGTAGTAACTTCTCTAATTGTTAATAACTTTCTTTTTGTACTGCATCAGGTTGCATGTTAACCTTCTTTGCCATAAGCAATAAGATATATTACAATATAATTCTGCAAAACAATGTACAATATGTTAACTATGTATCATCAATATTCATCAATATGTAAATATGTACTCATCAATATTCAAGTCAAGTCCATTCCAAACGATCAAGGCAATGCGATTGTTTTGGTACGTCGTCGGTCAATCTTCAATCAAGGCTCGGGTGAAGGTCATTTCCTCCAAGGTCGTTACTCAAAAGGTCGTTCCTCAAAGGTCGTCCTCATTAAGTGTGTCAAAGATTTTACCTGACTGTGGCTCCATCCTGGCCCTTCCATTGGTCGAGTCCTGACCAGAAAAAAAAAGCAAATAATTATTACATTTTTGACCCCAAAAAAAGCATTTGTAAACCTACTCACACAAAGGGGTGTTAAATAATAATAATACTGGAGTCTTATATAGCGCACGTATCTACCAACAATTACGTACTCAAGGCGTTGGTAATAATGTCTATTTTATAAATACAGGGAATTGAAGTTTACGAGAAATGTGAGACCCATTATGTAGCACCTTTTCTTTTATAAAGGGTATGCAAGGTGCTGCGGCGCATATTGCAGCCACTGCCAGAAACACTGGGGCAAACCCCTTCTCTTAGCGATAAGTGTTACAGGGTTCTTTAACGTGTATTACACAACACACGGGACCTACGGCTTTACGTCCCGTCCGAAGGACGAAGTGTTGCTAGGGGGTTTGGGTTGTGTGTGACCAACAATAACAAACGAAAACGAAAAAGTAATTAGGTGTCAGATGTCCATGACCCCCCCCCCCCCCACAAAAAAACACCACTTTTTAAAACCATGACGGTGAGTTCATTTTCAACAAAAGATTCTAGCAAACACCACTACACAACATGTACTGATGTGAATCATTAGTCAATTTACCGCCCCAAACCACCCTACCTAGTATTCCCTACACAGTATACGCACCCAGTGCGTCCTGTGTGGCTCTAGAACGTGGTAAAAAAGCAACCTCTCTAGCTTGTGTACGGAGTGTTCAGGGGGGCACTACCGACTCTATTCCAAATTGGCCTCAGGGTTTGTGCTGAAGATCTTACCTTGGTCTTCTGTGATGCTAAGGCCTGGGCTCTCTCTTCCTCTTCCTCATCCTCCTCTTCATCTTCTTCATCATCATCATCATCTTCCTCTTCCTCGTCTTCTTCTTCGTCTTCGTCCTCTTGCTCGGCGTGGTCCTGTTTGTGGTTGGCGTTGTCTTGGGTCCATTTGAGCTCCTTCAGGATGCGTTCTACGCACTCCTGCATGAAGTCAAACTGTCGTCGAAGGTGGGGTGAAAACCAGATAGCATTAACATACATGCAGTGAATGTTGTTAAAGTACTGAAAGAATTTAACAGCATGGTCATACGGGGATACGGACGACTAGACGGATGAGACATGAGGGGTGATGGCATTGCGTTCCTTTTATCCCTTTTTCTAAAGATTTCACATCAGGGGAGATGGTTTTTTTTACAGATTTCACAAGTGGGGTGGTGTCCCTGAAAGGAAATCAGCCCACATGTGGGGTATGGTCAGAACGGACATATTGAGATACGGTCGTACAGAATTTAGGACTGGTACGTGTCCCCTAAAACTTTGTTTAGGCGACACAATAACAAAATTGCATGACTTTTCCAAGACTTTTCCTGACAGCTTTAAAGGGAATATACAATGTACATCATTTGCTTTTGCTGTAATTTTCAGATATGGATGGAATTGGGGGGTTGGAAATATATAGCGAATATAGTTACACTTACTTTTTTGAGGTTTTGGGTTCGAAAATGCTATAAAAACCAAGAAAAACAATCATTTTCCTGTAGTCTGGTTCCCTGACTCCATATAAGAAGAAACAGAGCAGTTTACATACATTGGGGAATTGTAAGGTCAGGGAACCAGTCTAGCTGGCTCGTACCCGTTCATAGGTTTGTAATCGATTGCAAACAAGTGCGATGGTCAATTGGGGCCAGTATTTGAAAAAAAGCCAGTTTTTTTCCAACGCTGATCGGCCGATCAGCGTTGGAAATTGATACAAAAATACCACTTTTCTTGAAAATGACAGTATACCAGGTGCCATGATTTTACAGGATGCTTTACACTGTCATTCACTAACAGTCCAGCAAGGTATTTCAAAATGATTTGGTAGTTTTATTTTTTGATGTTTGCAAATGTTGTATTTTCCCTTTAAATTCCAGGATTTCCCCCGACTGTGGGAGCCTGACACACATAAACAAAGTATGACGTCATTATCGACTCCAATTCCGACATCTTGTAACACACGAGTGCGTCTCTCTGTGGGGCATGGGTTCGAATCCTGCACAAGTCTCGGATCACTACAGAGTCATGAAACTCACATGTTTGGTGTGGATCTTGACCCATCGGGGTCTCTTGCCCTCCTTGGCATATTCAAAGCCGAATGTCATGCCTTCCTCGTCCGTTTCATACTGCTGGATCTCACCCCACTGGAAGCTGGGAACTTGCTCCTGAGGTCCGAGGGAAATAACGACAAAATAAGACATTTGAAATTTTTGCAGACTGGCTACATCTAAACTGAGAAACTGTAAGAAATAACAGAAATAATGTTATATATGAGACAAACGTTTTTTTTTAAATTAACTTTTTTTTTCTTTTCTAAATTTGAATAGTTACGGTATTATCAAATAAAACAAGCTTGAAATGATCTTGGAAGCTGCGGCTTAACTGTAGACCTGCTGTAGCCTATAAGTCATGAGGTAAAAGTCTGTTTTTATAATGTACAACTACTCACGTGGTCGTGACTGTCAATCAAAAAGGATTCCCATTATTTTGTTGAACGTCAGTTGGTGCCTGGAGCGTTTTATAGCATGTGGAACACCCAATTTGTGTGCAGTACAGTGCTAGCCCCAATGCGATATGAGTGACCGCGTGACCCAATTTTCCACAAATGCAATAAATTGGTAGCTGGTCGGTGGAGACCTGAAGCACGTGTTGTAGCGATGGCCTAAGGGACAAGGTGATTGATTGCCAAATAGGGCATTTGGTGACGTTTGTTACTAACTAACGGAGAGACATGATCATTTCTTGAGCTGCTTTCCGCAGCTAAAAACAGTGGTTGCACCCCCCTCCTCCCGAGAAAAATATGAAAGACCTGTTAAATAAATGCAATGCTATTGTCACATGACTCTGCATCATATTTATTCCCTTGCATGATATTCCTTGTTTAATGCAAATGCTCATTTCAACCAAGATGCTGCTGTGATCAACGATGGGGCCAATCACGACGACTAGGTTAGGGACTGTGACTCTAACACTGATGGCCAGGGGTTCACATCCAGCTGCTGGCCATTTGTAGAGTCCTTGGGCAAGCCGCTTCACCCAACTTGTCTCTCTCAACTTGCCTCTCCTCGTCCGATACGCACCAGCAGCAGCTGGGGAATAATCTAAGATTGAGAGTAGTTTCTCTTGGGGAATATAGGCATCACCAGTCAAGTGCTGCAAAGGAGACCGGAAATTAAAAACAAACAAACTTGAGTTGATGAGGCACACTGGCTGGAGACCGACTTCAGTTTTCTTACCTCCAATGTTCCGTCCTCTTTGCACGCCTGGAGCTTGAACAAACGGAAGCCGAGGATGGGAATGACGTGGCCGGCCTTTCTGGCATCGCAGGGACAATGGGGAAATGCGATCTCACCGTAGCCTTCTAGGCCTCGAGCTACTTTTAAGTACTGCACGACAAAGGGGAATATTGGCCATTATTCGTTGGCTTCACATGTAACATGGACAGCCATAACCAATAGTTGTTGCTGTCAAATTGGAAGACTTCAGTTTGTGAGTTTGAAAAGATTTTAAAAACTGACATTTCAAGGTTGATGTGAAGTGTCAGTTTTAATTTCAGAAAACCAGATACTCTTTCATTTGAAGTTTACATTTGAAATGTTATTGATGTAAATTGTACATATAAAAAAATGTCCATTTTCTGAAATGAGTTTTTAAACTTTTTGATGCCGATTGTACATATACATTTTTTTTCCATTTTCTGAAGTGACTTTTTAAACTCGGTGAAAGAAAGTCATTTTCAAACCTGACAATTCCTTTGAGGAATGCTCTGAATACACAGTGTGAAATAAATTTAAGGGGTCTATTAATCTGTAATCGTTTTCAAAAAAAAAAAAATTAAATCAGAAAAATCTCATTACATCAGGGGTGTGAGTGACCACTGATAAAAATAGCTGAAAACAGCTGAAAAAGGTGTAAAAAAGCTGAACTTTGGAAATCTCCTCTACTTTTGTGCACAGCAAGTGAGGGAAAAAAAGCTGAAATCCAAAACAAAAAAAGCTGAAATCAGCTTTAAAGCTGAGATTTCACACCCCTGTTACATGATCAGGCTACAATTTCGGCTAAAATTTAATTGAATAAACCATTTATAAGATCAAAAAGCTACAACAGTGAGATGAGATCAATAATATTAGCCAAGAATAGCTGACGGGAAGAGAAATGAAATATAAAAGACTTACTTTGAAAAAAAATGCAAAATATATAATCCATTGTTAATATTAAATATACAAAGACATTTCAAAAGACGCTTCAAAATAAACATATAATAAGGCAAACAAAAATGTCATCCACACTACACAGAGAGCTTAACAGCTAAAATAGCAGATTGGGCATTGACAGATTGACTAACAAAATAACTGCAGAATTCAAGAAAAGAAAAATAAATCTCCAGTCCCCAGAGACCGAGGAAGGATGATTCCCAAGGCTCACCTGTAGTTTGCTGGATTTCTCCTGATGCGCTTTGAGTTCATACAAGGAGGAACTGTCACCGGGCTTGATGAAGCCTTTACTGATGTCATCAATCGCCTGCAGGGAGAAAAAAATCAGACAAGTGACGGATGGATTTGAGGATTAAAGGGAATGTACAACATTGGTTTTTGCTGCAATTTTCAGAAATAAAATGCATTTGGAGGATTTATATGTTTTAGCAAATAATTGTTAAACTGACTTGTTTCACGTTTTGGGTTCGTAGATGCTGGAAAAACCAAGAAAGTTTGGTTTGGTAGTTTGGTTCCCTGACCCCACTTAAGATGAAATGGAGCAATTTATAGACTTTGGGGAATTGTACGGTCAGAGTATCAATTTAGCTGGCTTGTACCCGTTCACAGGTGAGTAATCAATTGCAAAGAAAATGTGGAAAAACTAAATATAAGAAATATGGAGCAGTTTTTGAAAATAGCCAGTTTTCTCCAGCGCTGGTCGGCCGACCAGCATTGGAAAAATACAATTTTCTTGAAAATGTCAGCACACCAGGAGCCACAATTTTACAGGATGCCATTCCCTAACAATCCAGTCAGGTATTTCGTGATAATTGGGATCATTTCGTTTTTTGATGATTGCAAATGTTGTATCTTCCCTTTAAGTCTCCACGGCCTATCTGAGCTGACAGACTTATTGTGCACAGACGGCCTTGGGCACTGTCGTCAATTGACAGCATTGCCCACGAGGTGCACACAGTAACAGCTCATGTTTTGGTGGTTTTTTGTTAACTATTCCCTGGTATCCCCCCACAGGGATCCAACATGGATGTAAACATATATCTGTCCCTTTAGGCACATTTATAACTGTAACCTCTTTGAATGTATGTCGAGAGAAACAGATGGCTATACAGAGCACATGCAGATGAACCAGGGGCCGTATTGTACACACACCATCGTCCTCTGGGCAATGACAATCTATTGAAAACATCTAGGAATTGTGCTAACGAATTGCGTGACTTAGTAGCACCGTTATCATTTTCCTGGTACCCTGCCCACAGAGAACCAACACGCATGTGTACATACATACCTGTCCATTTAGGCGCATTTGCGATATTTAATAACCCTATGCATACGGTGTGTTTTCAGAAAACAAGAGCTCTACAGGCTGTCTGTGAACCACCGGCCATGATGTAAACAACAAAGACCTTCGGGCACCGACAGTCCATTGAAAGCACTGCCCACGCAGTACGTAACTTAAAGATATAGTCCATCATTTGTAATTTGTGCATTTTGTTCATCTGAAGCAACAAAAGTGCTCAAAATCTAAAGAAGGGTACTAAACAACTAACCTGATGAAGTTTCAGCTCGGCTTCAGCTGTATATTCCGAGAAAAACAGCATTCTAGGATCTCAATTTCAAATCAAAAGTTGCTGAATCATGTTTTGAATTGCGCCTGAATTCAGCGTCCGAGGCACGTTCTCGCTGAGCCGATTGCAGCGATGTCGCGCACTGATCCGACCAATTACAGCAACCGGGGGTGCGTGTGCGTCGTGCCAATGCTTGCGCGCGCTTTGCCGAATAACAAAACGAACTACTAATTTAAATTTTAAATTTAAACGGTGCGCCTTAAGAAGCACCGTTGGAAAGGCCTTCTTTCGTTGATTACTCCAAAATGACAGCTTGCCAGAAAGAACAATTTCACAGGGAGTTTAGTCCCCTTACTATCTTTCAACCAACAGTGTTCTCCAACTTTGAAAATTAAAGGTTGGCGCTGGGGTCGGCGGGGATTCCTGCGAGCGCGTAGCGCGAAGCCCTTACGGCGTGGGGTCCGGGGCCCGCTTAAGGGCCCCGGGAAAATTTTGGATTATAGATGCTCTGTGGTGCAATCTGAGGCGATTCTCCAGGGCCCAGGCCAGTTCCCCCGATTTTTTTAGCATTCAAAAATTAACTTTTCAACCTAAAGCAGACTTCTCTCAGATCAAATTACACCTTTTTGTAATTTTGAAAAACAAAATGGGATACAAATTACAGGTTTTTTTAACGCGATTTTATGGGTGGTGCCAGTGCCGTGTGATCGTCATCTTTATTTTCATGTTGCGTTTTGTCGTTGTCATCGTCATTTTCCCTCTATTTATGACCTACCTGTATGTTCTTAATGTCGCCAACTAGTTTGGTAAGTCAAATAAATTAAAAGTGGATTTTGTTATCTTAGGGAACCGGGCTCATACACGATCGCCATTTATAACTTTTGACAATCGGCATGATCGGAACACCATGTGCACGCGTGTTTTGTCCTCGAGCTCGTTTGCCTCGTACACAATGCGTATTATATTGTGTACCGCGCGTGCAAGTACTGAGAAAAAGAAAGTCGGTTGGCTGCACGTAAGATCTGCTGTACGTACTCTGCTGGTGTGTGTGTGTACTAATACAGATATATATTTTTGCGGCGGGGTTGTCGCTACTTGAAGTATCGGCACACTCCGGAACTGGGGATTCAGTTGTCAGTGTGTGTACATCGCGCGTACCTAATACGTACGGTGCATGGGGAATCGCTGGTGTTTGCACGGCCGGCCGTGCGTGTGATTGATTCAGCGAGATTTTAAGACAACCCCGATCGGGCTGGGATGACATCGAAGAACATTGTTAATGTGTGGAAAAACAACTGAAATCAATTATTTTAGTTGTAAATGTACACTGTAGAGTCAAAAAAAATTAAACCTGGCGGCAGGATTTTAAAGCTTGGCGGGGACTTCTTAAACATGGCGGGCGCCGCAGAAAGCATGGCGGGGCGCCAGGTTTGTTCTACATGTTGGAGAACACTTAACCAAGTATGTTTTTCAACAATAATTACGCCAGCTACTTTCCGGATAGCTGCAAATGATGGACTATAGCTTTAACAGCACCTTTTGTATCATTTCCTTGGTATCTGCCAACTGGGAACCAACACATATACCTGTCCCTTCAGGTGCATTTACAACTGTACATGGACAACCTCGGGCACTGACAATCCATTGACAGCATCTAAAATTGTGCCAAGAGGTAGGGGTCTTAACAGCACTCTTGGTACCGACAGGAAACTAACATGAATGTATTTCTGTCCCTTCAGGCGCTTATTACAACCATAAACTCTGTAAAGGCCAGGGGAAATGAAAGGACGGATCTACAGGCCGTGCATGTATCAAGCCGGAGGCTCAATAGCAATGTATTGCCACTGAGGATCAATCATGCTTCACTAGACTCTAATGGAGTTAGGCCGAGTCTGCATTAGGCCAAAAAAAGTGTCTCCGGTTTCTGGTATGGAGCTTGCCCCAAAAGTGGTGCGGCGACGCGGCTTTTTTTTCTTTTACTTTTTTCCCTTCAAATGTCGGCTGATGACTACAAATGGTGCCCGACTAAAGTTAGTGCAAAATGTATTGGAGCACAGAGAGGCCACATAAAGCTTATACTCGATCGTAACCCCATCTAAACACACGTTAACATTTTGCAGCAGCAGGATTCCAGTCAAACCAGTGAGTTTGGCGGTTTTGAGACATCATCTTACATTGAAAAACAAACTTTTTAATTTTGCCGACGCGCATGGCTACGGCAACGCGCGCGCATACCAGAAACTGCAGACTTTTTTTTTGGCCTTACAAACAGTCTCAAATGCGATCAAAGCTTGCATAATATTCCTAGTGTTGTAGATCACCGAGTTCTTCTGCCTTTTCATTATATATTTTCACAGAAAAATATTTCAGATTCGGTACACGACGGACATAAACAGGCAACAAAAAAAAAATGGAATCTGAAAAGTTTCAAAAGAATTTTCAAACTGCTAAAATGTGGCCTGGAATATTGTACTTAGCTTTGTGTTTGAGAAGTACTATTAGTCAAATCTTTTTGGGTACAAATCTTTTTGGGTACAAATGTGATGCAAATTTGTCAAATTTATTTGTTACTGACAGAGGGTGATTGGGACATTTTGTAATAATTTATCTGACTTTGAAACATCAGCCCTGCAGTGTCAACCTGTGTGCATTTGATTGTAATTTTCTAATAGAATGTGTGCCTTTGAAACTGGGATTGTGCTTGAGTTACATGTATATCAGTGTTGTAGCTGAGCCAATCACAAGTCCAGTCACAAGTACATTCACTAATCCAATCACAAGTAACCGGGGTAGGCCATCAGCCTCGGACCAACATTTTTGCCACCGGTATCAAATGAGGGGAATAATTGTCATAGCGATTTTTGGCAAGCTATACACCTCCAGAATTGGAAAATATGTGATAGCATTGCAGTGGTGGCAGCTTTTTGGGTGTTATCACCCTTTTAAAAAAAATGTCCATCAAAATGCTTGTTACCATTCTAGGGGCGGTATATCTTGCGCATACGCACTATAATCATTTATGCCCTGATTTGATACTGGCCAAACCCCCAGGCTGATGGCCTAGGGTGCATGAACACTAACCAAGAAATGCCCTTGTCGCAGTTGATTTTAATAACTTCAGATTGAAGATTGGCACTTTTTGTAGCTAATTTTCTCCCTCTGCAGTGTGTATTTACTTTCGGCGTATACTAGAGTTCCTCAATAGTGAATGACATGCTGGCTGCTATGAGACTTAAAATCCACTGTAGGAGGTTTTCAGGCCGTGTACCGGACTATCCATTTTACCTGACAGTAGAGGAAATTCATGGCCATCTGGTCGTGGTTTAGGAACAGTTCTTGGCGGGGTGAGAAGATCCACTTGCGTATGCCCAGGCAGCTCTGGCTGGTGCTGGTTTTGGTGTAGTTCTGAATGTACAGGTTGTGGGGGAATTCTGTGACGGCAAGCTTCCTTGCTGCAGAACATCAAGAAGTGTTGGGGGGGGGGGGGAAGACAGATTTAAATACAATAACTGAAATTGTTGATAATATTCATTTCAGATTGGCGTTCCAGAGTCGTACCAAACCAAATAGGTTTGTGAGACCTCGGGACTCACAAACTTACTGAGGTGTACATGTCAACCAAACTACGTGTGGGTTTGGGACATGAGAAACCCATGTATGAATTTTCCATTCAATCTTTGCTGCGTCGCTCCAAATGACTGCAACCGTCAATCTTTCATGTGCGATCGCTCCTACATGTAATTGTTTCTAACTCTGAACCAACTTTGAACGTGTGGTCTAACGGTAGAGCACAGGCCTCATTGATCATTTTCGAGCCCCGCCGTGTCCATGCATGCTGTGCCCTTGAGTAAGGCCTTTCAACCCAGGTGTTAAATGGGTACCGGCATTATTCAATACTGGGAAGGTAACAGACTTGCTGTGGAGGAGGTGTGGTGATCCCCCACAGCAGCATTTCATGGACTCGAGTCTGGCCCAATCGCTTCGAAAGGGAGATGGGCACTCCGTTCCTGTGAACCAACTACCGGGTGCTTTGCAAATAATTTGGTTTGGCGTAACCATGGAATACCGTTCTAAATATGGCCATCACTTATTCTGCTAATGGCTGAGGGAAATACAGAAGCCTAATCGCATTCTCTTGAACTTTCTAATTTGACAGAAAAAATGAAATGCATGTTAGTAATACATGAAATTTAGGTTCGTATATGAAGGTAAATTAACCCCGAGTATGAAAATGCACAAACTTTCAGGAGCGATAAAAATCCCAAAATTTTTGAATCTTACCAAAATTTTCTTGGAGCTCAAACAAGGCAAAATATTGTGACATCTCTGGATCCAGGCCAATTTTATGAACAACAGCCTAGAAACCGAAAAATAAACACAATTAGATTACAAGAAGGCAACTGCACCGGCATGTAGGATTGAGAGTTTGAGCTTTTTGTTTATGCGAACACTTAGCTACGTACATTATAGACATCTTGGGTTGTGTTGTTCCGTCGGACGGTGACAGTGACCTGCGTTCTGTCTGGTAGGAGTATTCTCAGCTCCACCTGGGCTTTGCTTTGATCTTCTCGTTTCGTCGGGGTCTCCTGAAACGACAAATTGGGCACCAAGACAGACTGTGATTATACAGTCATCTGGCATACAATCACTGATCTCTATATAAAGACTGGATAGCGGATAAAGACCCGCACAATGAATGAATTTGACGCCATATTGGTGAGACCGGTGAGACCGGCTGGTGATCTACAAAGGACAAGTTGCCGTCTGTATAGACAGCATGATTACTTTTGTAACGGTTCACTTGACTTGTATTTTGACCACCACCACTGACCAAGGTTTACAATTTTTCTAACGTTGTGGTTTACTTTTTTTAATGCCGCAGTTCACTTTTTCGGCGTTTTGGAAATGATAATCACTACGGAAATGTGTCCTCTTTAGAACATCATAATATGTGTACGTGACCAAAATGCGAGTCAACTGTTGATACAATGCGCGCTGTATATATGCGTAGAACGTTCGTATTATATGCGGCCATCTTCGCGAGACCAGGGACGAATTGGTCAATATGTAAAGTCTACTGTGTGAATGATGTATGGATATCCGCTATCCAGTCTTTATATAGAGATCAGTGCATGCAATATAAGGAGCCATTTATACTGAGGTGAACATGTAACCATGCTTGCAAACATGTCGTACGCATTCTTAAAATCAAAGCTCATAACATTTTGGTAACCCTATTAGTCAAAGGGGTATTAACCCTAAACCCCTTGAGTGATTTACTAGGAACCTTCCTCACTCTTGCAAAATACACCACCTTATAGTACATGTAACTCAACACCCAAACTGTTGGACTCTGATTAGGGTGGTACAAGTCTGACCCCATGTAAAGCATAATCAGTTTACTAAGTGCAGTACTCACTCCAATAGAATCAAACCAAAACATGCGGTTGGATTTAGAAAGGTTTGGTGGTGGTTAGGGTTATAAATTGCGTGTGTGTGTGACTAACCAGAGCGTGAGCATGGTTCCATCTCTGTAAATGTGGTCACTGAATTAGTCTATAACATGCTAACGTAGTGTAAACTTCCAATAGAAACAGAAATGTTTGCAACTCAATCGTAGTTGCAATCACTTAGTGCACTGCTTTATTGTGGCCTTCCGACCTGTCAAAATATCTTAATCTATAAGTAGTTAGTAAATTGAACGATGCATCTAATGATCGCATGCACATTAGTTCATACACGTGAGGAGAAAACTGGAATTGTCAATTTTTCGAATGATTTCACAACATTTTTACTTTTTAATACACTAACTTTATGATGGAACGCATTTACAGCAACCATCAAGCACTTAGACGGAATTCAATCTGACTCAATGAAGGTAGTGTTACAAGTAAGTGATATTCATGGGTAATCAGTGCTTGCACAAAGAAATGTGGCCATTCCGTAGCAATCATAAAATTGCAAAACATTTGGTTTAGTTCACTATTTTATTACGTATCTCAGCAAAAACAGGAGCTTAGTGAATTGAAATTTATGAGAACTTGCTGCTGGTGCTATGAAAAAAGGCATGGTGAAATACGTGTAAATTCACTGAAAAACATGGTGCATGTGTTTCATGAGACAAATACAAATTATTCAAGAGTGTGTATTTTGACGTCTAAATTGCTAATTACATGTATACATCATGTACATGTACCACGAACGTTGTCCTTAAAGGGAAGATACAACATTTGCAAACATAAAAAAATGAAATGATCAAATTATCACGAAATACCTTACTGGATTGTTAAGGAATGACAGTCTGAAGCATCCTGTAAAATCGTGGCTCCTGGTGTGCTGACATTTTCAAGAAAAACTGTATTTTTCCAACGCTGGTCGGCCGACCAGCGTTGGAGAAAACTGGCTTTTTTTCAAAAACTGCTCATAATTTTTTATATTTAGTTATTCCGCATTTTCTTTGCAGTTGATTACACACAGTACGGGTACAAGCCAGCTAGACAGATTTTCTGAACTTACAATTCCCCAAAGTCTATAAATTGCTCCGTTTCATCTTAAGTGGAGTCAGGGAACCAGACTACAAGAACATGATTGTTTTTCTTGGTTTTTCCTGCATCTACAAGCCCAAAACGTGAAACAAGTCAGTTTTACAATATTTGCTATAACATACTAATCCTCCAAATCCATTTACTTCTGAAAATTGCAGCAAAAGCAAATGTTGTACATTCCCTTTAAAATCCAGCTACCGGTACATGTAATTGGTATGCCATCGTCACTACTATCACTTGTGGTATGAAGGTTTGAAAACATATCAACAGACTGTTATATCTGAGTGATATCTATGATTTTTATAATTCTGATGCACTCCATAATGCAGTCGTCCTCCAAGAGTGAATATGAAGTAGCAAAATACCTACCCAACGAATAAAAAACTCATTTGAAGTCATTCTCGATGAAACTTGAATGGCAAATGATAATTTGCCACAAACACAATGTATGGACATGTCGAGTGAACAAAAAAAAAAAAATTGTTTTGAAGTTTCTGGAATCTATTCTTGGGAGAATTGAATTGTTACTACGTGGGAATCGATTCCTCAAAAACGTGGAATCACAATTCCGATTCCAACTTTGGAATGGATTCTATTCAATTCTGACCTGAGAATCGCCCAAACCTTTAAACAAATATAAACAAAGACTCAGGTCATCTTTACGCAAACCAATTTATTAGAAGAGATTAAACTCCAGAGTTGCATATCGAGTCGTTCAGAAGTCAATGACATGTTAATCACAAGTCACAAGATTGGAATACCTTGTACTTTAGACTTGTGATTGACTGATGATGACTTCATTACTCGGATAAACTCCCTGAACCCACCCATGCTGAAATTTGTATCCTTGAGGAGACATTTCTTTGTTCTCGTGTAGTAAAGTTTTCGAGTTTGAAATTGTAGTTTCAAAATGCTCTTATTTTAACCAGAATTAATTTCCTTGGCTGAAATTTGGACTTAATATCCCTTTTATAAACCCTTCCATTTGCGACAGGTCAACCCACCTTGGAAATTCCTAGGTTTTGAGTAAAATTCTATTTCGTGAAAACCTTGTGGAGACGTATTCGTCTATAGAAATTGCCCTGCGGAGACGTATACAATCTTTTGTTCCCTATTGTGTGCATGTCTCCAGAGGGCACGGTGTATCGATCTAACATGCTGGCCATTACTTTGGGATAGAACTGAGTCAGTACTACAGAATACTACAAAAATTATGTATGCAGGCACCACGTACCAAAAAATACTAGAGTTTTGTGCCCACTTATATGCTGAAGTACTGCATACTACAGTTTACTACTAGTAGTATTTTGTAGCTTTAGGTGAGGCTAGGATTAAAAGGCACATGCAGTCAGTCAGTTTCTTCATTCACTTGGGTATGTTAAGGTGTGTTCTAGCAGTTTACTTGCAAGTGGATTTTTTTTTAAGTTGTTCAACCCACAGACATTCGGCCCATTTTAGACAAGTGTTAATAGTAAGTTCCTGCGTTTCAACAGCACAGTTGCAACATATTTCAGTCGAATGCAGCAATTTCTTGAATCAATGGAAGAAGCATGATTTAAATGCGTCCATGTTAGAAGCGTGAGCATGTTAGTGCAAATGACAACATCATCAACTCACTTCTGCTTTGGTTTTGTTTTCCACTGGCTGTAAACAGACAAGACAAAACCTGCTGTAAACAAGAAAATCTTCTACCCTGTGGTATATCATACCAATATCATGGTGCTGTTTTATAGCAGACGCCATTGCTCTGATTTGTGCATTATAAAAAAAAAAATAAAAGTTGAACAAAGAAATTGACCGGAACAAGGATTGAACCTGCTACCTCTCAATTACCGTTCCGGAGGTTCAAACACTGATCCAGTCAAGTTCTTGTTCAACTTTTACAAATTATTAAAATACACCTCATCAGTTTCCCTTTGTGGTTGATTTGAAGAAAAACAATACCATTTAAAATAGTGCTAACTGGTAATAACTACTGCTTACAAGATATTTAGCTCTGAAAAGAACTTGTCCTGCTTATTATCAACTTTCGCTAAGTAGTTTTTGTTCTGATAAGAACAGGCTAGTCGAAACGTTGAGACCAAAGACAAGTTCTTTCAGAACTTAAAGCAGGACTGTTCTTATCAGAACAAAAACTACTTAGCGAAAGTTGATAATAAGCAGGACAAGTTCTTTTCAGAACTAAATATCTTCTAAGCAGTAGTTATTACCACATGGTGTTACCGCAAACCGAAATGATACCAATACTCCACCATGCAAAGCCTCAAATCTTATATATGATTATTATTCTCAAGAACTACTTGTGTAAAAGGTGTCAGTTTCCAAAACCTGCTTAGTGCAACATTGTGCTTAGCAAGATTGTTTTCCCTGCTAAGCTGCAGTAAATGCATCCATGTTAATTCAGCCTACGACCAGATGCAATATGTGACGCCATTTGATTGCAAACTTGTTCAGTTGTTGACTCAAATCACTTTCAACATATCAACCACTCCAACACATTTTTCTCCACCGACTCAATGCAACTTTTTTTTTTCTGGCAACATTTTCACTTTTACTTAACAAAATTATTGCTGTTTACATGTACTTCCTTGCAATGCCACGCTTTTTGGATGTTTGGTATTTGAATACAACAAACCTCACCTCCTGCTTTTCTGTGTCTTCCAAGTCCAGGAATTCCCGCATTGCGTCGCATTCGCCGATGACTCGTACACATGTTACTGAAGGACACAAAACGTACAGCAGAGAGTCAAGTGATGTTTGGTATGAAAAAAAACAGGCATTGTGAAATTATGTGATTTCAGTAAACGGTTCTATGGAGATTAAAGGGAAGATACAACATTTGCAAAAAAACGAAATGATCAAATTATCACAAAATACCTTACTGAATTGCCAGGGATTGACAGTCTAAAGCATCCTGTAAAATAGTGGCTCCTAGTGTGCTGACATTTTCAAGAAAAACTGTATTTTTCCAATGCTGGTCGGCCGACCAGCGTTGGAGAAAACTGGCTTTTTCCAAAAACTGCTCCTAATTTTTCATATTTAGTTATTCCGCATTTTCTTTGCAATTGATTACACACTTGTGAAAGGGTACAAGCCTGCTAGACTGATTCTTTGACCTTACAATTCCCTAAAGTCTTTACATTTCTCCGTTTCATCTTAAGTAGGGTCAGGGAACAAGACTACAAGAACATGATTTGTTGTCTTGGTTTTTCCAGCATATACAAGCCCAAAACGTGAAACAAGTCAATTTAACAATATTTGCTATAACATACTAATCCTCCAAATCGATTTATTTCTGAAAAGTGCAACAAAAGCAAATGTTGTGCATTCCTTTAACATGTTGAACCAACTCGTCATATATGCATATATACAAACAAATGGACACACTCACGACTAGTGAACTAACTAATGACTGTTGATGTTGCGGTCTGGTTCATCGCAAGTCCTCACAAATTCTAAGAAAGTCAATCGCAATGTCATTCAATCCCAAGGCAATTCACAAGCCATCAATGGTAAAAAACAACTGTGACTAACTTTGTTATTGTGTATCCCGATCTACTTCTGACCGAACTTGTGAATTGACTTGTGATTAACTTGCGTTGGACTTGAGCGATAGTCAATTAAACAAGTCGAATCACAACTCACATCATGAGTTGCAAGTAACAAGGGAACACCTTAATTTGTCACAATTCATTCAACAAATTGTCAGTTGACTTTAACCAGTAAACACGATCTGGCAATGTATATTTGCAGTATTTGTGGTGTTTGACTTAACATAAGATTTGGCCAAAATGGTATTTTTTGCCAAAAAATACTCCTGGTAGCAAGTGGTTACTAAGACTTGTGATTGATGACTTGTGGTTGACTTGTGATCAGCTTGTAGGGACTTGACTTCAACTCTGGAGCACAGCAAGCTTTCACCCGGAATTTCAGACAGCAGATTGAAATTAATTACACCATAAGTTCAATGTTTGAAACAAGAGAAACTACGTTGAAAAATCAATGCTTGCAGGAGCTTTTGGCATTGTAACAAACGACTGCAATAGTCGATCTACTCCAAGCGGGAGTGTGTGGCCTAGTGGTTAGGGTTCGTGACTCATGATCAGAGGGTCCGGGGTTCAAATCCAGCCGCTGGTCATATATTGTGTCCTTGGGCAAGGCACTTCACCCCCACTTGCCCCTCTCCACCCAGGAGTAAAAATGGGTACCGGCATTAACTGGGGAGTAACCTGCGATGGACTAGCATCCCATCCAGGGGGAGTAGAAATATTCTCAGTCGTTTCATGCTACTGAAACCGGAGAGATAAATGCCGGCCTGATGAGTCACATTGACTCGGGACAGACTTTACTACTACTTTACTACTCCAAGTTTCAAACGCCAAACTCTAAATACTGTACTTAATTCAAATCTTCACAATAATTTGGTTCAGCGTGAATCTCGTACGCCAGTCTGAGCAGGTGTTACGGACCTTTTTCTAAGTACTGTTCCAGTAATCTGCGTCTCTGCTCCAGTTGCTGCTCAGACAACGAGAACGGCCACTTGCTGGGGAACTTGGGGAACTGGAAATCCGGGAACTCCCGCTTTAGCCGGTTGTGCACGTCTGAAAACTGGCTGTATCGGTGGGACTTCTTGAGCTTGCCCGCAATGTAGATGTTGTACACCTTCACAGACGGAAAGAAGCATCATGGCAATTTTTCAACATAAAATCTGGGATATCTGACCTTACATGGACTCGGTGAGGGAACATCAGATAGCACCTTGTGACCCTTTTGAGAGCCCCAGTCAGTGGGAGGGCACCCTGCATGCGCGTACTGGTTCGTGCATGCATGGTGCGAAGTATGCACTCGAAAAAAGATTATTCTGATTGTACACAAACCTGTAGCATCCCCGCGAGAACAAAATAAGGCGCCGGCAGCAATGCGTTCGAATGTCCCTCCCAGTGGTCTCCCCCAACTCTCCTTTTGTAACTGTTGAGATGGTACTTGTGCATGGAGTCTATAGCAGAACCACAACAAGGGAAGGACACAACCGATGTCCAGATATAATATACTACTTCGCGCCACAGACCTGTATGCTTTTTGGGTTACAATGGCTAGTGTCCCTTGTGCCCATCTTGGTTTTGAAATTTAGTAGCCCTTTACTTTGAGTGGCTTTCAGCCTTGTAGCGAGCGACTGCTCTAAATATTTGGCAAATATTCACAAGAGAAATCCATGTGAGTATGGGGACATGATACATGCAAGTCATGGAAAATTTGCTAAACTCACAAATTATTGTGCATTGCCACCACTAAAGGGCAGATGTGAGCACTCGCAGTACCACTGCCCTATTCAGCGGCACTAGTGATGGTCAAGTTTGAGAGCTCAAACCTGAGTTGAAGTGGTGACCCAAATCAACATATCTGTTTGAACATGACAAATATGCTCGGAACGAGCGTACACTGATCATGGTTGTGGACTACACACAGTCATTGGGTTTCAAACAGAACAATTGTGAAGGGGGATTTACACAATTTTAGCTTCATCTTCCAGCTTTGGCTTCAGGCTTCTTAACCCCACCTCCCTAGCATGATTTACTAGGAACCATATCCATCCTGGCAAATTCCAACACCATATGACAAACTGCACACACATATTTCTGACTTTGATTGTGGAGGTGTGCCAACCCAATGTAAAAGACTGTCAGTTTAGGGATACTGTACCCATCCTGACCGATTCCAACAAAACGTGCTGTTGGGGTTTGATGGGTTGAGTTCTGTTAGGGGTTAATGATTGTCCTCTGACTTGACAGTATTGGTTCATTGTTCGCTAAAGAGACACCAATTCCTGTCATAAAAGGTCAATTGTTGCTGTGCCGCACTGAGTTTGGGTTTCATTGGGTTTCACTGAGTCAGACTTGGCAGGATTTTTACGAAACTTGGGCTGGAGACAATGCCAAAGCCAGTGATGATGACATGGTTTTGTTAACACCTATGATTAGCCTTCACCAGTACTGATAAAGGAAAGGGCAATAGTTACAAGAGAAATGAATGCAAGAATCCCAATAAAGTACAAGTGCATGTGCAAATCTTACCACATGCTTGTCTCCTGCGGTGTTGACATGTCGGTAGTCCGGCACAGTAATGGGGATGGGTTTCCGGTCGCTGAAGTCGTAGTATGAGTAACCCGAGGAGTCATCGCTGGGCTCCCCTTGGTCCTCTTTGAAGTTTGGCACGGAGATGACAGTGAGAGTCAGTTCGTGGCCCCCTTGCTTGATCAGGTCCACCACGTACTTGTGTGTAGCGCCCTCTACATTCAGGCCATTACTGCAACAAAGAAAAGGAAAGAAGTATGCTTTTAAGGTTTAGCATTTAAAAATGAGTCTCGGCGAACTAAATTATTGTTCTAAATTAAAATTGAGCTCGATGTTAACCCTAAAGGGACCGGGGGAGGGGTGGAATTAATCTGCCCCCCCCCCCCCCCTCTCAACTTTTTCCACGATAGCTTAAAAAAAATTTTTTTCGCAACCCAAGCAGTTCTGACTATTTAGCCTCGGGCCTTGCGCATCTATTGATACCAAAAACATAAAAATCAGACAACGGGTTGCCGCACAGCGAAAATTTTCCGGCGCTACGCGCATTGAAAACTGAATTTCCCCACATACGTAGTGTATATGTAGTGTACACCGAGCAGAATTACCATTTATGCATATATGAATAATTAATTAGCCATAATTCTAAAACCCTCTGACCTATAGTCATGAAATTTCTTGGGTACGTTTATGATGAGTTGTTCTATGCATGTACTGAGTTTCAAAAGTTTGCGTCACTCGATGGCCGAGATCTTGGGGGGGGGGGGCGGAATCCTTTGCGGGAGTTTGGCCTAGTGGTTTATAGTGTTCGTGACTCATGATCAGAGGGTCAGAAGTTCGAATCCAGCTGCTGGCCATATACCGGTATGTTGAGTCCTTGGGCAAGCCGCTTCACCCCCACTTGCGTCTCTCCACCGAGGAGTATAAATGGATACCTGCATCAGACAGGGAGTAACGTGCGATGGACTGGCATCCCATCCAGGGGGAATAGAAATATGCTCATTCATTTTATGTCAATGAAATTGGAGACAAATGCCGGCCTGATGGGACATATTGACTTGTGACAAATTCTTCTTAGAGATCAAATATCTTGAAGATATTGCATTGGAGTCAGCAGCCTCATCACTTACTGTGACTAGAATTAGTTGGATTCAGCAGGGTGACCTCAAAACCTAACGGATCAACAATCAGAAACTTTGTACACTCAAAAAGTCAGAAATATTATAAAATGCTCTCAAATAGTAAGAAAAACTATCATAAAATGCTCTTCAAAAGCATCTGGAATGCAGAACTTTTCAGAGCCCTTCAGCCGGCCCCAAACCTCACTCCATGAGCTTCTGAGCTCTCTAGCCTCATTTCACTTTCAAGTTTTCACTGGCACTAACCCCCCCTTCCCCCCCCCCCCCCCCCCCACTTCCTTTACCTTTCTGGAAATTTCTATATACTCTTGTGAACTTGCATATGGACAGATGCTGACAGGTCTCGGAGCATTTTCCTCATCACCAATTGGCCATTGATCATATAGTGGACGATTCGATGGGAAATCTGAGCTTGAGCCCCATTCAATGAATATACCGGGGACTTTTTAATACCCCTGGAAAAAAAATTGCTCAGGCCTGATGATCACTTATTGACATTTGAGCAGTACGTGGATTTCTCGGAAGCGGCCCAAAGGAATCTGGGCTACAAGATTGTTGACTTCTGGAAGGTTTTCAGGATATGCGATTTTCAGACCATATGCATTGCTCTGACATCACCAGTAAGATTTCACTGTATAATGTATCCATACAAAGTACATTGTACACACAGTCATTACGTCATCATCAATACATTTCAGGACATCAGGGCAATTCCATCGTTACTGACATTACATCACGGACCAAATGGTCCGTGGTTACATTCAGAGCCCAAAACCAATTTGACACAACAAATTAAAACACTTGCAAAATTGCGGAGAAAGAAAATTTTATATATATCTGGTACAACTCTACAAAATGTAGCTTTAATAGGCCTATAATGTACAACATGACAGGTTTAGTGCATACTGCTGACAGGTGGATGTAACAGCAACGTGTACAAGATGTGTACACGTACATTATACATGTGTGTAGGGTTCGAAATTAGCGGTAGCCCGCTAGCCTAATGCTAGTCAAAACAGCAGCGGGCTAGCCAAACTATTCCTTAAGTAGCCCGGCTGGCGAGAGAAAAATTATTGGGATACGGCAAAGATGAACGTACCGGTACAGGAAGAAATAAATCATAAAATTCAGAAAGAAATCCCCATCAATTTTGGTCTTATTTTATCCACTATTTTTGAAGGTGACAAAATTGCCTCAGAATTGAGCCTGAAAATACACCATTTTGTATTTGAGATAAGAAAAAAATGCTGGCTAGTGAAAATGCCCGCAGGCTAGTTAAGAGTCTGTTTCAGTAGCCCGACTGGCTAGTGAACAAAAAAGTTAAGGTCCAACCCTGGTGTGTAATGCAAACCAAGTCTTTTGCTTCCAGAATTATACCCACGGGATGCAAGCAATGCGCACATACATGTACACACATGAATCTAGACATGCGGACTGAGCTGGTGCAGAGTGCAGATAACCTACATGTACAACACACATGTACATGTACCGGTACATACACACATGTACATGTACATCATGTTACTAGCCATCAGCAATGCACCCGCGGTGTTCTGATCCAGATACATACATGTGTACAAGTATCGAATGTACATGTACACCAACATTCAGCAGCATAATATACTGCAATAAGTACGTACATGTACATGTTCATGCTCAGTTATACATGAATGGACTAACAACTGTATCAAACCGTCGTTTCGGAGAGTCACGTCCAACATCATTATTCATAAGAGATTTGAGTTTGACATTAGAAGCAGCTTACAAAGGGATCATTCTATGAATTTGGGGTCCACTTTTGTTCCTGTCCCTGTTAGTTACACCGCCATCTATGATTTTGTAATTCTGATGCACTCCTTATTAAGGGAATGTACATCATTGGCTTTTGCTGTAATTTTCAGCAATGAATTATTTTGGGGGTAAGTATAATAGATCAAATATTGGTACACTGACATGTTTGAAGTTTTGTGTGGTCGGCCGACCACCGTTGGAAATGTATACAAAACTACCATTTTTCTTGAAAATGACTTCACACCAGGTGCCATAATTTTACAAGATGCTTAAGACTGTCATTTACCAACAATCTAGTACGGTTTTTCGTAACAACTTGGTAGTTTTATTTTTTGATGTTTGCAAATGTTGTATTTTTTTCCTTTAATACACTCATCCTCCAAGAATGATTATGAGAAACTACACCTACCCAACAAGTACAAAATCATTTGGTGCCAAGGTAAAAGGGACATGAAAAATGACACGCTTTATATAAATTTACAGAATGACCCACGTACATGTAGAAGTGACAACACGTGCAAGATGGCAACAGATCAACTGCTGCAAACTTGCAATCCTTTGAAATGACTATAAAATTGGCGCGTTAATTTCAGAATTACATGTACCCGGTACATTGCTCTAGTCACTGCAAAGTTAATGCCAAGGATGTGATGTCTATACACATTTACACAGGAAAAAAAATCTAAGTCCATTTACAAATTTTCCAAAATGTTTCAACGAAACCCAAATTATAGGCCTATAAAAGTAAAACAGCACAAATAATTAACAATATTTAACAAAATTTCAGAAGCAGTTATTGTCAATCACGCCGGTCTGCAGACATAATGGGCAGGCGTCTGTCTTTAAATGAAATGGCTTAACGTTTGACCGGTTCTTAAAATATCTGCTAACCGTTTACAAAATTAAACACAGTCACATCCTTAGTTAATGCATCAACTTGACCCGTTTGTCACCCAAGCATATTTGGGTCAACTTGAGTTGCTCCCAATACTGTCTGGAATGCCTGCCTGAAACGTGGTGTTAAAGTTACAAGGTTTCCTACGTGGAAAATGTGTACATTTTGATCATTGGTTGAATGACTTGGATCATGTTTGCTGACAAAGTACGCAGTCCGATCATCATAGTGTCCTAATCATATCTCAGAAAAAAAACAGTAAGTCAAAAAAAATTTAAAACCCACTTGCATATTTCAGTCAATCTATAACATTGATAGGGTCCAAAGTGTGACATTTTTTTCTGTCCCTGTTATCGTGGTTCTTTGTAATTTGCCATTCAATTATAATTAAGAATGATTTCAAATAATGTTTTTGATATGTTGGGTAGGTAGCTTAATTGCTAAATATTCATTTCATTCTTGGAGGATTGACTGCATTAACGAGTGCATCTTAATTTAAAAAAACATAAAGGGCAGATGCAACAGAAACAGGAAAAAATGTGGGTCCCAAATATATCGCATAAACTATCTACAATTTGTGTCTGAAATTTAGTGGGGAAAAAATATTCCATTGACCAGGACTCTCAGTGCAGGAGCCCGGACTGTCGCGCTACTCCTTAAAGGGAATGTACATTATTGGCTTTTGCTGTAATTTTCAGAAATGAACTATTTGAGGGGTTAGTATAATACATGTAGATCAAATATTGTTACACTGACATGTTTGAAGATTTGTGTTCGAAAATGCTGCAAAACCAAGAAAAACACAAATGTTCAAGTAGTCTGGTTCCCTGACTCCACTAAAGATGAAATGGATCAAAAATGCCGGAAAATTGTAAGGTAAGAGAACCAGTCTAGCTGGCCTAACCCGTTCATGAACATGGAACCAATAGCAAACAAAATTTGGACTGAAAAAAACCCCGGGAAATTTGGATCAGTAGTTGAAAAACAGTTAGTCGGCCGACCACTTTTGGAAATGTATACAAAAGCACCATTTTTCTTGAAAATGACTTCACACCAGGTGCCCTAATTTTAAGGATGCTTTAGACTGTCATTTACCAACATCCTAGTAAGGTATTTTGTAACAACTTGGTAGTTTTATTTTTCGATGTTTGCAAATGTTGTATTTTCCCTTTAAAAATCATCCACTGTGCAGAAACCCAATGGCGCATTCTTTGTAAGCGTGCAAGCACTTCAATTTTTATGCTCCACCTATGATCAAGTGTGGCTGAATCGTTTTAACCATATCTTTTCATCTTTTACAAACTTCAGTGTCCATGTATAAATGATGCATTTTCCAATACGATGTGCTGTACATGTACATGTATGAGCACCACTATTATGCCACCACATGTACATTACTTATGATGCATG